TCTCAGGAGTCAACACTCCTAAAGGAGATTTTAGCCAGACAGAGACAACTAACATGCAACATGCTTATTTAGAGTATTGAATGATCCAACAAGTTTACCAATCTTTAATGGTAACACTTTCCAATAGACCTATAGGCGTCATTGTTGAATTTTACGCTGGTGTAAACGAGTCTGTGAGGGATGGACTTACAGTCTTTTCAATGGCATGTAATGTTCAAAAGTCACAACTTTCAAAACTGTTTTTGACTAATAAAAGTCTTTTGGAAGATGTTTCGTCAACTGAACAATTGGTATGTTGTTACATCCCTCACAGCCTTGTTTTTTATTCCTGTCAAACAATTTAATATAGCACTACCCTGACTATGGTCTATGTTCAATTTGTTAACATTAGTTAATGCATTAGCCTCAATAGTTTTTATAGCATTTATCTGGGTTAATGTTACTTTTTATAAAACGGTTAGTTCCAATCCTTGATTCTGATTGGTCAATAGCTGTGTTTTATTCACGATAAAACACGGCTATAAGTTAACCGCTTCACTCAAAGGTTCAATGTATCACTACACAACACCCCTAGCAACCACTCTTAGCAACTTAAACACATGTTTGATCTCATTGATATTGTTCATTAAACCTAGAGTAGAGTATTGTGAGAGATCGAGTAAGCGAGTGTACCTGCATTTACAGTAGACATAGCATTTTCCTTCAGGTCAGTCCTATATTCATAATAAAAAAATCCGTTTGAATGTCCGCTGCGATATCTTGTCCTTTTAACAGTTAAGGGGGTTTCCCGTGCCGATAGTCATCTGTCAATTGTGTCTTTCTTCCTCCGTGATCACAAGTTTGATTCCTTTCAATGTAAAAGTCTTCTCTTCTGACTGACTCACTCATTAAGACTATCCATTGGCAAAAATAATGTATGTAACTTCTGTTGCTGTTTACGGTCAGGGACTGTTTTTTCCAGTGGAAGGAAGGTGATCATTTTACTTCATGAAAGTTGCATAGAAACATATTTTTCGGCTTTAATATTTGTATTGTGTGGTAACCGTTTTATAAAAGCAATAAGGTACTCGAGGCTACTGCTGTATCGTAAATAAGTCACGGCTGAAGCCGGGCACAACGCGAAGCTTATTCACGATACAGCACAGACTCTCGTACCTTATTGCTTACATAACATTCATTTATATTAATGTATTTTTAAAAATATTTTTTGCATAAAAATGTATGTATTATTTATATATAAAATATGAAATATAGTTAGTCGTACATTTTTATGGTTATATGCACTACTGTTCAAATGTTTTTTTTTTTTTTTTAAAGTCTCTTATGATTATCAAGGCTGCATTTATTTGATAAAAAAATACAATGAAAACAATAGTATTGTGAAATATTATTGCAATTTAAAATAACTGTTTTCTATTTATATCTTAAAATATAATTTATTCCTGTGATGACAAAGCTGAATTTTCAGCAACCATTATTTCTGTATTCAGTGTCACATAATCCTTCAGAAATCATTCTAATATGATATTTATAATTATTATCACAGTAAAAAAACAGTTGTCCTGCATAATTTCTTTGTGGAAACTGTTTTTCCTGGATTATTTGATGAATAGAAATTTCAAAAGAACAGCATTTATTGATTTTTTTCAAATGTTTTTTCAAATGTCTTTGCTGTCAATTTTGATCATTTTAGTGTATCGTTGCTGAAATAAAGTAATTTATTTGAAGAAAAAAAAATCTTTCTGACCCCAAACATTTGAACGGTAGTATGTGTTGAAGTTAACATTGACATAGATTAAAAAATACTGTAAAAATGGTTGTTCATTACTGAAAGAAAAATGACTGCAGATATCATATTTATACAGTTAGTTTGCAAGCTGCTGCTAAAGCAAAAGCCCAGGCAACCTGCAGAATGCCTGTGAACCAGTTGGAGAAGACAGCATGTTGCAATTAAAGTTAAAGATTGAATTTGAGTTGCAGTAGTAGATTCAAAGCATAGCAACTGAATTTGTCTTTTGATATTGCTCACTGCAAACTACAAAGCATTTGCTGAAAGAACCATTTTCCCTTAGTCTGTACTACCAGCAGAGTAAATTAGAGATAGACAGGAATCGTGTATTTCATTGGCTACGCTCAGCTTGCATTGAAAGGACGTCTGAAGAGTGGCCCATTAAGCTTTCCCTTATCACTCGCGTTCTGAATAACATCTTTTCAATTTTTGCTTTACAAAATCAGCCTCATTATTGCCTGCATTTTAACCTGGTCCTCAGCCATCATTTGTGCTGTAATGTGTTTTCTCTCTCTAAAGTGATGGAGATGTCCCCTTCCTCCCTGAAGCTCTGCTTTGGTTTCATATTTGTCATCTTGCACAAGAAAAACATTCTAACATGATTGTTGTTGTCAGTGATTAATTATGAAAATCCAGTTTCCCACAGCAAGCAACAACAATGTGATGTGTGTAAATCACATATTTTAAATGGTTATTGGATGCATAGATTCCCACCCTGCCTATGCCCGTAACCTTTCAGTGTCCTTTGGTCTACAAGACAGAACACAACCTAGTTCAGTCATTCAGCTGCAATGGATCACCATGTCATCTCTACAATGTCTGCACTTTATTAAGTGTGGAGGAAATCAAGCGTGAGGTTTCCTGTGCGCCTGAGCCAAGGACCCTCACAGCCCCCGGACACTTGTGAACCTCCTCGTACATCAGCCTCTTAAATTTCCAGTTTGCTGGTAGCCTGACATTCATATCTCCCAGCATCCCTCACACCCCCCTCACGCATATTGTAAGCGTTAATCTGCATCTATGTGACTCTAACTTTCACTTTCAACTCCTCTCACTCTGTCTCTTTCTCTCTCCACTGACATGTCTGGTATTGCAAGGTTAATGCCCCGTCAGGTAGAGGGCCTCATTAGTAAATTATCGTGTTGTGGAGGTAAGGCCGGTGCTGATATACGTCTCAGTGTCCTAGGCAGTCATCTGCCCGGGCTGGACCTGATGTTCCCCCACGCACAAACTGTGATTTAAAGCAGCCAGCATGTCCAACGTATTTCATCCTTCAGGACTGAAATCCCAGAAGTGTCAGCTCAGAAATAAAGAGAATTGTTTTAAATGGAGAGTTGGGGGAGAGGAACCAGGAGATGCGGTTCTGCCAGCGGTGCAAAAAGAGAAAAAATGACCACGCTTTGAGATCTATCAAGCGGCACGGGTCCGCATTGATGGGATGTGGGACGGGGGAATTACGCAAAGATTGGTTTCTCTAGCTGACCATATGTCACTGGCCGTGTATCAGCATGGCCTACTGAGGAATTGTGGGAGAGGTAGTATATCAACACCCAGAGAAAAATAGCCTAATGCTCTGAAGTGCACTTGTGTTATTCATTTATTCATGTGAGCTGTTAGGGGCCGTCTCTCACAGTAATGAGCCAGGGCTCAGATGGTGAGATCAGCGTTAATTGTTTTGGTTGAAGTCATTGATTATTGAGTGCTTTAATTATTAGTCACATCTGTTCCTTTGGCTTTCCCCATGGATGAATAGTTCTGATCAATCACGTTCGATCTTTCACGCTCTTACGTCAAGTCCCATAAACCACAATTGGTTTATTTTTGGTCTGATAAACTAAACACACTCTGGTAATGATTAGACTTTGTAAATTGTCTTGCAAATAAACTAGATAGCAAGATTAGAAATCAGATAGTCTAAACACGGAAAAATGGAGAAGAAAGTGTAAGCGAGAGAGACAGAGGGAGAGATCCTGCACCAATTTCCAGGGCTCCCATGACCACGGAACATGTTGTTGTGAAAAGTAGGAAAAACATCTTTAAAAGTCATAAATTCTTTAGTGAATATATCTTCTTTTATTTTTAGTTATGCTCAACTCTATCAAATCAACATTCATTATTATTATTTTACTTTCATAATATACATGTTTGGAGTAATTTTTTTTAATTAATGATTTTATTTAGCAAGGATGCATTAAATTGATCAAAAGTGACAATAACAAAGACATTTATAATGTTACAAAAGATTTATATTGCAACTAAATGCTGTTCTTTTAAACGTTCTATTCATCAAATAATCCTGAAAACAATTATGGTCACTTTAGATTAGGGTTCAGTTCTCACGATTAGCTATTAACTATTAACTAGTCAAGTCATCTTCATTTATATAGCGCTTTTAACAATGGATTGTTTCAAAGCAGCTTTACAGAGATAAACATATAATTTATCTCAAACTATGACTTTTGCTTCAATATACTCCTAATTACTGCTTATTAATAGTTAGTAAGGTAGTTGTTAAGTTTAGGTATTATTGGGTAGTAGAAAATGGCCATGCAGAATAAGGCATTGATATGTGCTTTATAAATACTAATAAACAGCCAATAATAGTAAAATGCATGCTAATAAGCAACTAGTTAATATTGAGAATTGGACCCTAAACTAAAGTGTTACTAAAATTATTATGGTTTCCACAAAAATAGAATAAGCAGCACAACTGTTTTTAACACTGATAATAATAAATGTTTCTTGAGCAGTAAATCAGCATATTAGAATGATTTATGAAGAATCATGTGACACTGAAGACTGGAGTAATGATGCTGAAAATTCAGCTTTGACATCACAGCAATAAATTAAATTTTCAAATATATTAAAATGGAAGCATTTATTAAAAACTGTAATGATATTTCACAATATTACTGTTTATATTGTATTTTTGATTAAAAAAATGCAGCCTTGGTGAGCATAAGATAAAAAAAAAACATTGACATATCTTATCAGCCCCAAACTTTTGAACGATAGTGCACATATTTCACAAATAACTGGAAAGGTCATGGACCGTTGGCCAATATGTGGGAACCCTGTTTGTGGAATCCTTCTGCAAAGGCTGTTTAATGAGGTGAAAAATGGCATCCTACTGTTTTTTTGTTTATTAAGAGTCTTAAAATACCACGATAACCTCCGAAACTGACAGTCTGTTCCCTTTCTTTCTCTGCAGATAACTTTCTTCATGTTGTTGTCTGCTGTGTGTGTGATGCTGAACCTCGCAGGAGCCATCCTTTCCTGTCAGAATGCCCAGTTGGTCAACTCTCTGGAGGACTGTCAGCTGGTGAGAGAGCCATGTCGTCAAACACATGCCTGAAATCACTTCTTTGTTGTAAAGGAAACCTTAAATAGATTTGTATGTCCAAACTGAAAATAGCTTAGTCCTAAACCTGTGTATTTTATCATCCTCTCAAAAGTAGCCTGTCACTAAAGAATCAATCCATTGAGCAATTACAGCTCCCAAGAGCATCATTCATTAACACGATGCCCTTGTCAAGATTTCAGTGAAATTAGCTCAACATTTAGTCGCTAAGGCAGAGAAAATGAGAGTGTCTGCCGGGACCCTTTTTTACATCCTGTAATAGTCTGTTGGAGCAGACTCACCACCTTTGTCCTCATTAAAACGGGTGCCTGATCAGCAGCCGAAGCTCACAGGGTTTTTCTAGCAAAAAAAAAAAAAAAAACATAATCATCAATTTTCTGGGGAGAGTAAAGAGTGCAGCAGATGAATGAATAGGAGTGGCTGAGTCTTCATAGTGGAAGTCAGTTCACGTAAATTAGCCATGTTAGTGCCGAATGTCCTGTCATGAGATCACTTTGCTTTTGCTAAAGAGGAAACAAATTCTTGAGACGTTGTTTGAATATGAGAATACATAATGAATGTTTATTTTACAGTTCAACTGTAAATTGTCAGTATGAAAGCTGTAAATTGAAGAGCTAAATCTATAGATCTAAAATATAGAATCTAAAAAACAAATTCTCTTTTATTTTATTATTGCAAATCATAAAACCTCTAAATTGTTGTTTTTGATACTGGAGAATATCCTCAAAGAATGCCACAGTATGTTTGTGTGCCGTCCATTGTGTTCTTTGAATGAAGGCTTATAAAGGAGATTAATAGAGCAGTCAGTCTTTGCTGTGCTTTCTATTGAGGTTGATTTATCAGCTCTACAGTCGGTCCAGTGCTGGCCCAGCATGGCATAACAGCTCAGCACGGCGTCCCCCATTTCTGTTATCCAGAACTGGACACCCCTCTCCAGCTCTAAGACCATGTATCCGCCTGGTGTGGAAGCAATGAATAACTAAATGATCAGTTGAGAAGTAGGATTCAGAATGGGTGGCAAATTAATTTATTAGGAATTTCTTTAAATAAAACATAGCACTAAATTGCTGTGCTATAAAAACAACTGCTAGAGTTTAGTGGAAGATCTTACAGTTATTAATTGTTCAACCATATCTCTGTGTACATTAATCACCAGGTAAGTCTTATTTGTTTGTTTCAAACTCAATTAAATGCATGACTGGCTTTCAGGTTATGGATAGAGGCTTTGAATTCATTTCAGCTTTTTTCTACTATCAGTGTTTCTACTGTTGTGTTTGTGGGTTTCGTTTTCAACACAAGCTTCTTATTCACAAAATTTTATTTTGAATATGATTGCAGTATATGTTTATAAAGTATTCATTAAAACATGAAAATTGACTTGAACGACTTTTATGGCAAAGCTATTTCATAATTTCGAATTGAGTAATTCAACCATGAGTTAAATAGTGAATTAGTTCAGCGGTAATAAGAAGCTGAAGTCTTATAGTGGGAAGTCAGTAAGAACACACATGGATGATAAAATGAAACTTTCTTTATATAATGATCAGATGTTTTTTTTAGATGAATGCACGGTGAAAGTGTTGATGGCTCTTTGAAATGGTACCTGAAAATGCTTTAATGATTCATCTTACAAAGGGTTGAGCTCGCACATCATGTGCCATGAGTTCAATAGATTAAACGTGTCATACAGATGAAATATTCAGGTGCTTTCAATCATTATGTATACTGTGAAGTTTGATATGAAATCCTGCATTCATATAATCAAATATAAATGATCATACTTTTTCTCCCAGCAATCAAAATAAGCGTAAATTGTGACGTTCTGTGGTTTGTGAAATTAGTGGGAACCTATTAAGGTTTATTTTAGTTTTTATTTTATTATATTAACCTTATTTTTCAGCAAGCAGAAGCAAAAAAAAACAGGCATTTAAAGTTTCACTCAATCTACAGCGGAGAGTTTTGTCTCACAAGATACTTATCTTAGAAATATATAGGAACTAATTACATGGTGATCTTTCCATTGTCCTTTCGTAAACAGGACCTTCATAATCCTCCAGTAATTCTCGATAATTGAACAGAAACAAAACACTGCTTTAATCACCTATCGTCATGGAAACATGACATTGAGAACCCAGTGGCGGTTCACACCTTGTGCTGTTGTGCTAAAACAGGTCCGGTGATTTTCCTTCCCTTTGTCTACTGCTTCAGACCAGGCCAAAGACAGACTTCTGTCTCCAACAGTCTCTACTCCACCTGATTTAGGGATTAGCATGTCGGATTAAGCATCTCTCTTCTCTGCCTACTGAACACTCGCCTCCTCAGAGACTTGATCCTGCCATGACTGAAATATTAATGACGTTTTTTCCTCGATTCAATTAACCCCTGCTTGCAAAGTTCACACATCGCTTTTGTGCAATATGGGTCAAATGGCGACTTGGTTTCAGTCAACACAAAGCATTTATAATGCTGGACCACAATGTATGGGATTTATTAAGATCTTTCTTAACAAACATGAATGATTAGGCTAAAGCTGTTAGGTTCAAGAATATAGGAAGCCTATAAATGTTGCAATGTGGAAGACATAATTATCTTACATATTAATCTTAATTTCAATTTTCAATACAGTAAGCTTCCACAAATATGCAGCAACTTTGTGTATGAGACAGTAGAAACCATTTTGCTATTATTATATATTTACATTGAAAAAGTGATTGAATTTAGGTAGTTTGTTCTTTTATAAATATGACGCTGTCTAATATAGCTGCCAGCTACAGTATTAATATGTCATCATCCATGGTAACTTCTAACTAACAAGTTTATTTTCAAAGGCATCTAAACAGCAGAATATTTCGGATGTGCCTCAAAAGAGAAATGTTGTTGAACATTTCTCTCCTGCTTCTTTCCGGCAGACTGAGAACTCTATTTAATGTGTGCTGAACAAGTGTCATCACTGTAATGTGCTTATGAAGAAATTTAGTGCGCCACAGTTGTCCCTGGCCTGCCCTATTTACGTGTTTGTGTTTTCACCTTGAGCAGTCACACAATTCTATGGTCTATTTTATGCAGAAACAATCATTTGACTTGCATGAAACTGAAACCAGTTTGTTTCTGTCCTTCTGCAGATCAAATTTGACAGTGATGGTGTGTGTGTCTGCTGTGAGCTCGAGCACCTGAAATCCACCTGTAATAATCTGGGAGATACGCTTAAACTCAACCCACTGAGGGACTGCAACACCATACGCCTCCGACTGAAGGTATCAGTGTGTGTGTGTGTGTGTGTTTTCTGTAATGGGTAGGTTTTGGGGGTAGGGTTAATGTAAGGGGATAGAATAAACAGTTTGTACTGTATAAAAAACATAAAAAAAAGTAAAAGTAAAAAACAGTAACAGTAAAAAAGTCTACAGAGAGTACCTCAAAGATAGCAAACCAGGTGTGTGTGTGTACATGTAGGTGTTTGTAACATGCTTGTATCTGTATCTGTTCACAACGTAAATTAGATAAGTTTGGATGTTTGGGTGATATGATGTTTGAAAATTGATTTCAGAACATTGTTAACATAGCCAGCTATTTTTCTTTATATTCTTTAAAGTCCCAGTGAACCGGAAGTTGCAATTGACTTTACTTCAGTGTTGTGAGTGACGTATTTCCAAGTGAAACAGAATATTGAATAGAGGGCAGGATTTTACTTCAGCGCACCTCCTCTCCATCTCTTGCTCATAGCAGACTTGACGGTTGGAGGGGAGTGGTTAAGCGTTTTCAATCCAAGCCGTCAAACTGACGTCATCAGAGCAGGAACACCATTCCAGAACGGAAGCAAATGTCCCATTTTTTTATTAAAGATTACCACGACAAACACATTTTTTTTCTGTGTATTAACTTGCACGGATTAATTGTTCACCACAAGACTAGAAATGTGTGCTAATAGGGTCAATTTTGATTCAATGACGACTTTAATAGCCTCTTCTATCAATTTGATATTCAAGTATTAATTTTTTTTTTATCATTACAGATAGACTTTTTGATTGCCTCCAGTTAATGAATATTGGATCAGACAAGTAAATGAAGAGAAATAAATGCATTAGTTATGTAAATGATGGTTATTTTATAATCATCCATGTATTGTTTGAAAATCTCTAGGCTTCTTTAATTAGCCAGATTAAAAACTACCATCATCAATAATCTTTATAATAAATAAAATGGGGGGTGTCTCTAGATAAAGCAATGTAGTAACTTTTATCTATATTCCTTGACTAAAAGGGAGAAGGTCCTGCATCTTTACAATTAAGAGACATTCTCACAGACTGTACTGTATATACACTCACTACCATTCATAAGTTTGGGGTCGGCAAGATTTTCTAATATTTGGTATTTTTAATATGTCTGTTATGCTCACCCTGGCTATACATTTATTTCCTCACACATACAGTAAAAAAGAGGTATATTGTGAAATGTTATTACAATTTAAAATTATTGGTTATATTTGTTTTTTATATATTTTAAAATGTAATTTATTCCTTTGATGATGGCAAAGCTGAATTTTCAGCCCGTCTTCAGTGTCACATGCTGATTTTCTGCTCAAGAAACATTTCTTATTATTATCAGTGTTGACAGACTGACCCCAAACATTTAAACAATAGTGTACTGTGTATAATTAAGGACTGGACTGTAGAGTAATAGCACAGATGTGAGTATTGAGTGGTGCTAGTCTGCATTTGTAGTAGAAATTTGCAGATTCAGACCCAGGTAGGGATGATGTAGAACTGTGAGAGATAATGAGACCTCAATCTTCTCTGGCACCATTATACCTGTGGGTCACTCCAAGGGTATTGTCCCTGCAGGAATGGCACTGTAAGTCACCTTAGATGAAAAATGACGAGTTTCAGTGTTACAAAGTGTTCATTTAGTCAATTTAACATGGGTTGCATTACGATCCTAGTTTCTGATGCATTGTTTTTGTGGGATTGTGATATTCTTATATGGAATACAGAGAAAGAGATATTTTAAGCATTAATGGTTTTGGTTTGTACTCTTGTTCTGCTGTTTGGCTTTGAATGTTGTTTTTGAGTACCAATCATTTTTGCATTATATTTTTGAGGAATATATTAATAAAATATCGCACTTTTAGCTTGGAGAAGTATTTTTTGCCTCTGCTCCCATGCACATTTGCTGTGTTCCTTCAGGAATGTCTCCAATTTCAAACACTTTTTCATTTGACTTTTAGAGAGTATTTGAACCATTTAGCAGAGCAAGAATTACACGCTATTCCCAAAAACGCCTGCCTTATTGGACATGTCTCTTCACGTTGTACTGTGGATCTCTCTCTAATATGCAGATGAGACTCAGTCATCATTAGTTATGCATCTTCAATTAGCGCTCGCCGTTGGTTTCTTTTCCAGTGTCTAAGCAATTCACTCATGCTAGCCATGATCTCGGGGCTTTTGGCAGCTTTTGAAACGGGATGTGGTGATGTGAGGCTTCTACAAATTTGCTTGTACAAAGCATCCGCCGCTCTTTATGAAATCAAGAAAAACACTTGCCTGTAAGCAATTGCTTATAAATGCTTGTAAACCTGCCTCATGAAACCTTGTCAGTAGTGTGAAATCATGTAGAATTATTATAATACAGAATTATTATTATTATTTTTACATATTCATATTCATTATTTTAAAACTACAAAAACGCACAGTACATCTTCTTTCCCTATACAGTGTTGTATTTGCAAGGTATTTGTAATGCCATCATAGACATATAGGCCCGGTTTCACAGACAGGGCTTAGATTAAGCCAGGATTTTTATTTAATTTTTTCTTTTCAATCACTGAAAACCTTTTTGAATAGTTTTAGTTTGAATTAACAATAACGTCACTATATGACTATTGATGGTTTATATTATATCTCTAGCACTTACTCAGGTGGCGTTATGAAACATAAATAAGATTTATACACTTTAATGCTATTACTGATGTCTGAAGGTCTCATGTCTTTTTATGGCCAGTCAGGCCAATTTTGATGGCTATAAAAGACCCTCAGTACAATTAATGTTATGGCTCATTGGCATATTGTACCATGTGACTCCCACATTGTAAGGGTCCTGGGCTATTATATACCACTGGTGTGTTTCATATTGACAGCCTTGTTTTCCTTTAGGACTCGTTTGTATGGAGGTATAATACCTTGAGGTGTTTGTCACATAATGACGGCCATGTCAAAAGTGACATGTCAGTACCATCATATCTGATGAAACCGATTGCAAGTTTGCTGTCCAGCAACTACTCAGATTACTGGTTTAGACCCTCATCAACATGTGAATGCAAGAAATGGTACCATGTTCCATCAGCTTTAAGACCTGTATGAATGTATTTTCAATCATTCTTTTTTTCCCCTCTTGTCGTCAGGGGGACATGTGTTAGAATTGCTGGCTCAAAATGGGAAGAGCAGGTGTTTCTCGGTGGAGCTGACCTAGTACCTCTGTTAGATGTGCTGTAACACAACTGCACAAGCTAGTTCTGCATCCTACTGGAGTTAGTCCAATCATAACATTAGCTTGTTGTATAGGTACATACTGTAGGTGGTCTTGATCTGTTTGATCACTGCTTTTTGCCACCGCTGCTGAATCTACAGCACGACAACAAAAATAATATTTTACCCAGTGTGAGTTTAATGTCTGAACTGAAGGTTGTGAGATAAAAACTATATTGCGAAATAAAGGCTAGAAAATACATCTCTCTCTATTGAGTCGTGGGCTACATGCAAAGACAAATGTAATTGTGTAAGCCTGTATATCGGTCCAATGGTGGTCTTCCAATAATACGGGTGAAGGTTTCTGCGGGTTATTGTCTTTCCTTTTACACAACACAGCAAGATTAAATGGAATATATTTTCTCATATGTATCAACTCGTTATTTCATCTGACTCCATAAATGAAAAAGTTTTAATGATATCTGGGCACCATTAAAAGTGAGCAAATGTTTGATTATCCTTTTTTAACTCTTTATTTATGTTTTACCCGCTCAGGGGTGCATTTCCCGAAAGCATCGTTAGCCAACTATGGTCGCAAGTTCCGTCGTTACCAATAGAGTTCAATGGGAATTGCGATCATAGTTGGATAACGATGCTTTCGGGAAACGCACCCCAGATTAGGAAGCTATGTCACTCAGAGGTCCTCGCGTCTTCCGCGGGTCTCACGCTCGCAATCTCGCCAGTTTTGGTCATCAAACAGAGGTAATTGCTATATACCTGAGATCGGTCACATTCACGTTTACACAATCAAAGATACTTTTGGTATAGCCCCATGGAATTGCACACACTTGAATTTAATTTAAACGTTACCTTCAGTAGAGGTCATGGCCACTATTACAGATATAAGCTGACCAACGTTACTTCTCTTATAATAGCTTTGGATTGGCCAAGCCGTGATTTCCCACGTACACTTATCTAAAGTAACATTAAATTAAAACAGAGGTAATTAGACACACCCAAATTCAGGTTGATCGAACAGCATTTTCTGTCCTAAACGGAAATAACTTGTCTCTACAAACCAAGTACACTTGAATTGATGCCAAATATTGTCACTAATCTGACGCAAACTTGCGGAAACATACGAATCCAGTTAATCTTGGGAAAACGATTTCAATTTCAATCGGTAATCTACTGATATTCCTGCCGTTCCCGGATGTCAAATGTTGAATTTTCTGTCGAATTTGAACCACTGAATTTGTGGAAGCGAATTCGGAAAGCGAAATAAAATGGACCGAAAATTGCCTGTCGAATATTATAGGTTGTATTTTTAAACAGAATGAATCTTTTGGAAGGTGAATATGGATTATTGAATTTTTAATAATGAAAATGTGTGTGAAATGTTTTGAATTGAAATATTCACAGCTTAAATATTCAACCATGTTGAATTTCAGCCCATAAAAATGCAAGCCCTAAAAATACAATGCATTAAAATGCAAGCAGGGTTAATGCAATGCATATTTTTTCAAGTAGTGCATGCAATTCAACAAGCTTTTTTGTTTCAAAAACATTTGTCATTGTTTTACTTCCATAGGGGAATCTCCTCAACCACCACCAATCACTGAATCTTTCACATAATTTACTCATTGAATCAGTCAGAGATTCATTCAGATTCATTACTGAATCACTATCTGACACACTAACTGAACTGACCGTTTTTACTTTTTCATTAATGATGTCTGTTTTGAAATGAAGCAAGTTTTGTGTACTAGTGTAATGTTGTTAAACATTACCTTTTGAGTTTTGTTTTTTAAATTAAATTATATATTGATATTTTAATTAAAAACTGAAAAAATGGATATAAAAGATAAAAATTGGACCAAAACAACTTAAAAAAATGCATTCGAGTCTCTTTTGTCCAGACCCTTATTGTTTGCATTTGTATAAACACATCCCCCGCCTTCAAAGAGGAGGTATTGGCCTTTTTGGAAGGTTACAGTCATGTAGAAGTGGTTAGCCCTGTCCGGTCCTCTCAGGATGGGCTCCTTTCACCTAAAGGACTTGTGCACATTTAAGAATTCAGCATTTTCCTTGAGGACATCACTGGGTCACATACATTTCATCTTGTCACAACGAGAGATCGGACAGGGCTCTGATAGCAGGTGTGTGTGATGAGCTGTCGTGAATACTGAATGTATTTAACATTTTGTGGATGCAGATCTACCACCCAGATCAGTCTGGCAGAATTCCGAACAGCGCCAGTGACGTCCTTGGGTTTTTCTTTTAGTGATCTCTTTCTCTTGATGACTGTAGTGGCTCTCGCTTATGCTGATAAGTTATGCTATATGTATGTGTATCAATTCTTAAAATCCCAAGATTCATTTACTTAAACTCAATACCTGCGTTTTCTTGCAATTCCTTGTGGGCTGCACATAGTACCAAAGCACAATCAGTGTAGTCTGATTCATGAACAAATTATTATTACTCTTGTGATTGTCCTTGTCCTTTATAGGTGGATGTACAGTATACATGGTATATAGACCCATTTAGTGGTGGTCATGAGGGGATAACTGAAGTGATCATGAGGTTATATCTTTTTTTTTTTTTTTTTTTTTTTTTTTTTCACATTGTTAGTAACATTTGTAAACTAATGAAATGCATTTAAAGTCAATTTAAAACTTCAGTTTTGGGTTGTTTATTATTCTGTTATATTAATGGTAGTTAAATTGCATAGTTTGGGCCTTGTTAATTTTTTTAATTAACATTTTTGTTCCGAGTTACAAGAAAGTTCCTGTATATTTACATCAAAAGCTGAAGCGGAATGGACATTATAACTGAAATATACAGGAATCAAATCAAATTGAATTGGAATGTGGGAATCAAATCAAATAGTCCTACTAGTCTTTGAATGGGAATCGATATTTAAAGCTGCAGAAGGACCCTGATTTCACCATTTAGTTCAGCTTTTTGTGCTTATCTTTTGCAGAACGATGATGCCATGCAAAAGTCCCACTTTGGTGACACCATTATCCCTCTTATCCATTATGTCATAGTTACTCTCTCTTTCTCTCTCCCACACATTTGTTCTTTCCTGACGGCCGTCTCTCTCACTCTGACAAATGGAACAATAAATGTTCGTGCCAGCCTGAGGTTTTTCCCAACAAAACAATTGCCACTCTCGTTTATTTTCTCTCTTTCTCTCACTCTCTTTCTATCCTTCTGTCTCTTTCCCGTTGATTCTCACCTTCTTGTCCTCTCCCTTCTTATCCCTGTCTCTCCATTTTTCTCTCTGTCTCCCAGGAGCTGCTTTTCAGCGTGTGTGCACTGAATGTTATCTCCACCATTGTGTGTGCTCTGGCCACTGCCGTGTGCTGTATGCAAATGGTTTCTACTGATTTACTACAGATGGTAAGTGTGATCCATACCGCAATGTGTGTGCGTCTTTCTGAGTGTGTTAATGCACATTACATTTTCCCATTACATCATAATGGAAAGATTAGACAATTAAAACAATTGAACATGTAATAGTTTAATTAGCAAAATGTCAGAAAATAGTCTATATTCATAGCCATCAAAAGAAATAAAGGCAATTTAATCAAATTTCATCAAGTGTACCTTATATTGACCTAAATATTTTTTTACATTAAGCACAGTCCAGAGCAAAATAGCACAGTGGATTTGGTGGTATACAAAAACAAATCATTAAATATATCCTCTGACTACATCAGACATGTACACCGAATGTGCCGAATCTCATACTTCAAATTAACCCTTATGTTTTCCCTAGAGAAACTAGAGACCTGATTGCCTTGTGGATTAAGGAAAAAATCAGTCTTGACATTAATGCGGATTTTTGGATCTTCCTATCCTGCACATCAGGGCAAAACCTCCCCTATAAATATGGATTGTTTTTTTTAGTTTTTTCATGTTTTGCTGGCCGAGAGTGGTCTTGAACTTTGTAAAATTAGTTGACGTTATTTAAAGTAAGGAAACCCATTGCCTTAGGAAAATTACAAAAGTCAATTTGAACCACAACTGTTTAAGTAAACTTATATTTTTCAATTTGTAGGAAAACGTTCCTACAGTTCCTTCCTAAAGTTATATGTTTCCTCACCAAGTAAAGTCAATAATTGTACTGACACCTAATGTAGTATCACCATGGATACAACATCATGCAAAAAAAAAAATAGATTTGGTTACCAATGGCATAATAAAAGTAACCTATTCGCAGGGATGTTGGTCACCCATATTCTTCAACCAAAGTGTTACAGAGATTATGTGAGTTCACATGTTATTCAGCTCTTCTCTTATGGAAATAAAACAACTTTTTTTTAAGCAATTGATGCAGGAGTCTTCATCTCATCCGGTTGTACTTCATTTTAAACATATTTTTCAAAAGTACTGTTCTATTAATTTCTTAAGCATAAGATTGAATGAGGATGAGACCCCAGACGTTACAATGCTCTGTGGAAGAGAACTGCTGATCTGTCATTGCTCACTTTCAGTTGATCTGTCTTTTTCAGCCAGCCTGTTTTATGTGAGAGAAAATAAACTTGTGGGACATAAAGTTTTAATATTCTTTAAGAGTGGGCTTTGTGCGCTTTATGGGCACTGCAGTAAATTGCACAGCCTCATGGATGGCTGCAGCAGAGGCATGGGCACAGGGAGATGAATTGAGATGACTTATATTAGCATGGCTGCGGCTCTGTGAATCGCTAGAGCAGTTGTGGGATTAGTTTCGACTCAGGGCACAGAGTGGCAAAGCGAGAAATCACCACTGTTACCAGCTGCACAGTCCATGCACAAAGACAACAGATGCCCGAGGGCAGGGATGAGGGGAAGCACTGCATGGAGCTTTTCCCGTTGCAGCTGTATTAACTGATTTCCTCATAACCTTATCATTTGTATTTTATCTCTGCATACATTGGGTGGTTGTTATTTAGAACCATGTAATGAAACGATACACATTCTGACGTTGTGAAACTTATACTGCTGCCTGAACTTATCTGTCATTTACAGTCACTGCCTCCCTTAATGATGCTTAAGATCAGAGTGATGATTTCAGTATCTTCTGATTGATGAGGCTTCACATATTCTAATATGATATCAACAGGAAAGTGCATTGTCATCATAAAAAATGCTTTAAACCTATCCTTGAACTCATAAGGAATATGGCACAAAATGAGTTACTCTTCCCATCTGAACTTTTCAACCGGCTGATTCATTACAGATCAGTGGAATGAAATTCGCCCTATCTTATGCATGACGTCCGCTACACTAGACAGAACTTTAAAAGCAATTTTTAAGGGATAGTTCACACAAAAATGAAACCGTTTACTCACCTCGTTCCAACCCTGAACTAAAAAACAATTTCTGTTGAGCTTAAAACAAGACCTTTTGAGAAATGCCTTTTTTTTTGTCTATACAATCAACATGGAGAGTAAATGATGGCGGAATTTTCATTTGTGGGTGAACAATTCCATTCATGTCTGAATGGAATTCCAACAATTCCATTCAGACAGTGTGGTCACATCCAAATCACCGTGATAACCTTTGACCCTTTCCCATAATTATGACTCTCTTCTTAATGTATTTTCTTAATCATGTGTTTTTCTATTTCTGACAACCTAAATTTTACATGGCTGATGAATATAGAGATGCACCATTATGGTATTCTCTCAAATACATAAAAAAAAGAAAAGAAAAAGATTTGGAATGATTATATCCTTGCTTTGAAGTAAAATTCTTCAGTAACACTTTACAATAAGGTTCATTAGTTAACATTAGTTAACTACCTTAGTTAACATGAATTAAGAATAAAAAATACTTCTTCAGCATTTATTAATCTTAGTTAATATTAACTTTGACATTTACCAATATGCCATTAAAATCAAAGGTTGTGTTTGTTAACATTAGTTAATACACGGTGAACTGACATGAACAAACAATGAACAGCTGTATTTTTATTAACTAACATTAACAAAGATTAATACATACTGTATTAATCATTGTTAGTTCATACATTAACTAATGTTAACTAATGAACCTTATTGTAAAGTGTTACCAATTCTTCTTTTCCTTTAATAATTCATGCATCAGAGGGTTAAATTGCATAAAATGAAACACTTTAGCCAAAAGGGACAGGGAGAGACACGGCTGTACTGTAGCTATCCTCACTGTACTACTTTTAGTCTTCTTTGTTTTGAACGCAATGAAAATTATGTAACTGTGACTTCAAAAAACACAGAATTTGTATGGTGAATGACTTCATCATCATTAGATGGTCATTAAATTCACTACCAACCAAACGTTTGGGGTCAGTTAGATTTCTTTTCATTAATACTTCATTGGGGCGCATTAAATTTATCAAAAGTGACAGTAAAGACTATTTGGTAACGCTTCCATTTACAGTACAGTACTTACGTGTACTTACAGTGTACTTACCTAGAAAGTACTGGCCAATATAAGGTAAGTACATGGGTTAGGGGTAGGTTTAGGGTTAGTAGTAGTACCTAGTTATTACCCAGTAATTATAATTACTATAATAAGTACATAGTAAGTACATGGGTAACAGGACTGTAAAAGGAAGCGTTACCGACTATTTCTATTTCAAGTAAATGCTGTTCTTTTGAATTTTCTGTTCATCAAAGAATCCTGAATAAAATGTATCATGGTTTCCACTAGTATATTATGCAGCACAACTGTTTTTAACATTGATAATAATAAGAAATGTTTCTTGAGCAGTAAATTAGCATATTAGAATGATTTCTGAAGGATCATGTGACACTGAAGACTGGAATAATGATGCTGAAAATTCAACTTGGCATTACAGGAATAAATTAGATTCTTAAAATATATCGAAATAGAAAACAGTTATTTTAAATTGTAATAATAATTCACATTATTATTGTTTTTACCTTGTTTTTGATTATATAAATGCAGCCTTGGTGAGCATAAAAGACTTCTTTCCAAAACATTAGAAAATCTTACTGACCCCAAAATTTTGAACGGTAGTGCTGCTGAGGGTCACACAAAATTAGCACTTCTAATTTTTTAAACGGTAGTGCATGTTTAACTGTTTTTTTTTGTGTGTTTTTGTTTTTATCAGTTCATGCCACACAGAGCACGTGCCCTGAGTGCTGACTGTATGACCCCTCATGGTACCATCTTACACCAGACGCTGGACTTTGACGAGTTCATCCCACCCATCCCGCCTCCTCCCTACTACCCCCCAGAGTACACCTGCACACCTGTAATGGAGGGCCAGAGGTAAACCCGCACACAAACAACATACTGATTTCCAGCTGACTTGAAATGACCTAATATTTGCACTATATCTGAGAAACATATATATCTGCAAATTCTGTACTCTGAAAAATCGAGTTTTGAGTGTTTTGAATAGATTGATTCAAAGAGATTTATGAAATTGTCCCATGGACATTTGCATGGGAATTCATACCATGTTGTATAAGTGCAGGTCTCAAGGCAAACTGCTCTGACAATCCATATTATGGAGCGGCAGAGTCCCTGGCCTGGTGTAAATCCACCATTGATTTCCCTGTCTCGCACTGTGAGACACTCTGCCCACCATCCCATCATAAAAAACGTGCTGATGAGGCTGTTTAGCCCGCGGCCACACTAATGTGTCAACAAAGCAGTAAATACATAGAGAGCAAGAGCATACATACACACTGAGTGCTTCAACGCACAATCAGTGTCAGCCTGTCAGGATGTGGTAATACACAAGAAACATATGAAAAAACACAGATTCCTCCCCTCCAATATGAAAGGGGGAGTTTGGTAATTTAAAGAATAATATATATTACTCACTGAGATGAAGAGGAAATAGTTTCATTTTCCACAGTTCCTAAATGGCCTCACATATTTTTTGCAACTTCCCACATCCAAATTTGTTGAAGCAGTGACGTAGTGTTATAATCATGTTTTACCAACATCTCTGTCCATTAGAGGGTTGCATCTGGACTTTCCACACTCTCCCTTCAGTGCTATTTATGGGGTGCCTATTAACAGCCCCGGGGCTCTATATCCATCTGAGTTGCCACCACCCTACGAATCTGTCGTGGGACAAACACCTGCCAGCCAGGTAAGAGCTGACACCTTTTCTACAATCTACTGTAATGATTAATTGGCTATTAAGGGAGCATGTTTAAAGAATATTAGTCATTTTGGGTGGCTACAAATAATTTTTATGTTCTGAAGGAGTTTCTGTGAACAACTGCAATATGTGACCTTTACTGTAATAAAACACCTTTTCATTCACAGACAGTTTCATTCGATTTTTGATGTTACAGCCACATCAGTAATGTGATTTCCATGAGTATGAGAAGGGAAATTGTACACTTAAGCTTAAAACGAAGAAAAAATCTAAATCTAAAGTTAATTGTTATAATATAGATTTTTTGGAATAACACCACATGACATTTTACAATCTAAAGTACTAACCCAAATAAAATAAATGAAGTTGTCAATTAATTTTAATTCAGAAATTAAAACATTGAATTCAGAAATGAAAACATGTTGTACGTGTGAATTGCATTTGATGTATTTTTAAATAAATGAATAGATGAGCGTCACATCAATTACTGTTTCATGACAGTTCCTGGTTTCTCATAGATTTGACTAATAGTTTGCAGGTATTTCAGTCTTAAAGCAATGCATACCACTAATTCAGCAATGTACACTCATTTGTCTGTGTAAAGCTCGGCAGTCAGAAGGTCCTCCGGTGCACTTGAGGGGCAGAAAGAAATTAATACAAGTGCCTTTGTATAATGGATTATCATTTTTTCTGGAACACATCAGCAATACAGGCAGGAATTTCATTCCATTCAAAAGAAATGGCCTTTCTTATAGTGAGAGCTGGCCCTGTTTTATGAACAATGATTTTTCATCAAATTTCACTTCTTCACCTGATGGAAGGGAACAAGAGCTCTCCTCTTTTCAAAGAGATGCACAAAGGACCACCAAACCTTTCAAATCCAGCGACTGAGCTTGTGATCACGTGTTATTTTGAAGATTTGTTTGCTACCTAAAGGAATCTGAGATTTAAAAAAGGATAAAATCCCAAGAGGTTTCCTTGATTTTAGACCTTTCTCGTGTGAAGCGATTGATAACCATCTGCAAACAAAGCAGCAGGGGCATTTCAATCATTGGAGCCCCTTTTTACCTGAAGCACAAGCCTGAGAAGCTTTGAAAGAAAAACTGCAATACTAGAGACTGGAAGAAATATTTTTAAATTGATATAGTCAGCTTTATATACAGCTACTGACTACAGCCTGCAGCTTATTTTCACATTTTTATTCAAATCCAGCTGTGCTGTCGACTTAAAGGGATACTCCACCCAAAAATGAAAATTCTGTCATCATTTACTCACCCTCAAGTTGTTGCAAACCTGTATGAGTTTCTTTCTTCTGCTGAACACAAAGGAAGATATTTTGAAGAACGATTGGAACTTTGGCACCATTGACTTCCATAGTATTTTTTTTTTTTTTTTTACTATGGAAGTCAATGGTGCCAAACAACTGTTTGGTTCCAATCGTTCTTCAAAACATCTTCCTTTGTGTTCAGCAGAAGAGAGAAACTCATACAGGGCTGCAACAACTTGAGGGGGAGTAAATGATGACAGAATTTTCATTTTTGGGTGGAGTATCCCTTTAAGCTCTCTGTATACTGGATACATTCTCTGTATAGACTTTTATGTGGTTTGGATCAATCATGTTATTTGGATTTATTTCTTTTTTTAACCACACAATGTGCAGTCATAATAATGCAGAAGTTAGAAGAGCAAATCTGATCTTGAAGAGCCCCCTGCTGGTCATAGGATGGCGTAGACATTTTAAAGCACTGCTGTGATGCCAGATGTCAGGCTGCAGCAGATTTCTCACTGCCAGATGTTTTGCTGTCTGATTCCCCTCCTTTTGCAGTTGTTTGTTGTCGTCTTCAGGTGTTAGACCGTTTTTAATCACCATCCTCTCCAGAAGGTTACACTCAAAACAGTTTGAAGCTTGTGTTTTAAACGCATAATAATTGATCAACTTGTTAAAAAATGTAAATAAAATATAGCCCTCTGTATTTTCTCTCATTCAGATCACCACCAGTCTAGAGCAACAGGTCACCGAGTCCAGTCTGTGCGAAAGGAACACCACAGCTGGCCTTAGCACTCAGGGTGAGGAGGCTGCAATGATAATACAAAGTCAGAGGTTTTCCCTTCTCTGGTGTATCTATGTAGGCTATGGGCTATTTAGAATTAGAAGGCAATCTTTGTTTAAATATACCATTACCTCCACATTAGCATATTGTATCTGTAATGTTTGATAGAACATTGGTTCACAGCTGGCTTTGCTTCAGGACATAGACTTTACTGTGGAAATAGATTTTACTCTACACTACTGTTTAAAAGTTTAGGTTTGGTAAGATTTTTAATGTTTCTGAAAGTCTCTTATTTTCCCCAGAAATATTGTAAAATATTACTTCTATTTGAATATATTTTAAAATGTGATGTATTCCTGAGATGGCAAAGCTGAATTTTTTTAACAGCCATTACTCCAGTCTTCAGTGTCACATGATCCTCCAGAAATCAAATCACATTTGAAAATAATTATTTGAAATTGTAATAATATTTCACAATATTACTGTTTTTACTCTATTTTTCATCTAATAAAAGCAGCTTTGGTGAGCATAAGGGACTCTTACTGCTGCCTAACTTTTGAACGGTAGCGTGATAATTGTCCTTTATACATTATATTATACATCTGCTGAAAAAAAACACTAATTTATCTCATTAATCAACCTTCAATTATAGTCTGTATATAAAGATGATATGGTCTCTGTTTCCACAGCCTCTGTTGATAGTGCTTCCCTTATGGTGTCCGAGACTGCAGACATCCCCGATCACAGTTGTTCCTCTGAAGACCTGTGTTCTCTAGAGGTACAGGGCTCTGATTCCTCTCCGTATGGCACTTTGCGCATCGTACCTACTGACGGCAGCTGCACAAGCCTGGAACACAGCACCCACTCTTCCCTGAGGCGTCAGACCCCTGCTCGACTGGACCGCAGCGAGTCCTCCGTCACGCACGATTCAAAGCCCCACTCTCCACAGTTGTCACCCGATGCTGTTAACGTGCCCGAGAAGGAGGAGATTACAGCCGTTAAACCCATGTCTCGCACACAGCACAGAGAACGAACCAATAAGAAGCTTACCCTTCTATTCCCTCCAAGCACTCCATCCCAATGTGCTTCCAACTCAGCAGTGACCTCCACTGCCGGTGCAGCTTCTGCCCTGACCCCCTCCATCTGCACCTCCCCGTCACCCACCGCTCAGCTGAGGGGAACCCGGCTCTGCTTCAGCGTCTGGTCTCCATCCTCCTCTTCCTCACAGCCCCATGCTACCTCTACCCTGAGCAACTCCAACCAACGTGAGCGGCCCCGCACACTCCGTGCCACCAAAGGGTATCGGAAGCTGGCAAGGATTGTGCGTTCCACTAGTGAACCCACATCCTGTACTTCCATGTCTAGAAGTACGTGAGTCTTTTTTTCTTTCTTTGATTCAGTTCGATAGGGCTTTTCACACTGAAATTGTTAAACATTCATTCTTAGGTTTTTCCATGTTTCATATTGTACATTTATAAACCCCAGGTTAACCTTTTTATTTGTGGGGTCAGTATCATTGATCGGACAAACACAGTACATGACCTATTTAGATAGCATCTTGTCTCATTCTTGCACATCTGTCAGGTATAGTATATATACACTATCATTGTAATGTTTGGGGTCAGCAATATTTTTTTTCCTAAGAAATTAGTACTTCAGCAAGGATGCATTATTGATCAAAGTGACAACAACAGACATTTATAATGTTACACGATATTTCTATTTCAAATGATTGTTGTTCTTTTGATCCTGGAAAAAAATGGTATCAAGGTTTCCACAAAAATATTAAGCAAAAGAACTTTTCTTCAACATTAATGATATTAAGAAATGTTCCTTGAGCAGCAAAACAACATATTAGAATGATTTCTGAAAGGATCATGTGACACTGAAGACTGGAGTAATGATACTGAAAATCCAGCTTTGCATCAGAGGAATAAATTACATTTTAAAATATATTAAAATAGAAAACAGTTATTTAGAAAAATAATATGGTACTGTTATTACTGTATTTTTAAACACATTTTTGAAAGTCAGCGTATTCCTGATTGTATTTGTCCCAAGTAGACATTTCGGAACTTAATAGTATTTATACTTTTTAGCTCAATTGATGTTTATCACTGACATTTAGAACCGTCATTGCTTGTTGTAGGAATAGGAAATGTATGAACTTTTCAAATTATATCATACGGCATTGTATTAAGTCATTTATAGCCCATGAGCAATCTGGAGAACTAAGCATGTGACTTGACTTGCAGGTGACCGTTGTGCTCCTGCTTCTATCCATCCACCTGAGGACTCCCCGCAGACTCCCTGTGATCAAGGTTTCACCCCACCTCTTCTGGTTTCTGTTATCCATGTAGCACAGAAGTCAAAGGATATAGTTATTCATCTCACATAAAAATGATGGTTATTAGAATAAACATACTAATTCACTGCTCTTCACAGCATGCATGGAGCTCTCTGAAAGCACCCGACAGACTTCTGCCAAACACAGCAGCCAAGGGGGCAAGAAGCAGAAGGACGGTGGAAAGGTGGACATCCAACTCAAACCTCACATCCCTCACTCAATGTCTACAGAACGGCCGCAATCTCTCGCAGACCTCAAGACTTACAAAGACACCAAAGTGCTGGTGGCCAAGTTTCTGGAGCACTCGAGCTGCAGTCTACCTCCAGAGGTCCAGCAGGTGGTCAACAGCATTAAATGTGTTATTAAATCTGATGAGAAACACATGGAGGAGGCCATATTCAGTGCCAATATCATTGATCAGGTGAATTTGACATATTTTTGTGTAAAATATGTAGTATTTTTGTATTCTTGATAATCTCACCCATAAGATAAGGAATGACTACTTTTTGCTCTAATACAGTAGTTGAACGTGAAATACAACTGAATTACATTGGGGATGTTTGTTTTGCTCATGTCCTTCACACAGTTGATGACACAGTCACGGAAGATCATGGGCAGCCCGAGGAAGAATGCTCACGAAGATCTGCATTTACAGAGCTGCGGAGCTCTGAGTTCCCCATCTTCATCCTTGCGCCGTCCACTCAGAGGATCCAGTCAGACAGATGTCCCTGCCACCCTGGGTCATCAGTCTCCACGCCAGCCTCAAAGTCTCATCAGTGTATGCAGAGAAACTACACTTTGACCCTCTGGACTACAAACACCCTTTTCCTCATAAACCTCTGAATATGTGCCAAGGCCAAGTCCTAACTCTCATCAGCAGAAAACTGTAGCTCTTGAAAAACAAACAAAATGTTAACATGGAGTTAACACTCCCTCGTAATAAAGATATTCAAAAAATACCTGCAGAGGTATATATTTTTATTTTATTGTCAGAAATTTTTTTTTTGGTTGTTGAAGTGTTGAATTTGCTACTGTGCTAAACAGGAGAAAGGGTCTGTAATGGACTGTAGAAGATGACATGGAATTACCTCTTCATGACCTCTTCAACTTTTTTTTTTTAATGAGAATTAATATTGAAATGCACAGCTTCTGCAAACATTTTGTGAAATATTGGACATACTGTACTTGGTCATTGTGTGCCACTTCAGGACAGAGACCTTTATGAAGCTGGATTATTCAACTTACCTCAGTGTGTAATTATTATTTTCAGTGTTGCAAAATAAAAATGTGTCTGTTTGTATTTTTTTTCTCTAGATTGCTATTTTAACCCCCTCATTATTTGAATTTTAGTTTAGTTTAGTTTAGTTTAGTTTAGTTTAGTTTAGTTTAGTTTAGTTTAGTTTAGTTTAACAGGGACCATGCACAACAAATGTTGTGCCAGAGTTAGCTAGATAGCTAATTTGCATCTGTGGTTCCTGGGCAAGATATTATTTGTTACATAAAATTACAGCACTCCATTACAATCCAGAAATAAATAAGAAAATATCACATTACAATAAAACCAATTACAATGTCACAATACCATAAAAAAATCTAAATGAATGATCACATGATTGATTTTTAAATGTTTAAAAATGCTAAATGATGCACACTTTCTAATAACAGGCACTGAATGCCATCTTTCTGCTGCTCTAAATGAAAAAGCCGATTGTCCAAAGACAGTTTTCTTCAATTTAACTGAACAGTCTTCTCTAACGGATGCCCTGGTTTCCATAGAATTGTCCTTACAGAAAGTCACACATTGTTTAAGAGGTGGTGGCGCAAGATCATGGATTAATTTATACATCAAACACATCTGCAAAAACTGGCTAACGTCAACAATTTATCATTTTTGATAATGCAAAGATGAAAACTCACAGCTTGTTTCATAAGCAGTTCTCCAAAAGAGTCTTGAGTGTTTATGTGCGCTTAGACTTTTTGTAATATACGCCTAACAAAGAGCAGGCTTATTTCAGGTTTATCCCTGTATGATTCTGCAGTGAAAATCCTTGTTTTTGGAGTAGGCTCAGTATGTTTGCTTTTTCTTCAGATTCCTAATCCATTCTAAGGGCCTTTGGTAAACTACACAGGGAGACTGATTTGTTACACTATATAGCAACTACTTGTTGAAATAATCTGCAGATGTGATTTACTGTGGATCTTAAATGTCAAGTATACAAGGAAATAATTTGAAGATATGTGACAATTTATAAATCCCTAAATTGCCTCTAAACACCTCGGATTGCACTTTATTGCGTCTATTGGCTTATTCAAATCAACCTCAGGCGTCAAATGAATGCATTATTTTATTTTTGATGATGAGCAACATCCCGGAATAGGTAAGCATTGCATAAATGCGACGTTTTGGCTAATGAGAATGTTCATTCTAGTACCATACACCCCACCTTCTCTTATTATTTGAGCGTCCAATAAAAATTGAACGACAGAAGCAGGTACGCCCACAGCCAATCGGATACGCCTCATGCATACGGTTGTATCCACGGATTGGTTGTTGTGACTGTCAATCACGTTCTTCTGTACACCTTACACTTAGGACGACATTATTTTTGTCTTTTTTTTTTATCAAGAAGAAGAACCTGGCAGTTAGGTCATAACGACACGATTACGAAATATTACCTTTTGCTGACGCGTTTACTTATATATAAACATACAAATACAAAGTGTTTGCGCATGCATTTTGCAGGACGGAGAAGAAAGGAGGAAGGCTGGAGTTGTGTTACAGTACTAGCGAACTCTAAAGCTAGCGCTGCATTTATAGTCTAACCTGCATGGCATTACATTTAAAGACGCGTTAAACGCATCTTTACAGTTTGTTAATATTGTTGTTTTATATCAGGTGCGTATGGTGGTGCGCGTGCATGTATATTTGGCCTTGCTGGGGGTGTCAGATGTAATGCTAACGTTCTAATAGCCTATTAGTGCTTTGTTGCTACTTGTAATAGACTTGTTTTCATGCCCAAATTCGGGTTGGCTTTGTGTTTTTGTTGCTGCGGGTTCTGGAGAAATCGGTATCGTGTTGTTGAACTGAATGTAACGTTAGCACACCGCTGTTGCTCCATCCACGCATGCTACTTTAGCGAGGTTATAACGTTAGCTAGCTAACACACAACTGAACGGTAACGTAAATTCAGAAGTGTATTTATCGCACGAGCATGACGGCATATCTGCAGAGATGACCGTAACCAAATAGAAAATGCGTTATTATGTGCTGTAGGGTCAGGCGGAAGACGGAAAGCTGATGGCTGTGTGCCGTTAGCTCGCATCAGCTCTCATAGGCCACGTCGCCTGTGTGTGTTGATGTGTTTGATCTACTGACAGTGGCGTTGCATGAATGCAAACAAGGAAAAGCGAGAAGTCGCCAACTGTGCGGAAGGGACACGGAGGAATCGTCAAAGAAGTTGTATCACCAACTTCAGGACAACTCAAGGTTGCTGTAAGCCAAATGGGGAAGAACATATCTTTTTAGATAACTTGACAGAGCAGTGACTACATCACTCGTATTTTAACCTACGGCGCTCACACAAATCCAGAGGTCGTAATCTGTGCGCCTGCTCGATTACGATGATCGGCTTCAGTGCGAATCGACGTGGAGGTCGCCTCCCTTCCTTTATCCTGATCGTATTATTGGTGATTATCGTAATTTTGTCGTTTAACTACTGGAGCGTGTCCACTAAGCACGGGCGGCTGCTGGACGAGCTGGCCGAGGTGCAGACGCAGGTGAAGCGCACGGACGCGGCGCGCTCCCGCCTGGAGAAGAGAAACTCCGAGTTGATGATGCAGGTGGACACGCACCGGAAACAGATCGACCAGAAGGACGGAGACTATAGCGTGCTGGAGAGCAAACTGCAGGCCAGGGATACGCTGGTCAAATCATGCACCGATGAAAAGGTGGGTGAAAGAAAATCAACAAGAGGGGATGCTTTGCATACATCACTGATGTGCTTTTGTCTGTGACTCTAGCTACTGTCATACCTTTATTTATCCCTTCAAATTATTGAACTGTTTTGCCTGTGTCCTTCTGACTAAACTGATGTGGATCAGGGGTTTCAAACTTTACAGACCAGAAACATCCCATCCAAACTCTTAGCCAACCCCAGTATAAAAGATTAGTAACACTTTATAAGTAGTCTTAAGTGGCATGTGAAGGTCAAGTATGGTAACCCATACTCAGAATTTGTCCTCTGCATGATGTAACCCATCCAAATTAGTGCACACACATTAGGAGTAGTGAACACACACTGCAAACTGTGGACACACACACACATCCACAGCCATTTTTTCTGTGGCACCCAGGGAGCGATTGGGTTGAGGTGCCTTGCTTAAGGGCACCTCAGTCAGCCTGCCCAATAATTTTAATTTAAAACTTTAATTGTGATTATTACAGTGTATAATAGAGATTGAGAAATGTATCATCCAGGTCAATATGTTTTTTGCCTTTTTGTATTTGGCCATTTTGAGGTTTTCGTCATCATCTTAGCCAATTAACCAATGTATAATCCACAATCTTTCAAATATTTTTAGTTCATTGAATAAATATTGCATGAACATGTTCGTTTAGCAAATGCATGAAGTGTGGACCATTAGTTGAGCCAATGTCATTATGATTATTAGTCGACCACTGTTATATAGTGCAATGCTTAGCAGATCATGTTCAAGATGTTTTGAAAGAATGTTTTGTGTGTTATCTCCTTCATGGATAGATGGTTGGAAAGAGTAACCATGGCAGTCTCTCTATTAGGATAAATGCACATCCTGTATGTCTGTTTGCTTAGACCTTTGCTCAAGTTTGTGTTCTTTTTTATTGGTATTACTTAGTTAATGCAAACAGAGGAGTTTTATAGGTGATTGTAGGAGTTTTATAGGTGCAACATATAATGCCTTGTTTTGTGAATATACTATTTCACAGGAACATTCCTTATTACTGGAAGTAGTATTAGTTTTTTTTTCTTGTTAGCTTGTCGCACACACACAGTTGATTTAAAAGCAGATTACATATTGTTTCTAAAGGAGTAGGCAGTTTGCTGAAATGAACTGTTCTCTTTGTACCTGTTCTACTAGTTGTCTGCATGCAGTTTTCCCTTCGTGTGACGTGTTCAGTCAGCAGGTATGCGTGACCGACGGTGACGCACGCACTGACATTTGCTGTGCTGTTGTACTTTCAATGAAATAAGAATATATACAGGGTTCCAATGTTCATAAATTATGAAAAATGTAAATGCTGAACCTATTATATGTAAATAAATATCCCCCTCACCATTAAAATCAATCTAGTAAAAATGTGAGCTGACAGGACAGAGAGCATGCTGCTCTTTATGGATTCAAGCCTTAGGCTTCCCTCCCTGTGGTTGTGTGACACAGCTGAGAGCTCATGGTCAGGGCCTATCTGTGTGCACAGGGCTTCACACATCTCAGGCTCTTCCCACACAGTCCTCTGTCTCTTCTTCTTGATATTATATCATGATTGATTATCTTCTTGATAACATTTAGGGAGAATATGTATTAATAATTTAAATTGCATTGTTTAATGCCCTATCGCAATCCTATTCCCTTTCCATATTCATTTTCACCCTATGGTTTACAATAAATAGACTGATCGTCCTGGTTATTGTGAAAGGAGGGGATGTGGAAGATGTCACTGTCGCAGAAGTTCGATTTAGACACATTTCTGCTTGGGTTTTGTCTACCTGGAAAGGGACACATGAGCATTGATATTCCGTGTGCATTTGGATGCCCTGTACCTTTATAGATTGATTCCGTGCTGCAGCAAATGTTTGGTCGTATTGCTCACACAGGCCCCTTTACAGATTATTACCCTTTCACAGTCTTTGCTTACTGCAGTACTTTTAAAATGTGAATGAATCTTTGTAACCTTATTCTAGGCCTGTCACGATTATTGATTAATCGTATGATCGTGGTTGTTCTATCTAGTCGCAATTATTTGAGATAACCCCAATAATTGTGCTGTTTAAATAGAAATTACATTTTGGCGAAAGTTAAGCGCTTAAAGAAATGGCATCAAATACGCAATATTGTGTCTCCTTTTCTGTTGTGGTGGTAGGGACTAGGGAGAAGAAGGGCAGTCATAATGTGACAGAGTAAAGAATAGAAAAAGCACTGTAATAAAGTAGACAAAGATAGTCAACGGTCTTCCTTCATACTAAATTGTGTTGTGCGTTTAATCAGACCGCATCATTATATTATATTCAAATTTAGATATTATATAAATATTAGTTTTCACAGAATAAAAGTAAATCAAATGGGCCTATATTGTTATTTTTTTTTTTTATAATTTATATATTTGTATTATATTATATACAATTTCAAGTAATAAGATAACATGTTAGGCTTACACTGTAAGTGACATGAACAAAACCAGTAACTGAATTCAGCTAGTGGATTGACTTGAATAAATTGACAGCTATTGAGATAGCAGCTTTATTTACTCCTTTTATCTATTTTCCTCAGTTGATCATGACAACACATACTTGCATCTAAAGAGTCTAATTTGATACCTTTTCACTGTGTCATTTGTCATGGGATTAGGAATAGGATCTGTTCCATACTGCGAATGCTAACGCTGTCTGTCATCCTGTTTCCTATTCTGTTTATCGAAGGTGAAGAACCTGTGTGCCAATCTGCACACACAGACACACCCATTCTATTGTTCTTCCTTGTTCACTTGTGCTATGTGGTCTGTCCAGATAGGAAGCTATCATTTAGCATTGGCATTTGTCTCAGTGGCATTTGCCTGGATGACTTGTGCAAACCTGTATGGCCACTGCAGTGACGCCAAAGGCAGCAAGCAAGGGAAAAGCCAGAATTTCCAAATAAATTGAGCACTGGTGAAATGTATTTTTAATTCATATTGCTTGGGAATAAAAATGGTCTGAAACTCTGAATACATTAGAGTTGCACGATTCTGGACAAATTGAGAATCACAAATTTTTTTTTTGCTTCAAATAGAGATTCTCCAACGATTCTGAACTGACAACTAAACAAAATAACAATAACAAGTAATTTACTTCTGACAAAATATGTATTGCTGCAGTCTATTTAAAATTGTTTAATTAATTTGAACGAATTATTTTTTTTAAATCGGTTTGAATGATTCAATGACTCACTCATAAAGACTTCACTTGTTTCATTACTGGACGAATCAGTGTTTCTGAACAAATCTCTTGAATGAATGATTCAATGAGAAATACATTTTTTTTAAATAACTTGTCGCCACCTAGTGGATTAACAATGTTAATGGTACAGTCCTTATAAACTTGTCGCCACCTAGTGGTTGTACAATGCTGTTGGTACAGTCCTTATAAACAATCCTTTATAAACTTTTATCCCAGTACTTCTGTGATCATTTGAATATTTGCAATACTGTGTGAAGTTGAGTCTGTGTCCCTCTCTCACCTGCTGATGGTGGTAGGGCTTTTTTCTCCTACAGAGTGACTGATATTGATGCTGTAATTACTGGCCCATCTCCTGTGTGCGATACATTTTTTTTTTCTACTTTAAATCTGGTGACTGATCATCCCAATAGTGAAATCCACAGTAGCAGTGTGGTACCGTTTAGTTTATCATTAGGGGTCCATTTAAGGGCTCAAAGTCTGGCTTTTGCCATTAGCTTACGGTTGGTAGTTGCCAGTCCAGCAACTGCCACTGAGATGAATGAGGATGATTCAAAGCCCCTGTTTCCTCTCTGGGTGCAGAAAGAGTAATAGATGGAGGCATGGGTTTGAAACAAACACAATGGAAGCTCTTAACTGTTGAATTTTGCCTCCCTCACATTCAACAAATTGATTAGATGAAGCACCAGTATAAAACCTATAGAATAAGCATGCATAGGCATTCAGCTGACCCTTCAGCAGTGTTGGTGAGTACTGCATACACACACTGCTATTTTGCTGTCTGCTGGTAGCAGTAGCTCGAAGGTCGAAGCTTATCGGGCCTCTTTAATTGCACATTGCTCAGTCCTTATGTCTGCTGCACTTGCAGCTTAATTTGCTGTACTGACTATCTTCTTCTGCTTTGAGACGGGGCTCTGCTCTCAGCAAACTCAAGCTCTATGTCTACGTTCCCCTCAGTGAATTTGTCATCTGGATCACAGTTCCCTCTGAGCTTCCCTCTTTCAATCCCATCGCAAAATCACAGCCGCCTCTCTTCGGACAATACTGTTTGGGTGATAAAACAGGCTATGCTAAAGAATGTGTGGTATTGTTGGCAGCTTCACACAGTTTCTCATGGGTTCCACATGATGGGTTTTTGTCCAGAGGACGGTTTGATTTTCTAAATGCAGGGACTGATCTCAAAAGAAGGAAGTTAATTAACAAAGTCGGACAGATGCAATGCTGTTCTTCAGTCCAGGAGGAATAAAATGTTATATATTTATAGAGCTGGTAAGTCCCGCCCATCCGTAAAACTCCAAGTGGACCTCTAGGTTGAAAAAGCGTCAATGCAAGTGAATGAGAGAAAATAATTATTTTCTGATCCCGTTTGAATTGTGCTATGAATGTGAACATATGTTGTCTGTGAATGTTTTATATAATTTCTCATGTAACGAGTTTGACAGTATATTGTATGATTCTTTGGCTAGCAGTTGTGGAATAGACATAACGAGAAAGACTACTACTACACGTCGCATATGTGACGTCACCGCATAACACATTTTCCCTCCACAAATCACGGTGCGATAATCTAAGGAATTAGATCGAGATGCCTGTGTGTTTTGTACCCAAATGTCACCATTCAAACAAAACAGGCTGTTTAGCGGGATCCGTGTGCTAGTGGTGGTGACGTGTATCAAACGCGTCGAAAGCAGCGAAGAGTTGTAGTCCACAAAGTGCTCTCACACAAAGTCTAACCGTATGAAAATTCTACCCGCTAAATTGTAGCATTCTTTACACGAAAAATTATATAAAAAATTCACAGACAACATATGTTCACATTCATTGCAAAATTCAAACGGGATTAGAAAATAATTATTTTCTCTCATTCACTTGCATTGACGATTTTTCAACCTAGAGGTCCAGCGGGGTAAGCGGAAGGGGCGGGACTTACCAGCTCTATTATTTTATTGATTGATTGATTGAAAGAAGTTAATACTTTTATTCAGCAATGGCACATTAAATTGACACTAAAAGATTTCTATGTACTTTTGAGATTTCTATTCATCAAATAATCCTGAAAATATGTTTCCACCCATCGTTTACTGACCCTCAAGTTGTTCCAAACCTGTATGGGTTTCTTTCTTCTGTTGAACACAAAAGAAGATATTTTAAAGAATCTTGGTAACCAGACAGTTGACTGTAGCAATTTACTTCCATAGTAGGAAAAAAACAAATACTATGGAAGTCAATGGCTACCATCAACTGTCTGGTTACCAACATTCTTTAAAATATCATCTTTTGTGTTCAACAGAAGAAAAAAACTTGTACAGTTTTGGAACAACATGAGGGCGAGTAAGTGATGACAAAATGTTCATATTTGGGTGAACTATCTTTTTAAGCAGGAATAGTTCTCCTCCAACATTTATAATAATGAGAAATGTTTCTTGTTTATTTGAATGATTTCTGGAGGATCGTGTGAATTCTGCTTTACCATCACAGCCTTCACAGGAATAAATTACACTTTAAAATATAATAATATTGGACATTTACCTACAGGAAATAGATATTTCATATTACTGTTTCTACTGTACAATAAATTCAGTCTTGGTGAGCATAATAGACTTTCAAAATCATAAAAAAAAATCTTACTGACCCAAAACTTTTAAATGGTAGTGTAAAGTTTAGTTTTAGAGATTATTCAACCATAGCTACAAATGTGAGTTGTTGACTGTGGATATAATAATCAAACATTGATCTACATAGCACTCAAATTTGGGTAGTTGAAGTTAAGCATAGAAATTGGGGGAAAGTGAAAATCTATGAGAACAAAAAATTTTTTTTTAGTTTTTCCAGGATAAGCCCTTAAACTGTTACTTAAACGGACATGGGTCATCATATATTCTTAAAGTATGTTTTGTATATTACTCTATTCCTGTTTTCACTCAATTTTTGTGTTTTTCAGAATAAGCTGCAGAATGATGTCAGCGCCCAGATGTCTGAGATTCACAGACTGAAAGGTAAGAAGTGCACACAAGAGGGTGCTATTTCCCAGCTTCACGTCTTTGTCAGTGAAATAGGATTGTTGTGGAATATGCAAGTACAGCGCTATTTTTGTATGGTTGGGTTGTTCCTTCCTACTCCACCCTGATGTAAACCAATCATGGTATTCCACTGGCTGATTTTTTTTTTTAGATTGCGGTGTGTTTGACTGCTGATTTGGGGTATGTAGTCATGTTTGCGTGTACATTTACAGAACAGGTAAAAGAGTTGAGACAGGAGATCATCCGACAGGAAGACCAGCTGAGGGAAGTGCGGAAAAACAGCACCAATCTGGAGAAGAAGCTGGAATATGAGAGGTGAATACAAGCACTGGTGAACTTTCCCTGACCTAGAAGGAGGAGTCTTGTTTTCTGTGCACTTCTATTCCTACATTTGGTAGTAATGGTTAAGATGTTCGACAAGTTGATCATGTATGATATAAATGTAACATTCATTGCAGCTTGCAGTGTGGCAGACAAATCACAGAGCTGAAGGCAGAATATGAGGAGAGCAAGAAAAGAGTGGAAGAAGAGGCAGCAAAACTCAGACAGGTATGCTGTGAATGATTTGAATAGTGTAAACTCTGGCTTGTCTTAAAGGGATAGTTCACCCAAAAATGAAAATTACCTCATGATCTACTCATCCTCAAGCCATCCTAGGTGTATATGACATTCTTCTTTCAGACGAATACAATCCAAGTTATATAAAAAGTCCTGGCTCTTATAATGACACTAATAAAGGCCTTCTGAAGCGAAGCAATGTGTTCATGTAAGAAAAATATCCATATTTAAAACTTTATTGACTAAAATAACTAGCTTCTGGCAGACGGCCTACGCAAGTCGGCTTACGCCAAAACTTGACGATGTATGATGTGGATATTTTTCTTACATGAACGCATTGCTTCAGAAGGCCTTTATTAACCCCCCAGAGCCGTGTGGATTACTTTTATCATGGATGGATGCACTTTTATGGACTTTTAACAGAAACCGGCCATTCACTGCCATTATAAAGCTTGGAAGAGCCAGGACATTTTTTAATATAACTCCGTATTGTATTCGTCTGAAAGAAGAATGTCATATACACCTAGGATGGCTTCAGGGTGAGTAAATCATGGGGTAATTTTCATTTTTGGGTGAACTATCCCTTTAAATCACAAACTTCACCAAAACAAAAAAAACTTGCATTTCAGAGTTTATTAGAGAATCGTAAAGCAGATGCAGGGGATCGGCAGATGGAGGTGGATCTTGATCAGTCCAACAAAAGAAAAGAGGACACCGCAGAGCGCCACACAGTGGCTGCACAGCGAAATGATGGCCCAGTTCCTAAAGGTAAAGCCAATGTGCAGATACTCATTATATGTGGGGCTACCTCTCTCTTCTATCTCTCGTCTCCAGATGGTCCAAAATGCGGCTGCCCGTCTGCTCACTGGCAGCCGAAAACGAGATCACATCACCCCAATCCTACGCTCTCTGCACTGGTTACCAGTCCGTTTCAGAATTGATTTTAAAATTGTATTATTTGTTTATAAATCTCTTAGCAACTAGTCCCCAAAATACCTTTCTGATTTAATTATTACTCATAACCCATCCAGATCACTCAGATTAAGAGATCAACATCTTTTGGCTGCTCCACGATCTCGCTTAAAACGCAGAGGTGATCGAGCTTTTGCAGTAGTCGGCCCTAAGCTGTGGAACACCCTACCACTACATATTAAATCAGCTCCCACACTTGCTGAATTCTAATCTTTGCTGAAAACACATTTTTTCTCTTATGTGTTTAATATACCTTAACTTATGTTTTCTTGTCTTGCCTTGCTTAGTCTTTCTTACTTTACTGTACAGCACTTTGGCCAACCAAGGTTGATTTTAAATGTGCTCTATAAATAAAATTGATTGGATTTGATACTTGGGGTGCAACGATACACAAAACCGACGGTTCGGTACTTCCCACGGTTTTGACGTCTTGGTTCGGTGAGGTTTAATGAAAAAAATTTGTCTCTTTAAATTAATTCAATTACAGTTAAACATTTCTCAAGGATAAAAAAAAAAGATCTGCTAATGCTAAACTATATAGGGAGCCCGCACATTACTATAACATTAAAGGTTAACAACAGACAGAGCCTAAATTCAGATGCTATTTATATTTTAGATATAATAATCAACACTCAACACATTGTATGAAAACATGTAAACTGAACAAAAGGCAGTTTTTGCATTAACTTATGGTTTTACTCTAATTCGTTATTGAAATATAATTTACACAGTTGCTGTCATTTTCATGAAAGATATTTTAAACATACATTAAATAATCAAGATATCATTAACAGGTTAAGTAAAATATAATTTATAGGCTAATATAGTGCATTTATTTAGTGAAAGAGTTCATTTCTATAGGAACCAACAAGCTGTGGACACTGAATGACTTCTGCTGAGGTAAATATAATGCTATGTGACAAACTAAGCTGTTTTATTGACGTCTTTCTGCTGATTGAGCGATTACACGAGTTATGATGCCTTTCAGTAAATATACTGTATCTTTCAATATACCTTCAGGTTTATTCTGTAACTGAGGAAGAGATGATCGCGTTTACTCTCGCTCCGCGCTGCCGCTTGAAATGAAGAGCTAGTACAACGATCGGTCACGCCACATCAAAGAGCACCAAAACGGCATTTATTGTTTGAATTTCGTGATCAAATAGACAGAAATTGAAGTATTACACCTTGCTTATTATCGAAAGTAACAAAACACAGAGCTTGCTATTATATGATGTTAATGGTGGTTAGGCTACAACACTGAATTCGTTGTGTACACAAGACATGAGGTCCAATGATCCAGGGTTGGGGCGTGTTCGGTACGCCATGAGAGTATCGCGATACGTATCGTGGGTCCTGTATCGCGATTTTTCGCTTCGGTTTGAATATCGTTACACCCCTAGCAGATACATATACATTTTGGTTGGAAAAAAAACCTTTTGACATCTCTTGCTTTTTTCTTTCACATTCACTCAAGATGATATGGTTAAACCTGGTAGCGATGCTGGCATGCCTGGCATTGAGGACAGTGAAGTGGGCAAGATAGAAGATGGACAGTTTGGTGAGTATCACAAAGTACATTTTTAGATTTCATTGAACCAACAAGTCATCTTTGTTCAGTGCTGGTCAGTAACAGAGTGAATAAACTCTACAGCATGCTTAAAATAAGGGTGCATGTCAGTTACTTCATTCAGAGATACATTTAATGTTTCTCCAGCCTTAAAGAAGCCAGCCATCACGCCGCAAAAACACATGGAGCCGGCGGAGGCTGCGGCACTGCTGAAGGAGGAGAGGGCAGGGTTTGGAGCTGGAGCCGGTGCCAGACCAGGGGATGATTTGGCCCATGGGCAACCGCTGGACCGACCAGACATACCCCATGATGAAAACCTGCGTTTGGGGAACCATGACGTCCCTGTGCTGCAGCAGGTTCCAAAAGCAGTGGCTGACAACCCCATGCTGTTTGACGAGGATAATAAAGCAGGCATGAAGGCAGATGAGTTTGGGGAGCAGCGCAGACAGCTGGGAGGTTAGAGGTCATGTTTTATCAGTGCTTATAACACTTTTCAATTGTTGGTTGTTACAAATGTGATGCAGGACCCAAACATACACTCACACACATACTTGCTATGCAGCCAGTAAGGATTAAATTACAGGGCACACAAAATTACTCTTTTTTTCCCTAAGTAGAATACTTTCGCCTTTATACTACTATTAATATTACTATATATATATACTACTAATATTACTACTATTTTTTTATTATTTAATATTAGATGTGCACATTAGTCTATATTTCTCCATTTCTGGATGAAATTATAAAAAAAACTTTATCAAAACACTGTTATTTCCTTCAGGCAATGCAAACATAGTTTTGTTCTTGTATTTGTGTATGGCCCCTGATTTTTTCCTTACTGGGGAAACCATGCTTTTTATTTTTTTTATTAGTAGTAGCGATTCTGTACTTTTGTGTGTATCTTTTGGGCCTCTTCCTTCTGTTTTTTTTTTTTTTTTTTTTTTTACATGAGCCTATGTATTTCCTATGTCATTATTGAAGTTTGTTTTTACTTTCACTGTTTTTCACCAGGAAATAATGGAGATTAGAGGCATGCTGTCATATAACACTCTCCACTTACAGAAATGTACCTCTTTAATGTCAAGTGCTCTTTCTGTCCTTTTTTTATTAGCTGAAGGCTTGAAGGCAGAGGGAGTTGTACTTCCTCCTCCTCCTAACCCGGCTCAGGTTCTTCCCAAACCCATTGACCTGCACAATGGCAGAGAACCTGTGCACGCTGACCCCCCGCGTCACCGTCAGAGTGAGTATTGAACCGTACAGGGGTGGGGACTGGGGATGGGGCTGTGGCTGTGGCTGTTTCTGAAGATGACAAGACAAATCGTCAGCTATCCTCTTGTTACGTCATGATGTATCAAATACTGTTTCGGGGTACAACTCTCCACTCTCTTTCAAGTGAGAATACTGAGTCTCAACAGCTTTTTATGTGCTCTGTTCATTTACAGCACACATTTAAGCTAGGTTCTTTGTAAAAAACTGCACACTACAGTCTCCGGGCTCATAGCGTCCCGGACACCATTAATTTAACAATTCAGAAAAGATGAATCACTGTCTGGCGATCTGAAATTTCGGTATGGAGATAAAGGTAGGATCAGGATTTTTTTGGTATTACAACAGCACACCGTGAGTGTAATTTAGCACCATTGGCATGTGATAGAGAATTTGAACCTACACTTCAGACTTAACAACCGGATACTGATATTCCCAGATTCTCTGAACCTCAGTCTTCACTTTCATGTATGTTATCATTTGGTGGTTTCCATAAAGTTTCAATGGGTTACCTTCATGTATATAGGCTCTCCCATCTTAAAAGAATATATCTCACATAAATTGTCATTCAAAACCTGATTTTAAGCTTTGTTGCCTAGAACACAAATTGAGAAAAAAAGAATGTCACTCTTTTGTGTTCCACGTAAGATAAATTAATATGGTTTAAAAATAACATACGGGTGAGTAAGTGCTTTTCATTTTTGGGTAACTATCTCTTTAAGACTTCCACTGGGGTTTGATGCAGCAGAAGCTGGCACTATTCAAGCCAGTTCACAGCCTTAAATCAATCACTTTGAGGTATATTTGTGTGAAATGCAGATTGTAAAGCTGTACACACTTCTGCATTTGTCAATATCTGACATACACTCACACACATACTTACTATTCAGGCAGTAAGGATTAAATTACTGGGCACAAAAAAATTACTCTTCATCGTCTTTTTCCCTAAGCAGAATACTTTCGCCTTTATAGAATTACTACTATCTGGGCAAGCAGCAAGCATAAAGTCCAGCATTAATGTTTGTGTCTGTAAATAGACAGAGAAGGTAGTAGACTGGGTTCTCTGCTGATTACTGCGCTGCCTGACTTTGCTCCCTCTGCTAAACTCCTCCACACCACCATGTACCCCATTCCACCCAGCCTTCCTTTCTTCTGTGTAAAGTCCTCTACCACCAGCTCCATTCCTCACTTGTCCTCTGAGATTTTATTTCCTTTGGGACTAAAATATGGCATATACTTTTTTTGGTCTTTTTATTTTAACCCCATTACTTTCAGTGTAGTCTCATTGTCCTCTCTTTGCTCTTCATTGTCTTAAATATGCTTCTGATCTGTTTGCCTTTCTTACTTTCTTTTCCTTTTCCTTTAATGCCCTTGTTTCTCTGTCTTTTAACTCTTTCAAATTTTGCTTGTTCCTTTTTTTTCGTCTTTTCTTTCTTTCTCTCTTTCCTGATGGGGCCCATCTCTGCCCCTGCAGGCCGTTTCTTTGATGAAAATGAGTCCCCTGTAGATCCGCAACACGGCAATAAGCTAGCGGACTATAACGGGGATGATGGCAACGTAGGTGAGTATGAGGCGGACAAGCAGGCTGAGCTGGCCTACAATGAGGAAGAGGATGGTGATGGTGGGGAGGAAGACGTCCAAGGTGAGCCAGGGGGATTGCGACTGCTTTGCTATTCCATCTCCTCTCCCCCTCCCTTGTGCTGGTGCTGTTCTGCTATATTAAGCTGCTGGTTCAGTCATCATGGGCTCACAGCATACTGAAGTACTGCCAGTTAATTTGGCCTAATGCTTGTGGAAGGTGTCAATCACAGGCGAAGCCCTCACCTCAGTGTGCTGAAAGCATGTGTGGATGAGAAAGAAAGATATGAGTGTGAGATCCTTAACCTTTCTGGACCATGTGGTTATGAGACTGAACCTTCTCTCCCAGCATGCCTCATTCGGCTCTTCCAGTCATTGTCTTTACTAATCAGCGTGCTAGTGTGTAGAGTTATTGTGTTGTCAGTGCATGTGAAAGCCATAATGCTGTGTTGAATCCTTTTCACAAGGGCTTGGGGTTTTAAATGGGCTACTTTGAAATCACTGTTAACTGTAGACTTGGCCATCTTATTTCATCTTGCCAATTTTTATCGGCTTCCTGTATTGCTTAACACTTATGACAGTTGTAAACTCTACATCTCATACACCATGTTCACAATGCAAAGTTTAGGGATTGACAACTGCATGTAAGTGCAAGAATAAATTCTGTAAATTCTGTCTGTGTCTGCCATAGTTGATATTATGGCTGCGTGATATTTCAACATAGCTAGTGTTTTTGTGATAACAGAAAATGTTATACTGGTGAAAAGTCTGTTTCAGGTCAAAACAGGTAGCAGAGAATAAACTAAGCGTTTGTGTGTGTGTGTGTGTGTGCATGCACGAGAGTGTACACTGATAATGTAGGGAAGACAATTAACAAGCCATTGTGATGCTCTCATAGCAAACTGGTCAAGTAAGCTAGTCACGCGAGGAAAGACAATAGGAGGAAGGCAATACAGTAAACTCAACTCTGTTTCAGGTGTTTTTGTTTTTTGATGTAGTGAGATCAAGGCAGACAAGCAATGATAATCTTAGAGATCAAAGTTGAAAAAGGAATTATAAATTTAATTATTTATATAAATATAATATAATTTAAAAATTATTAAAATGTAGCAAATAAGGTAAATCTAAGAATTAATATTCAAAGTATTGTATGTAAATAAGTTTAAATTTAAACGCTGTCAAAATAATTCTAGTTCATATGGCTACGTGGAAGCAATAAATAATTCTGTATTATAAATTTTTAAGGCCAGACAAGTAATTTGTTGAGGTCAATTTGTAAAGAAATACTACACGCCTGCGCACATATATATTTAAATGCGCATAGACTAAACACGTAATACTCATGTGCACGCCATCAGCGTTTTCACAGGTTTGTGTTTTTGAAGTTTGCGCAGAGACTTTTTTTTTTTTTTTCTACATTTTTTTTTTTCTTGGCTTCCACCTTGGAACCTATTTCAAGGTTTGCGTTCTCGAGTTCACTATTGTTGTGCGAATGAGCGGGCCGGAGCGCGTTAAGGGTTTTCGGTTAGAACGGTGTCGTGTAAGCGGCCCCTAAGTTAATAACTTATGGTCTTTGCAACGGAAGTGAATCAATCAAAACTAACTTTAGCTGGACAATAACTTTATTCTAGAGCTGCCATAAAGCCAAAACAATCTGTTACTTTAATTTCCTATTATCACTGTAAAGCTGCTTTGAAACAATCTATATTGTTAAAAGCACTATATAAATGAAGGTGACTTGACTTGTAACATGATGTTTGTGAAGATCAGAGTATTGAGAAAGGTCCAAATGAAGTAATGAAAATGAAATAAAATGTTTGCAGAATATAAGGAGATGTAGAAGAACAACAAAATAAGAACAATGAATATATATTCAGGAAAACTTGCATCCTCCTAAACTTTTTGTTTTGGTAAGAAAAGGTCAAAGACTTATCCATAATGTCATAGTTGGTGTAACGGCTAGGTTGGAGTGACCAGTCAAATGCTACGGTTGCAAAGAAAATAGATAAAGGTGTGGTTTTGACACCTTGGAATGCGTCCAATATTTAACAAAACACAAGTAACTAAGATATATCTCTTGTATATGCGCATGTGAGTACAACATGCATATTCTTGGTTAATATGAAAGCGCTATATAAATGCCTCCATCCATTCATTCATTCATTCTTGGAGAATACTAATGAATATCAATCAAACAGAATAAAAGATAAGTGTAAATGAGTAACAATAATGAGTAAATACTTGAATATATGATGGAGGTTAATATATTAAGTATGAATGTCTGAATGCATGAATTCAAAGATAAAATTGCTAAAGACCAAATGAATGAATGAATAGTATGGATAGGAAAATATTAAGAAAATCACTAGAAACATTGACCGTTTGGACACACCAGTTTCTAGTATTTTTTGTTTTTTGTCTGTTTGTTTTTTGCATTGATATTAAAATGACTTTCTCAGATTTATTTTTGTAAATGCTCCAGTAAAAGACTGCTGTTCACTTTCAGAAGTTGTCGTAAAACATATTGGTTAAATAATTTTCAGTTTTTAAATATATTTAAATACAAGTTTACATTTATTTTACACACTTGGAGCTTTATTGTATCACATCTTTCTTCAGTATTATGCAGCCCTAGTTGATATAGTGATAACCATAGAAACGTGTTGGCAGCTGTAAATATTAAGCATAGCCATTTTTGACTAAATAAATATTACCAACTAGAGACGTAAAAATTGTTCGTAAACCAAAAAGATCAGGCAGTGACAACCGTATTTATATAAAATATGCGTGAAACCAACTTCTTTAAAAAGCAACAAACACTGCCTCTTCTGGCAGAATAACTCCTGTATTCAGTATGAACACAGAATAGTTTATGAGATTCATTCATTCAAATGGGGTTGTCACTCCCAACACTTTGCAGTGTGTATGTGGCTTTAGTAGCTTTCACTATTATTAGTTTGAATGTTTCTTTGAAAGTTGGATATATTTTCTTAAAGCCATGAAAGTTAAGCTAGTTAGCTAGTCAGCCGTTGTTGTGATTTATAAACACTGAATTGTAATTATCCTTCTTGTTGTATCTTTCAGACGATGAAGACCGGGAAGCTCCAGGTGAAAGGGCTGTGGATTACGGAAAGCGACATCAAGCCATTGATGTGCTGTAGTCCCGTCCCGTCTCTCAAAAATTCTGACAATGAAGTAGCCAAGAGATGAAAAAGAACTTTGGATTTCAGTTGTGATTTTGGTATCATTTACAATTGGAGACATTCAGACTATTCAAACTATTTCAGTCTTCAGAGACGAACAAGTTTCAGCGGTTACGACTGTGAAATCAATGACTGTGGATGAGATTTTTTTCAACTTAAATGCGACAAAGTGATTTCATGATCTTCTGCAAATGTTTGCTTGCACATGTTTGCTTGATTTGAGAGTATTGTTTTCATGTTGGGTTTTTTTGTCCCCATCTGTAGCACATGTCTAACAGAAGTAAGTTTTGGAACTATTATTTTATACAAATGTCTTTTTGTTTGTAATTTTTTTTCTTTCTTTTTTTTGGTGGGATAATAAAATGCCTTCTCCAGGCACTGGAGGACGCGACTGTGAATACTAGATAATACGGAAATAATTATTCTCTGTGTGATTCACAAAGTGGAACATATTGATATTACTGGTGGAAAGTACCTCTAGAACACCAGTTTTTTGTTTTTGCTGAAAAGCAAAATCTCCCTTTTATCTTTTTGGACAACTGTTGCTAAATGGAAGTGTAAACAATGGGAAGATGCAATTAAGTTGCTGTTCAACTTTTAACCTCTCTGGTACAAAATGACACTAAATGGCCAGACAATAATCTTTTTTTTTTTTTTTTAACTACTGTTTTCTGATTCTGAAGGAGCACTCAAGAGTGCACATTGAGTTTTGTAAGGACATTGTTGCATGCAAAAGGTAGCCTTTGTAAATCAGCCTGTAGATCATCAAGAAATGGAAAAAAGCAATACTCAGACTAAACTCACCACAGCTGTACATATGAGGAGGAATCTGTGTGATGAGGGATGCTGTATATTTGCTAAACTCTCAAATGGAAATAATGATCATATACCTACTTGTTTGTGTTTGTTTCATAATCAAGGAAATTTGGTAGGGTTGGCATACTGAATGTAGTCTTATAGCTTGTGATTGTTTTTGAAATCTGTCACATGGGTGTTTGGGCTCTCTTACACAGCTGGGCAGTGCAATCCAAGGATAATGATTAACAAAATTCTTTATATTTCAAATGAACTGGTCCTGTTTTGGAAAAAGTACACATTTTATCACTGTGACTGAAGTATAGAAAGTAGTAGCATCAAAAAGAGCACCCAAAAATCGTCATTAATTTATCCCAGGCTGCTTTACAAACAAATGACTACATTACTGTACCAATAAAATGAATTTTTTTCTGTAGTTTTACTGGCTGGTGGTGGCATTTAGTTTTTCGCTGAACTCAGGAACATCGTTTGTGAATTCATACGAATGATTAGATTTAATCGGTTTAGTTGTTACTTGTATACTGTATTCACCACATGTATTTATTTTTCTTAGATATATATTTGTATATATCTATAGGGAATGCCCTCGTATCATGTGATGGCATCTGAAGTATAATGGAACTAAAAATTCGCTTCATTCAAAATATACAGGCAGTCTGCCGAAGTGCCTCGTAACGATATTGCCATGACAACCAGAACGTGCCTTTCTTTCCTTCTCATATCATACCCCGCGCGCTCGTTCTATTTTTTTATTTATTTTATAACCGTTTTCTTGTTGATTTGCAATGCACAAGTAAATCCGATGCTTATGCTAGCATACAGCTGGTAGCTTAGTCTGCTACCTTTGGTGTGTTGTCATACACTAATTCATCTGAGACACATTCCCTTCAGAAAATAATGTATTCTGATATCGCTCCTGATATCTTTGTTGGTTTGCCTGATAAATGCTAACGGAATTACTCTATTCGCTCTGCGTTTTTGTTTATAGCACATTTTGTGCGTGCCTATCGAACCTATATAGTGTGTGATTGTGGTTTAAATAGACACTGTAAGCTAAACCTGTCGCACTGCGAAGCCTCAATATTGTTTTGATTCTCGGAACAACAGAAAGGGGGTGTGGGACGCGCGCCGCAGGACGCATGCTCGCTCCAGTCCTCTCTTCATCCGGGTACCTGCAGTTGACTGTGTGGGTACGGAGGCGGGAAATGGCGTCCAGAGGTGCGGGGAGGACAGAGGTGAACCTCGTCTGAAGAGGCACGCAAACAACAGCAAGTGTCAGCAGCCCTGAAATCGACCGTTGTCCTGCGACTCGATCCCGCGGAGCTTCGTCCAGTAAGTTATTACCCCAGTCTAAATTGCATGTGGTGATAGGGTCTCCCCATAACACCCCGTCCGTTCACTCCGGTCGAAAATGTTTCGCTATGGTTCGGCTCGCTCCTGTTTTACCTATATGCACGCACGGACAGGCAGCTGCCGTCTTCGCGAGTCGTTCCCGCGCTTTATCTGTCATTAGAATACAGCCGGTTGTTTTGAGTGGCACTAGACTAGAGGCTTCTTCTAGTAATAGCGGGTCACGAGAAACAGGTTTACTACGGAGAGAATGATTGCATGTGTCCTACATTGAAAATAGACATGCACAGATGTGTCAAGAGCGATTGCTGTATGTAAAAATACAGCTCACAATTTAGGCTCTTGAGTCGTGTAATCATTGTGTAAACAGTTGTTCTTAATGTCTGACTAAACAGGGAAATCGTGAGAAAGTTGCTCGTCTTCCGTAGAGAATCTCTTTAGCGTGTGTTTCCCGCCCACCACGACACTGTTCAGGTTTCCCGTGAATCACTGAACTTCATCATTTCTGAAGTGTCTGTTGAAGTTGATCGGTTATGGCGGGGAAGCACTTAATGTCTTTTCTTTTCCTCCCTTTTAAAGACTGACTGTAGTTAGTTGACTGTTGGGCAGTGGTTCTCAACCATTATCACTGCAAGGGTTCCCCATTGTCATGTCAATATTTGAAGGCCCCTAACAGAGGATGTTTTTTTCTTCTTCTTGTACTTATAATGAAATTACGACAAAGATGCTTGTTTCCAAACCTTTTTAATTGTTATTATGATAAATTAACCTTACGCTGTCAAGGTAATAAAATAATTAGACATGAGTAATCTCAATATTTTATTGTGTTCTTCCTTTTTTAAGGAAAGAAGGCAAAATGTACAAATGCAAAATTGATGCTATCCATGCCGCTTTTAAGTTTGTGTTCTTGAAGTTCAGCTGATTTGTAAATATTTTTTGTTAATTGAAATATTGCTGAAAATAAATACATATTAGATGGGAAAAACCTGCCTTGGCAGCAAACTGAAATAAAATAAGTTTAAGTACTAAAATTACTAAAACTGAAATAAGAATAAATTTCACTCATATAGATAAATATTTGAAAACTAATTAATAAAATGCACATAACAATACTACTCGAATTAAAACTGAAATATGAAAATAAAAACTAGTTGTTGGCAAAATGTTACATACTTTTTACAAATCTGTTTAAGACATGTTGTTTCCCATTAGAGGTTAACTGATCCCTGCTAGTGGGCCCAGGTTCCCCAGTCGAGAAGAGAAGCACTGCTTAGTTGTCCAGCTGTAATGGGACAGGTTACCAACAAAGTGCAATGGTAGCTATTGTGAAGCATTTTGTGGTGTTCTTTGACATGCCATGCGAATGCATTAAATAACAAATTACACTTTCCGGTTTATAGTGTACTTAATCTATGAAGATTGACATTTCTTAGAGAAATAATAGTAATTTTAATATATGTCAGAGTCAAACTGAGCCTTAGCGATCATTTCTTGGAAACATGTCAGTAGCCTTGGATTTGCTGCCAGGTGTCAATGCTTTTTTTGTTGTTGTTTTTTGTTTCAAACCAACTAGACGCGTTGGTACTATACGCCATACGGTAATACGATATCACAATAATGAACATGCAATGCTTTAATGTTAACTACTGAGACCTTATTGTAAAGTGTTACCTATTGTTTTTATAATTCTTTTGCACTTTAATCTGTTTGAAACATTTGCTTACTTTATAATTTTTTTGGTGTATAGCTTTATTAGCTATGTTTCCATCACCCAGTTTTTGTGCGCATTTTGAAGTATCTCATCAGAAACGAGTGATGGAAAGTTGGAAATGCCAAATTTCAGGGGATAAAAACTTAATTTGCAAAAAAAAGTTAATATGAATAATGGGAGATGGAAACAAATAAATTGTGACGTAGCGAACATTAAACTCTCGTGGCTAATCAGCTGTAGCCTGGTCCTACCAGACTCTCGTACACATTTCATTTTCATTTGTACAGAGAGTCTGGCCACTCTCCATTGACAAGCGTTAACTTCCTTGAAGGCGGGTACTCTGTTGAAGTTTAAAACTATTGGATCTGCCATAACCAATCGCTAACGTTTGGTCGTGACGTATGTCTACAACTCAAACTAGCGCACCTCAACGTCATCATTCTCAGCCACTCCCTCTGTTCGCTGATTGGACCGGTAAAAAACCCAAGAATATACAGCAAACCCAGAAGTAGTACTGAAGGAAAATTAAAATTGAGCGGAAGTACGTAGGAGGGCGGAGCCAGGCTAAATCAGCTGTTCATGATGGGAATTCCTGCTCATTTAGGGAACTGGATCATTTGGCTCACCTCTGTAATAAGAAGTAGGCTATTACAGTAATAAGAAGTATTATACACGCACTCCATGTTTTGTTAATGTGTAGCCTACTGTATGTGCGATGTGTTTTTGAGTTATGTCAGTTTAAACGACAAGTGCAAAAAGACTGGAACTCGCACACTGTTTTGTGTGTGCACACACACACAGCCACGCAGACAGCACGTGAAGTTCGTGAACACCAAATTCCCTTCCTTTTCTTATCTATTGGTGCTTGAACAGACATGTGCACAGAAAATTAAGTAAAATGCCCGTCTCAACGAGTTTCCTCGTAAACGCAGTCGGTTATGAGTTGTAAACTGAAAGAAAACGGGTGCTTGTCATTAACGGTATTGGATAGTGGTGGGGGAAAAATCGATTCTGTTCAGTATCGCGATAATTTGCGCACGCAATTATATTGATACATTAGTGCAAAGTAGGGCTGCGCGATTTGGGAAAAATGTCATATAGCGATTTTTGAGGTCAATATTGCGATATGCGATTGCGATATAATAAACAAGGAAAATGCACACACAGATTAGTGATAATGCTGAAATGTGTATTTCTCAACTCAAACTAGCAACAACAACTAAATGATTAATAACACCTATACTGATCAATAAGCCATTGATGTCTGGATAAAAATGTCTGGACATTCCTGTCTAACAGGTAGGACATATATAGAAATTGAATAAAGTTCAACAGTCTGCGCTGCAAACATTATAAATTATAGAATAATCCTTATTAAAGTTACAAAAGTTCTTTAGTCAAGAGCAGTGAGTGTTTTTCTCTGTTCCATTTGTTCTTTGATTAACTTTAACGACAGAGATAAGTAGTGGATACTGTATACTGTCCCTTTAAGAGCAGCCGCTGCTGACAGAGACGCGGATCTCACACGCGCCTCATTCTCTCACGAGTCACAATTCTTTACGGTCATCGTAAGACTGCTCTTATGTTATTTAGATACTCGACAAAAATACATTTTGGCATAATTGTGTGTTATTGTACACCTAGGGCTGCAACAACTAATCGATAAAATCGATAATAATCGATTATGAAAATCGTTGTCAACGAATGTCATTATCGATTAGTTGGTCTGCTTACGTCACGGGGAGCGTTTACTGGTGATTGGTTGAAACAGGCCAATCAGGATGCTCTCTGTCTTACACGCGCTTCATGAGGCACATACGCACACACGCAAGGCCTCTCTCCCTCTGCTGCTCTGCCGCACGCGCGCGCTACACGGTTTGGAGCACAGTCTCTTCTGTCTCGCATGCGCGCTCAAATCCCGGGAGTTTGAACTAATTTGCGGGCATCAGGGAGCCGCATAAGCCGCTATCAATATGCGGGTGACTCCCAGAACTTCCGGGAGACTTGGGATGTCTGTATTTTGTCTCGAGCATCAGGTTGCGCAATCAGTTCGCTCTCAACATAAGTGATGGATTAAAATAGCGCTACCGCAGAAATATTAAATTAAAACGGTCTTTACAAAGCGAAGCACTGAATATAAAGGCAGTTAATAACAGCAGCAGTAAAAGATTGTTTTAGTCACTGTACTCAGTGGTTTTCAGCGAATGCTTGTGCACTAATGCATAATTTTTCCTTAAATCAAGCCTGTTAACTTGCTGCGTACCTCCATTAGGTTCTCTATTTACAGCATTTGTCTATTAAGTTTTAATTCTTTTTCAAACGCGATCTACTGCAGCTCTACGTTCACACGCTTGTTTTCAGTCTTTCTATATTTATTTTATCAATGTATCCTTATAATTCAATTAATTTTAAATAAAAATTAAATGAATTATATATTTTAGATGTTTTTAGTTTATATCTTCACATCTGAACAACATGTCTGTGTAAATTTGTTTTAACAAAAATTGTGTTAAAACAATATGTTGGATATAAATGTTTTTTTTTTTTTTTTTTACATTAATCATGGTTGTCAACTTGCCATCAGCAATTATCATTAAAAACAATGCAAATATTGATATTACTAAAACTCAATGTGTGGCTTTTGCACTTTTTAAAGTACACTTTTACACATAAATATCCTAATTTAGGGTTTTAGGTAACACTTTATTTTACGGTGTCCTTGTTACATATGTTACATGTACTTACTGTAGTAATAACAGTAAATTATGCATAATTACATGCAACTAACCCTCAACCAAATCCTAATCATACCCTATTCCTATAGTAAGTACATGTAGTTACTTAATATTACTCGGTACTTAAATATATAATTACACTGTAACAAGGACACCTTAAAATAAAGTGTAACCGGGTTTTATTTAGTCAATAAACAAAAAAATCTAATTGAATTTTTTAATCGATTAATAGAAAAAATAATCGTCCGATTAATCGATTATCAAAATAATCGTTAGTTGCAGTCCTAATTGTGTGTTATTGTTCGTTCAAGCGCGAAAGAGAAACGTATTCTGGCGTGCTGTCTTGTGCGCACGCACAAAACTGGCACTAGTCTTTCTCTTTGTGTGTGTGTGTGTCAGTCAACGCAATCTTTTTTGTCTTGTCGCGCATGAATGGTTTAAGCATTTGCATGAATAAGAGTGGGATCGTGTGAACACTATCATGTAACTTGTGGTGTTACACATAACACATGTATCACCACAAAAGAGGAGTTGGGTAGTAACACTAAAAATTAACAGATGCTGTGTTAATTGCGTTAACAGACCTAATTTGTTTATTTCATATAAAATCGCATCATTTTGCCTCATATAACCGCATAGGTTTGACATCGCGATTTCAATTGCAATATGATTAATTGTGCAGCACTAGCGCAAAGTATTGCAATATTTAATTATAAAATTATCTGTTTTACTTTAGGGTTTTCTCCATTGGTTTTCTCGGTGTTTACTCTGATAATTTACATTTGCGTATTACATCCACAAGGTGGCGCTTGTTGCGGTGCTTTGTTGGTGTAAGTTCAACTTCAAATGAAAATGGCTTCACCATCACAACCGGTTGTACACGACGCTCCGTCTTCTTTTAAATCAAAAGTGTGGGTAAATTTCGGTTTTCATCAAAAAAGCAAATAGTAAAGACCTTGAAATTAATATAATTATTCTCAGGTTTGTTATTCTATTATGTCTGCTTTGTTACTCGTATTTAAATAATTTTAAGTTATGTGCTGGGAGCTCTCCATTCATGAGAGGTCTCCTATTCAGAGAATAATTACGTCCTGTCCTGTAATAAGGTCCTGTGTCCTGAATGTTCAAGGACAAAGTTTTTGCACTTCAGTTAATGTGTAGAAGATAATGTTCACAGAATTAAATGTGACATTTGAAGTGAGTTGAGCAGTCTTATTTTCCTCATTTTTTGTAATGCCTTTGAATAATATGGGGGACATGAATCGCAATATATCGCAGAATTGAATAGCAATACTTGCTGTATCACAATATGTTAAGAATCGCAATAATATTGAATCGTGGCCCAAATATCGCAATACTATCGAATACCTAAATGCAGTTAATTTACCTGAAAAACATAAAGCACTGCTTATGTCATCTGTGTCTTCGTTCTATTGTATTTATCTATGCTTATAATTCGTTTATTATTTTCTATGCATATGCACTACCCTACAAAATTACCCCAATCATCCTAGGATTATTAATTCTTTACAAATAGAGCTATTCAAATTATCAGGTGAAATTGTTTGCAAATCGCAATATATATGAGATGGTCCTCACTGCAGAACACGGAATCCAGGGGGAGGAGTTGGATCCAGATCCAACTCCTCCCACCTTACATATACATAAACCTACCCATCTCCGCCCCCTGATCCCTAACCCCACCCCTAATCCTACCCATCTCCGCCCCCTGATGCCTAATCCTACCCATCTCCGCCCCCTGATCCCTAATCCTACCCATCTCCACCCCCTGATCCCAAACCCCACCCTAATCCTACCCATCTCCACCCCTTAGATCTGGATCCAACTCCGCCCCCTGGATTTCGTGTACTGTACTGCAATGAGGTGCTACTGATATATATCGCAGAAAAGCAAAATGTCGCAATGTCAGTTTTTTCCAATATCGTGCAGCCCTAGTATACCGTGATAAAAGCTTTAGCAATTATTGCAAAATGAGAACTTTATACCGTCACATGCCAAAAACCAACGTAGTGTGTGTAAGTGATTGTGATGGACGAGCCTAGGTCAGAAGGGGTCACAGGAGTAATTGTTGGCATTTTCATATCAAATGTATTTAAACTATTTCCTGCTATTAATGGTGTTTAATGTCTACTGATTTTAATTAAACTAGGAATTTGGCTTTAAGCAAGATTCATTGACTCTTACTGGGCTGCTGAAGGCTGTTGAATCTCACCGTTTCTGTTCTTGTAGAAGAAAGGCTTTAGCTCCTCAGTGTTGTGAGGTAGCTGTCTTGGCATGATGTCTGTTCGAGGCAGTGTATGAGTCACCATTTTGGTGGTTAAGGAAAAAGCTGAGATGTATTACTAGCTGTACCCTTTTCTTTCTACTTTTCGCCATTCCTCTCCTGTCTCTTCCAATCTTCCATGCTTGCAGTATGTCTCATTGTCATCTCGCTGCTTCTCTGGCTAACTACACACTGTTGCTGTTACAGAAGGAGCTCTGTTTGCCTCTCCTAAAAATCTATTTTCTGTGTTTCTTCATTTTAAATTTAATGTGAGTTCAATTTCTTTATTGCGAGTATTGGGAAGGTACAGTCAGGGCTGGCGTAACACCTGACAGGTCACAAATGCTGGAGCACATAACAGTTGTTACGCAAGCATGCTTTGTGGAGGGGGACACACGACCAAGCACTATAGTTAATTTCAGGATTATTTTTCCCCCCTTGATGTACAGGGTTTCCTTTAAAGAAGAGAGGGACACTTCCTCCACATCAGGAAAATATTAACTTTTTTTCCCCTCTCCTTTTTTCATCTCTCTCTTTTTTTTTTTCCTTTCCTTTTTTTGTCTTGTAAGAAAAACTGCTGCTCTCTGTTGATCTGCAATATCCTCTAGTTCTTTTTCTCTTCTAGTGACTTATCCAGCAACAGAAAAATAAGAGTGAAAAAGATGGTGACGTTTTGCCAAACTAGTAGGCCTTAAAGGTATAGTTCACCCAAAAATGAAAATTCTGTCATCATTTACTCACCCTCATGCCATTCCAAACCTGTATGATAAGAATTATCATTTTTTTGATCGATACAATGAAAGTCAACCGGGTCCAGTATATATATATATATATAAAAAAAAATTTGGGACCCTATTGACTTCCATTGTATGGACAAAAACAGCTGAAACATTGTTCAAAATATCTTCTCTTATGTTCTACAGAAGAAAGTAAGTCTGGTTTGTAATGGCATGAGGGTGAATAAAGGATAACAGAATGTTCATTTTTGGGTGAGCAAAATCGGTTTAATTCAGAGTTTGGCTTAATCTGTAATCTTGTGTTAAGGAATCACACAGATTTGCCTTTTAAATAAAAGTATGTTCATTCCGAATTCTTCTGTATGTAGGAAATAATGTGCTTGTAGTTGAGTGCTTCGCTATGGAGTTGCTTCAACTGAATGATGAACCATGTTGGAATATATAGTGTCTTGAATACATTCAGATGTCTGTGGCTAGCGCTCTTGGCTGAAGTGTTGCACTTTTAAAAACTGAGCAAAGAGCCATAACTCATTCAAAATCAACTAAAAGTGTGATTCATTTACCTGCGTGTGAGAATCAGCGAGCAAAGTTAGACTTCTCAAGGTCGTTGTTAAACGTAGTGATTTCCTCTTGTGTTACTCTTTCTCTGTGTAGTTTTGTTTTCTTGCGGTACCTTCTGTGTGAGCTTCTCTGTGTTGTCTTCTCTCTCTCTCTCTCTCTCTCTCTCTCTCTCTCTCTCTCTCTCTCTCTCTCTCTCTCTCTCTCTCTCTCTCTCTCTCTCTCTCTCTCTCTCTCTCTCTCTCTCTCTCTCTCTCTCTCTCTCTCTCCCCAGTCTTACATGTAACTCTAAACAAAATGAGGCTGAGAATGCGCAAGGCGTCTCAGCAGCCAAACCTCGCCCGCAGGCCCGGCCCGGCCCGGACCAAGCGAAAGCACTCTGAGATGGAGGAGTGCTCAGGTGAAAGCAAGGGTCTTCTCTCCAGCATCAAGAAGTTCATCCATGGAAGTTCCATCAAGGTGAGCCTCTAGCACCCTCTCCCTGTCATTTATTATGGGTTCATTGAGTGTGGCAGTTCCAGACCTCTACAGCTCTTTTCTTGGTTTCGATGATCGTGGCTCAGAATGTACTATAATGGAATGCAAGCAAGACCTGGTATCATATTCCCCCCAGAAATGCGTGGTGGAATGCCTTTGCTTGTCTGAGGAGCTCAGTCCTGTTCTAATTTAAGCTGTGGTTCCACAGCGCTCACATAATGACAGTAGGTAGGGCTGGCTTTAACTGGCATGCATCCTGCGGCAGAAGAACCAGGGGTTCACATATTATGTCCAGTAAAGATATTAGGTTCTCTTCTTTGGGTTCTATATCACACCCCCATTGTCCACAACAACATTCAAAGACCCCATGTCTTTTACAGCAGTTCGTGATTAATTGGATAATTATTTAAAATTGTAAATTTATGATTCGAGAAGTTTCAAAAACTTTGTTCTTCAATACAAATAAAAGTGTTTGAAGGGTGGGGGGAAAATTAAATTTAAATTCATATATATATATATATAGGTGGGGTTTTTTTTTCAGAATTTTAATTTAGAGTTTGATTATTTTAATATAATATTTATAATAGGGTTTTAATAATCTCCAACCTTAAAGGGGACCTATTATGCAAAATTCACTTTTGTAAGGTGTTTGGACATAAATGTGTGTTGGCAGTGTGTGTACACAACCACCCTACAGTGATAAAAATCCACTCACTCCTTTTTTTTTTTAAATCCCCATAAATCATAAGCAGTGTCTCCCAACGACCTGTTTTCAGAATGCGGCTTTAGTGAAGTCACTAAAGCCACAGGCCCCGCCCACGAGTGTTGACAGACATTGCCGTTTTAACTTAGACCCGCCCTGATCGAGTTCACAACATCCGCCATTGCTGCACTAATGAGAATGTCTCCCAACCGTTGAAGGTGTTGTGGCTGGATGTATTCATTCACATAGCTCTCTCTATTTACTCCTGAAATCTGAGCCAGCCGCTGAAGACGAGGTGGGTTCATTTTGTCTTTGAAAAATGCTCCCTCAACTCTACCGAAATTTTAACCGTAATTAAACTAAACTATACCTATTCCAACTCCATACATATTCTCTGACTCTGTGGGCATTATTGTCCGAGTCGAAATGAACACCGTTACTGTGAGTTTCTGTTTTGATATTATCATCTTTCCGTGAGTTGAGATTGTTCACTGAGCGCGAGCTGGTTAGGCTCCGCCCCCTGTGCCGTGAACCAGCAGCTCATTAGCATTTAAAGGAGACACAATAAAACGGTGCGTTTTTCTCAGCCCCAAAAAGTGACGATTTAACCCTCTGGGGTACTTCGGGACAAAAATGTCCCGAAGCGTAAAAAAAAAAAAAAAAAAAAAAAAAAAAATTTTAGCTTCATCGGAATGGTCCGAAACTTGGTGACTTTTTTGGTACTTGGTATATGAACACCCAAAAAGATTGGGGACAGGATTTGAAAAGTCTAAGTGGTCGTAAAAAAAAATAGTCACACTCAGGACCTTCGGGTCAAAAATGACCCCCATAGGAAATGAATGGGAAATCGGCAAAAAATTGAAAATACAGAGGGTTTTTTTGTGCATACAATCTACAAAACAGCCAGGATGCAGAAAAAAAGCACACAACAGTGAAGGGGTGAATCTCTTAAAACAATGGGTGACAAAATGTTTTCCATTTGTTCTCTTTATAATGCAATGTTCAGGTTTGACTGTATTATAAAGTAAAACTGCCACTTCAAATTACCATTTAAACCAACCAAAAGATTTTTTTTTATTAATTAAAAAAAATGACAAAAATAGTCTTTGAGAATCTGTTATTATATATTCAAATCAACAACCTGAAAAAAATTAAACAATATGTGAAAAAATCACTAGAGTGTTTCTACCATAGGTTTCTACAGAGAGCTGTAAATCCACTAGTGGTAAAAATGTGCTATTGCGTGATAAAAATGCTCAGTGTTGCTCAGCAATTTCAAAAATTGCTTTCATGAGGCCTAGACTTGACTCTTAAATGAAATACAGCTTTAAGAACATTTTTTTTTAATAATCTCCAACCTTAAAGGGGACCTATTATGCAAAATTCACTTTTGTAAGGTGTTTGGACATAAATATATATATATATATATACATTTTCTATTATATTCAATGGGAAAAAATGGGTCTTAATTATTGCATAAATATTAATTATAAATCATAAAATTATCTCAAAACACCAAAAAAGAAAAGAAAAAATATTATTGAACAAAAATATATTTCATTGATTTTACTCAAAAAAAAATGTATCTTAATGCCGCCCTCCGGGTCATTTTTGACCCGAAAGTCCTGAGTGTGAGTCTAAAATGAAATACCCCAGACATGCTGAAAAAAATTATCTGTGGGGTATTTTGAGCTAAAACTTCACATACACACTCTGGGGACATCAGAGACTTATTTTACATCATGTGAAAAGGGGCATAATAGGTCCCCTTTAAACATGTAGTGCCTATAGTTTTGATATTTTGTTCCTCTGAAAGTCCTGTTCAAGTGTCCCCCAGCTTCCTCGAACAGACTCACTATAGTGTCCTCCTCACAAAACTAAAGTGTTTAAAATCTAGAAACTCATGCTTGTGTGTTTGGTGGTGTTTAACAGGTGGAGCAGGACAACCCAGCAAAGAGGAATCGTCTGAGCTGCGAGCTGATCACCTCCACCCCACAGAGGAACAATGACCTGCAAAGGAAAAGCATCTACAGGGCCCGTCGAAGAAGCTCCGTCAATGGTGGTGAGTCACTGTACTTGTGTGCTGCAGTTAAATTTACTTTTAATAATTAACATCATAAATAATAAACGTATTGAATTTAATTATTATTTCAAATAGTTAAATACAATTTTTTTAATGGTATTGGTTCCGACTACTGGAATTTTGGTATTGTGACAACCCTATCAAGGTTATCGTCAATACCTGTATATTGTGACACTTCTAAGACAAACATATTTGCATCTGTGTATATTTGTTTGATGTTGGTTGTTCAGTGTAATGCCTTAAACTGTCCATATTATCATAAATGAGTAGGGCTTTTGGAAGTATCAAACCTGTCTGTGTGCTTGACATGGATTATATGTGACAAGAACATGGTTGCGCACACCTGCCAATGGCATCACTTTCTCCTGTGTACTGCAGTAGTCATCATAGTTTATTGCCCAAACAACATATGGAGTTAGGCATTTAAATGGTCTGTTCTGCATTTGTAATTTGGTTATGCTAATGTTTTGTGAATTTGTTTTTCTCTTTGAACTTTGTTCTATAGAAACCACTAACCATGACACGAGTAAGCCTGTCAAGCCTAATGGGAAGTTGGAGGACCCTGAGGAGGTTGTGAACAGTCCACCCCGCACCACCCTGCTTGGAACCATCTTCTCTCCTGTCTTCAACTTCTTCTCACCAGCAAATAAAAATGGTAAGAAACTCTGAACCGAACACTAAAGATGTGATGTGCCAGATATTCTGGACATAATGGACTGAAAATTATTTGAAGGATAATAATAAATAGATTCTCCTTCTGGTGACATTACTGCATTAACATTTATGCTCCAACAACTATTAATTTTAGAATATTGTTCAAGTGTACATGTGTTGTTCGGTGTGTGTGTTTTTTTTTTTTTTCTTTAAAGGGGTCATATAATGCCATTTTTGTACAAGCTAATATGATTCTTTAGGGTCTAAATTAAAAGTTTGTAATATACTTTAATTAAAAATTCTCATTAGTATTGTAAGAAAACACTTATTTACCTGGTCAAAAACAGCTCTGTTTTCAGCACGCCGTTTCAGTGCATATGACTTTAAATGATCATGAGCTTTGCTGACTCCGCCCCTCTGTTCTATGCGTACACCAGAGCTCTGGCGTACACCATTTGTAACTCAATAACCATAACGCGTTGTTCAGTATAAACGTGGGATTATGAATTATATTGAGAACGTCATACATAGAAAACATGCCGTAATGTACCCTGAGTGTAAACCTTAGACGCATTCATTGTGAAGCGTGCAGCTAGCGATTTGCAAAGATTAATATATTAATATAAAGTTTAATAAAACGTTACACTCACTTCCGTTCTTCTGGAGATTCAGCAGGAACACGAATATCTGGTAGCAGCTACCGATCCATTTTTCATGAGCAGCAGCTTAGCAAATCCAGCTTTATACTGATCCTCGTCTATAAAGCAGTCTGGTGAGAAATGATTCGCGCAAACATGAAAGCATTGACGTTGCTCGTGGGGAATATTCCCTTCGAAAACAAACACAGCCACTGCGTCTTCAGCGGTTTGGATTTAGGAACATTAAAATGACTGCTGTGTTCGTTATTACACCCAAGAACAGAACACCACAATCGCTTAGACGCCATTCTGCTCATAGACAGTGCTCCAGCATATCAACAATGACCGCGCCGGTCCGCGCAGACTATGATTGACAGCTCGCTCATGGAGCTGATCTCACCCGCGAGGGCGGGTCTGTGTTGAGACGCTCCTGTCAATCAACAATCGTGGGAGGGGCTTCCGAGCGTGTGACGTCACACGGTCGAACGGCTCGATTTGAGGCAGGGGAAAACATATAAGGAGATTAAAACAAAACCACTGGATGGATTTTTATCATTATATGATGGTTGTGTACAGACACTGCCAACACACATTTCAGTACAATCAACTTGTAAAAGTGCATGCACCATTATATGACCCCTTTAAATGAACTTGACTGATAAAACATTTCTTCATTTATCATTCTTGGTAATGATGGCAGTTTTCCTAAAGAAGAGGAGTATGTGTTCTCATATAAACTACCGTTCAATGTTTGGGGTCGGTAATGTTTTTGAAAGAAGTTTCTTACGCTCTCCAAGACTGCGTTTATTTAATCAAAAATACAGTAAAAAGTCATTTTGAGAAATATTATAGCTTTTTATCAATGTTGAATATATATATATATATATATATATATACTACCGTTCAAAGGTTTGGGGTCAGTGAGAATTTTATTTTTATTTTTTGTAGGAAAGAAATCAATACTTTTATTTATCAAGGAATAATTAATTTGATCGAAAGTGACAGTAAAGACATTTATAATGTTACAAAAGTCTTTTGAATTTCCTATTCATCAAAGAATCCTAAAAAAAAAAAAAAAAAAAAAAAATGTACAACTGACAGACCAACAACTGTTTCAACATTGATAATAATAATAAATGTTTCTTGAGCATCAAATCCTCATATTATACTGATTTGTGAAGGATCATTTGACACTGAAGACACTGACACTGGTGATGCTGAAAATTCAGCTTTGATCACAGGAATAAATTACACTTTACTATATATTCACACAGAAAACAGCTGATTTACACTGGAATAATATTTAATACTATAACTGATTTTTGTTGTATTTTTAATCAAATAAGCGCAGCCATGGTTAGCAGAAGAGAATTCTTTTAAAAGTATTTAAAATCGTACCAGACCCCAAACTTTTGAACGGTAGTGTATATAGGGATGTCCCGATCCGATCACGCGATCGGAAATCGGGCCCGATCACGTGGTTTCAGACTCGATCGGAATCGGAGGTTACCTCCCGATCAGGACTCGGATATATGTAAATTAGGGGTGTAACGGTACATGTATTCGTAATTATTTAACCGTTTCGGTACGAGGCTTCCGGTTCGGTACGCATACAAACCGAACGATTCCTAGGACCATTTTTCCTGCAGACAAAATCCGCGCTGGCGCGATCACCACAACGTTGCGCAACATCAAATGGCAAACGTAATGAAAGCGGAACGAAACTGCGCTACTCATTATATTGTGCTTCACGGACCATTATCAGTTCGGACCAGCAACATCTGTGCAGCGTGAGATCAAGCGACACCGTGCTAAGAGATCCAGTGAAGAAAACATTTGAATTCGCCACTGAAGTAATAACATCGCTGCGAGATCTAGTGAGAAGCATTCACATTTCTCCGTTATTAACCGTAGATCTCTATTAGATCAAACAGCGCTGACGTGGGAACCAGGAGAAACATTGTGCCGTGAATGAACATGGATTTAATGTTGCACTTCAAAACTCATATATATATTTAAATGTTATTTTTAATGTGATTACCAAAACATTATTTGTTCATCCTTCAAAGATTACCCCCATTTATAAACCTGAAAGTTTCAAGATGTTGGAAAACTCAAACTTATTTAAAAATAGTTTTTCTTTTAATAAATAGGAAATTTCTCTGGCATTTCTTTCTTTTTGCTGTATCGTATCGAACCGAACCGCAAATTTTGTGAACTGTTACACCCCTAATGTATATATATATTCTCATTATTTTTTTATACACTTTTAAAACATTTTTATTTTTTGTTTACATGCCTGCCGGGTATTTTAAGTTGAGGTGCTATTTGTTTTTATATTAGACTTTTTCTATGTTTACTGTTGCACTAAAGTCAAAAAGTGAAGATTTTATGTTATTTATTACTTGATTGTTCAAGCTACCTCACAGAAGTGCTCTGTTTGTTAACAGAATTGTTGAATGTTAAAATAAGGTGAATTAAATAAAAAAATAAGGAACATCCTGGATCTGTTTTTTCTCTCTTCTTTATTATTTTTTTTCTTTATTATTTTTTTTATGTATTATATAAGTATCGGATCGGGACTCGGTATCGGTAGATAGTCAAAATCAAATGACTCGGACTCAAGGGCAAAAAAACCTGATATGTAAATATATTTGGATTCTGGAACTGGATTCTTTGATTAAATAGAAAGTTAACCTGCTGCATTTATTTGAAATAGAAATATTTTTTTATAAATGTCTTTACTGTCACATTTGATCAAATGTAGGTGTCTTTTTATGTAAATAGGAGGATTAATTTCTGTAATAAAAAATCTTACTGACCCCAAACGTTTAAATGGTAGTGTAGCCAGATTTGCAGAATCTGTGGAGTTGCTACTTTGTCTTTCTATGATCACAAAAACCCATATCTATTTACATTTTCCAAAAGAGAGAAAGTTTAGCCTAAAATGTCAATACTGAACAAAAAAAAAAACATGGTGAAACCTTTGGGTCCTGATGCAAATTGGTTCCCCATCAGGAGGACAACTTGTGTGAAATTAAGGGTGCTTTCACACTAGCACTTTTGGTGCGCACCTGGGTTTGATTGGTGTCAGAGTTCTGTTTGTCTGGATGATGTGAATGCTGTTTTCCAAACTCGAGTGTGCACCCACGAACCGTACCCAAGTCCGCTTAAAAAGGGCGGCCTGGGGTAAGGTTCATGTGAACTCCGGTGCAGTTTGCTGCTGATACGAATGCAATCATACTAAATTGCAGTAGTGAATGTTTGGTTTGTTTCCACAATTGGGAATATCAAAAGCTTATTTTGGATTCCAGATAATGTTTATTTTGATGATTACGATTTAAAAAAAAAACACTGTTGCAACTTTATGCAGATTAATAATGTATCGCCTAACCCAGCATGTTTTTTCACCCTTCCTTCTCCTTATCTACATCCTGTCTTGTCATGTCAGCCTCGGATTCCCCAGGCCAGGCGGTGGAGGCGGAAGAGATTGTGAAGCAACTAGAAATGGAGCAAGTAGAAGAGATGCCCACCAGTACTGCCACATCTAGAGAGTCCCTAAGTGTCCCTCTCTATACCAGTGCCATGCCATCTGCCTTTAGACCTCCATCCTCCACTCACACACCTGCAGAGGAGAGTGAAAACACCCCCCACTCTGACCTGCCGCCTCTTACAGGTGTGAAATACATGACATTGCTTGACTTCTCTATGGGGGAATACTACTTTCACCCTAGAACACATTATACACTACCGGTCCCATAAGGTTTTTTATTTTATAAGAAAGGGATACTTTTATTTAGCAGCGATGACACATTATAATGCAAAAAAAAAGATTTCTATTTTAAATAAATGCTGTTCATTTGAACTTTCTATTTATCAAAGAATCCTGAAAAAAAATCTTCACCATTTCACAAAAATATGAAGCGGCAACATTTTCAACATACAAGACGTAATAAGAAATGTTTCTTGAGCATCAAATCAGCATATTAGAATGATTTTTGATCATATGATGCTGAAGATGAGTAATGATGCTGAAAATTCAGCTAATGTTTTAAAATATATTAAAATAGAAAACGTGTTTAACATTTTAAAGTGTAATAATATTTAACATTATTACTTTCTTGCTGTAATAACAATTCAAAAATCTTACCGTCCCCAAACTCGTGTATATTTACACAGGCAAGAATATATTAACATTGTATTTTCTTTGTCCTGTTTTATCTCAGCTCCTGGCTCTCCTGCAACAGTGGGGTATGTGGACACCTCTATTACTGTCCCAGCTGAAGGATCATATGAGGAGGAGTGGGAGGTGTTTGACCCGTGAGTTCAACTTAACTGAATGTCTGTGCTTTGTGCTCAGAGCTTCACAATAAGGATTTTCTTTTCTGCTGCCTCGGGCGAGCCAGTAGTTCAGATTTTTGCTTCCCCTGTTTGTTAGTAATGATTATTCTAGGGGTGTCCCCGACTAAGGATTTTCATAGTCGAATCAGATTCGTCAAGTCCTGCCTATAGTCGACTAATAGTCGAATCATGTGTGTGGTGTTGGGGAGGGGGCGGGGCTTTAACATTTTAAAGCCGCGATGTACAGAACATCACACAAAGATATGGAAGAAAATGTATAAAAACATTTTGGATCAATAAAACTAAGAAATAACATAAATAACTGCAGAAAGGCCACACTGCAGATAGGATTTGCATTTCACATGCAAATCAAATTAAATCGGCTGAATTGCCTGTCGAGCATGCTCTAAGTAGGCCCACAGCGCAACATCGATGCACTGAAAAATAATCAACAATTAAGAACACAATATAGGCCTACATTTATAATAAATAAAAATACAAAACGAAATAAGTCTGAATCAAGTCACAAGAAGCAGAACAAATGCGTGCAAAATGCCTAAAGTGCAGGGGAACAAATATTCAAAACACAAGTCACAAATAGTTAAATTAGATCACCCTGAGTGATCAATTAATAAAATAAAAATAAAGAAATTATTAAAATAACGAAAGTATGGCCAGGATTGTCAACTTTGTCTTTTTAACTGCAGAAACAACAATAAACGCTAAACTGGAGCGGCACTCTTTTTAGCTAAACGTGTTCACAGTATCCAAAAATCTAATTAGAACCGGCTGAAATGTTTTGAAATCACTTGTACCCATTCCTGATCGAAAAAACAAAATCCAGTCTTTCACTCGGCCTGTGTCCGTTTGAGTCTTTTCAAATTGTGTGCGCGGATAAAATACATTCTAAAACGCTTAACATGAAAAACGCTTAACGGCTTTGTCCTAAAACTGTTATATTAAAAGATCAAATTCTGTACACACCTTATTAATAAAGCATACTATAAAGCCTACAGAAAAGCGATGAGCCCAGAATATGAACGCAACGCGTTTTATTATAGGATACGTTAAGCATTTTTCTCCCATAGAAAACCGTTAAAGAAAAAGCTTTACGTGACTTTCTATAGGAGAAACGCGTTGCGTTCATATTCTGGGTTCATCTGCTTATCTGCACATGGAATGGTTTCTTAAGGTGTGAAGCCTACTCTGTACATACATTAAGCACGTAAAAGTGCCATTTTAAGCGTTTTAAAAGCTTTTTTCGTGTTAAGCGTTTTAGAATGTCCCGAGGAAAACCAACCTGTTAACTGTTAACTCCTGATGCTAAATCCAGCCTTGGAGAATATCCTTTCTGATGGTGTGCATCTTTAGATTTTCTTATCCCAGACATTTTTAAAGATTTAAATCCCTGCCGACAAGACGCTCCTCTGGCGGTCACGGATCGAAAGTGAAACTAAATCTGTCACGGGGTGTTTGGATTTAGTCACGCTGCACGCACGTTAAAAAATATTTATTAAAAGCTTCTTTCTTTGCACATTTTTATTGACAGCATTATCATAATAGGCTGTATATTAACGTATTGACAGAAAACCAGTAGTTCTATGTGAAATCAGACATTGAGCACACTCATATAGCCAAAATGACATAATCCTCGTTTAATAACACATCTGCGAAGATTCGACCGTGAGATTGGTAGTCGAATCAGGCTCCTCCTATCGAAGCATCGAATCTTCGACTATTCGGGGTCACCCCTAGATTATTCCATTCTATAATGTTACATTGAACAATATTTAATTTATAACAACAACAAAAAAATCAGCGACAAATGTTTAAATTCACAGGAAGTAAAACGGCAAGTACAAGATAAACAAATGTGAGATGTGGCCCCAGAAGATCCTTATTGTTGAGCCCTCATACAAGTGCAGGGGCGGACTGGCCATCTGTGTGATCTGGAGAATCACAGAACGGCCGGCGGGCCAGCCCACCACCCGCCACACACGCAGTCACAGACATCCCAAGTCTCCCGGAAGTTCCGCGAGTCTCCCGCATATTGATAGATGCTCCCTGATGCCCGCAAATTAGTTAAAATCTCCCGGAATCTAGAGCGTGCATGCGTAGCGCGTGCATGGCAGAGAGAGGGAGCGAGCTAGCGACCTAGTGTGCGCGTGTGTGCTAGTGTGCGCGTGTGCCTCACGAAGCGCATGTAAGGACCCAACCAATCAATTGTCAGTGCAGGAGGGCTTTTATCTCTACTACTCCCGAACCGAATTAATCAGAAATTACTTTGCAAGTTACTTGCTAGGGATGATGTTAGGAAGTGATATTCAGCTTGCTACATTTTTAATGATTACAGTAGTTAAAACAGCTAAACTTCAACATTTTAGCTGTAAAATGCCTGTATGCAGGAGCTAATATTAAGAAATATGTTGTGCTTTTACTTTTAAAAATGTTGGTAACGTTACAGTTAATGCTTACAAACTTTGAAGATTTTGAATACAGAATTACATTTGTAATGGTGTATTTTCATTTAGATGTGGTATTATTATTTGTGCAGTAGATTAATTACTGCATAAATTAATTAAGATTATTAAGTAATAAATTCATTTTAAGACAGCATGGAATTGTATAATAGACTCTCAGAAAATAAAGTACATAATTGTACCTTTAGGGGTACAATGCCTTGTCACTGGGGCTGTACCCTCAAGGGTACAATATTGTACCCTTGGCATAGGGTACATATTTGTACCCTTGTGATTTGTACCTTAAGAGACCAGTCTTGTACCTGTGGTGACAATTTTGTACCTTTATTTAACAGTACAAAAATGGACCCTTCAAAAATGGTACAAAATTGGCTTTGACAGGGTACAATCGTTGACTATAATGATATATATATATATATATATATATATATATATATATATATTACACACATGCTGAATTAAAATCAGAATTTATTAGACCCTTTTAATTTTCACATTTTCCAACATTTCATTTTAAACTCAATGTTTAACTGTGACATATAAATGATCATCATCTGAGTAAGAGTCATTTGCCTGAAAGTCCATTTCATCTCCTTTCATCTCGACGTCGGTTACTTCTATGCCTGCTTCTGATATTTTCTGAAGGACCTCCTCGGTTAAAAGCCCTGTAAGAACCATGAGTAACCGTGCTATGACTTCTTCTCCACCGATGGCCAAAAAAAAGAAAGACCGCAAACTGGACAATCTTTTAAATTGAGATTCAAGCAGCCAATCAGGGCTGGCTCTACATGCAGTCTCAGAAAATAAAGTACATAATTGTACCTTTAGGGGTACAATGGCTTGTCACTGGGGCTGTACCCTCAAGGGTACAATATTGTACCTTAACCTTTAAAAGAAACGGTACATATATGTACCTTTTAATGCTTTTTGACCCTCAAAAAGGTACATGTATGCACCTTGAGGTCCAACAGCAAAAACTCCAGTGTTAATTGAACTCTCCTGGGAGTTTATATGACTCCAGACTCAAGAATGTTAAAGTTAATGAGATAATTACGTGATTCATTGAGTGATGATTGACCATTATTGAAGACACCTGATGTTAACAAGCAGAATCACTGAAGGAGAAAACATAATTTTTTAAGACACCGTTATGGTGATCAGTGTTTGCTTTAGTTGGGCTCTTGACCCTTAAACCATTAATTTTAGATTTTGTTTGGCTGTTGTATCTGAGCTATAACTGCCAGATGAACAAAGCGAAAAGGTGATCAGGTGGTGTTGGTTATGTTTTGACATAATCATAATTTGCCTGAATCACTGAACTCATTCTTTTTCTCAATCTCAGTCTTAATTGTATATTGTTGATTACAGCAGCCTGTGATTCTACAGCAAATGATTTCCAGCAATTTCCATATAATCCAAAATATTTCTTAAAAGTTGTTCTGATCAAAATACTTTTTTAAAATTATTTTATGTTGACACACTGACATCAATAATCAGCATGTGAATCTCAACAATGGTGACAATAATAAAGCATGTTGCAGTGCATTCTGGGTGACACCAATCAAAACTCATTCATGGCTCCCATCATGCATTGCGGTATGAATAAATTATGATCCAAATTGTTTTACTAATTTCCTTTCCCTAATTGAATATTCTTTTTGTCACCATTGTTGAGATTCATACACTGATTCTTGATATCTGTGTGTGTGCCTAAAAGAAAGATTTGTTTTATCAGATAAACTTTTAAGAAACCCTTTAGATTAGAAAATGATGGATCTTATTCTGTTGAATCACAGGCTGCTGTAATCAAAAATATACATTTAAGTCAGATAGGGCTGCAACGATTAGTCGACGTTGTCGACAACGTCGACAATAAAAATTTGTCGACAAATATCTTTGTTGTCGAGTAGTCGTTTGATCTCACGTGACCTAATGTAAGGGCCTGCAATCCCGCGATTTGAACGCTACGGCGCTGTAGCGCTAGAGTGTAGTGCAGCCCTTACAAATGCTATTGCGGTAGAAGAGAAAACAGCGCGAATTATGACAGTGCAAACGAATCCGAACTAGCAAGGTTTAGGTTTGGGAAAGTTTCACAAAACTTCAAATCAAGAATGCTGTCGTGTGCAATGTTGGGGTGCAAGAGGAAACATCCCGGCAAAAGAGGAGCCGGTGAGAAGTGAGTGTTCTCCAGCTGGAGCTAACTAACCACCAGCGGCAAATCTCTCTTTATTAGAGAATGCAATACTACTAATAATAGTAATAATATTATCAATAGTAATATAATTACAGTAATGTGATGACTTATTTTGTATAGAATAAAGCTTGATCGAGCTTAGGAGTCAGGGCTGTTTTTATTATTGTAACACTATTAGTATATTAGGTATTATTATAGTCTTATCACTTGCCTGTATTTTGTTCAATAATCATGAAGACTTACAAAACGAGATGTTATATCCTTCCTATGATATAGGAAGAATATCACGGCAGTCACTTTATCATACTATAAATTAAAAGGGAATGAGAACGTCTCTGTCAGCTCAATTGTCATGTAAAAAAAGATTGTAATTTTATAATTATAATAATTGTTTGCAGATTAATATTTTACCATTCTTTGTGTCCTGAAGTAAATGTCCCTTTTTCTGTTTCAGTTCTAAGAAAAGCAGTGGGCCTATTAAACAATGCTTAGAGAGCATTTGTGTGTGATTTGAGTTGGACCGAAATCTGAAAACTTAAAGAGAATGACCTGTTTAGTTGGCTCAAAGTTCATTAAAACAACTATTTCAAAAGCTGAAGTGATTTTCTTTTTTATATTATAGTTAGAATATGTATAACTCAATGTTTTAACTAATTGGAAAAGCTGAATAATCGTTCCAAACTTACTGATTAGTCTGCGAAATAATCGGCGATTAGTCGATTAATCGTTCTAATAATCGTTAGATTAATCGATTATCAAAATAATCGTTTGTTGCAGCCCTAAAGTCAGAGATTAGACTTCAAATGAGTTCAGTGATTCAGGTCAAATTATGATTGTCAAAACATAACCAACACCACCTGATCAACTTTTCTCTTTGTTCATCTGGCAGTTGTAACTCAGACACAACAGAGAAACAAAATCTAATGTTATCAGTTTAAGGGTCAAGAGCCCAACTAAAGCAAACACTGATCACCATAGCGGTGTCTTAATTTTATTTTATTTTCTACTTCAGTGATTCTGCTTGTTAACATCAGGTGTCTTCAATAATGGTCAATCATCACTCAATGAATCACTTAATTAGCTCATTAACTTTTGTTAATTTAACAGTCATATTTTAACACTTTAACACTCTTGAGTCTGGAGCCATATAAACTCCCAGGAGAGTTAATTTAACACTGGAGTTTTTGCTGTTTTATAATGATTTAATATCAGTAAATTGACTTACAAAACGTTTATTTCCTCTATTTCAAGGCTAGTCAAATATAGTGATAAGTTAAAATCTACCTTAAATGATTAAGGTATCCTTAAAACCTTAAAACCTTTAAAAAAAAAAAAAAAAAAATTACTTAGCAGAGGCTGTCTTTTGATATTGTACCTTAACCTTTAAAAGAAACAGTATATATATGTACCTTTTAATGCTTGGGGACATATATGTACCTTTTTGACCCTCAAAAAGGTACATATATGTACCTTGGGGGACAGAAATGGACTCCTACTGTACCCCTATTTCTGACAGTGTATGCTGTTAGCTATAATTTGGATGGTGTAGTATCATGAGCCACAATTAAAGTCTTGTGACACTCATTTGTGCAGGCGTTATTGTTGTTGTTGTTGTCGAGTTTCCGCGCGCCGATTGCTTTGGGCCGGGCCTAGTCAAAGTCCAGGGCCGTTTTTTAGTCCCAGTCCGTCCCTGTACAAGTGGAATGTTTATTAATAATATTACAGTTAAATATTGCTTTTGTTTTAAGGTCATTTGGAAACCCTCTCAGAAAAAAAAAAAATTCTCATCAGTGTTTGTCTCGAGGCTTTTTCCATGCAAACATTTATGTTGATATGTTTTTCAGGTATTTTTTCATCAAACATGTACCTCCGCTAACAGAAGAGCAGCTAACTCGCAAACCCGCACTCCCTCTGAAGACTCGCAGCACTCCTGAGTTCTCCCTGGTGCTTGACCTGGTCAGTCTTAAACACCACAGAGGAATAGCTCCTATTACAAGGGATTCATTTTGGCATAGATTTCATTAATTGTTTTCTTTCTACAGGATGAAACCCTTGTCCATTGTAGCTTGAATGAGCTGGATGATGCAGCACTAACCTTTCCTGTCCTCTTCCAAGATGTCATATATCAGGTAGATAAGATATCCAAGCTGTCTTTGTGTTAATACATTGTTTGTCAGTAACATACCACTAGAGGGGCCTCTAGAGCCATTTTTCATGAAACTAACTGGCTGCGAGTCCATTGTCTATTGATCTGAAATTTGTAAAACTTTGTAGGAGGTTTTTTTTTCCCCTTCTTTTTAGGGGGCTAAAACCCTGTGTTCTTAGGGGCTAAATTCTAATTCACAATTTCTGTTAGGTTTATGTGCGATTGAGGCCATTTTTCAGAGAGTTCCTTGAACGCATGTCTCAGATTTATGAGGTAAGCATTCATCCATTTTACTCCACATTACATCTCATCCTTTTTCTCCAAATAAATGATGATATTACATGGAAATGTTTTACCCTCGCTTGAGTTGACATCTGTTCCTCATAATTAACTGAAGTTGTTCCATTGACTTTTTTTATAGATCATTCTCTTCACTGCCTCTAAGAAAGTTTATGCAGACAAGTTGCTGAACATTCTCGATCCGAGGAAACAGCTGGTGCGGTCTGTGGACGACTTTTTGTTTTACCTTTATTGTAATAATTTTGAAGACTCTTCCTCGACAGTGTTAAAAGTAAAACCAAGTTGTCTTTTTGTTTGCCTCTGTTTCTTTTAGAAATTCTGTCAGATTTTGTCATTAGAGTAAATGTAAATTTAGGCAGGGTGTCAGTTTGAGAGTAACCCTGCCTCAGCTTGGTCATTGCTGTGCAGAGTTTCTCTGTAGTGTTAGGTTACAATGAGGAATTGAGGGATTGCGGTAGATGGAGATCTTTGGTCTCTGGCACATGTAAACTCCACACCATCCTCAGGTGTCAACCCTTTGCTTCAAATGCATTATTGATTCTAGTCCTGGAGATTTATTTCATTCTTCTCTCTGTGTGTGTTTCCAACATGTTCTAGGCACCGATTATTTCGTGAGCACTGTGTTTGTGTGCAAGGAAACTACATTAAGGATCTGAATATCCTTGGACGGGATTTGTCCAAGACTATAATTATCGATAACTCGCCACAAGCCTTTGCTTATCAGGTGAGCAGACCAAGGTTGCATAATCATAATTTCCATAAAGTTGCACCATTACTTTCACATGGGGGCAGGTGTGGCCTAATGGTTAGAGAGTCGGACTTGTAACCCGAAGTTCAGAGGTTCGAGTCTCAGTGCCAACAGGAAATGTAGGTGGGAGGAGTGAATGAACAGCACTCTCTTTCACTCTCATTACCCACAACTGAGGTGCCCTTGAGCAAGGCACCTAACCTCCAATTGCTCCCCGGGCATCGCAACAAAAATGGCTGCGGACTGCTCCGGGTGTGTGTTCACTACTGTGTGTGTGTGTGCACTTGTATGGGACGCCACACTTGGCTACATGTCAATTTCACTTCACTTCATGTTCATAACAGTTTGTTATATATATATTGTAACTTGTAACAAGTACAGAGAAAAAAATATTTAAGTTAAATGTGTGAAAATCCTTACTCCTTTAAAAGAATCAAGCTTAAAACAGACTTGAAGGTAAAATTAATTGTTTTTTAGTTTGTAAAATTAGTATGTAATATATTAATAGATCAATCACACTTTTAAATAATATAGATTAATCTCCCTTTGTTAATATACTATGTAAGGCTTTAAAATCTCCTCGTTAAGTTTTTATATTCAGCCTCAACCCCCTCTCCCACCCAGAATGTAATTAGGAGTAGTAATTATGTAGTCATTTAGAAAGTGACAAAGCATTCATTTTCATTGTTACTTTTGTAATAAGTACAGTGTTGAGATGTGTGACTGAGCTCATAGTCAACATTACCCAATAAAGAAATACCCAAAATCCTTATAAATAAAACCAATCAACCCATGTGTTACACCCACAGCTCTCCAATGGGATCCCTATTGAGAGCTGGTTCATGGACAAGAATGACAACGAACTTCTGAAGCTGGTCCCTTTCTTGGAGAAACTGGTGGAATTGGTATGTTGTAATGTGTTCTTCACCTCTTAGTTTTCGTGACTTTCGCTTCAACATTGTTGACATATGTTGACTGCAATAACTGAACTGCTTCATTTGCTTTAAATAAATATCCTTCTAGAAAGTCATAAATAAATAAAGTTTCTTTTTAATTAGAGGTACTCTAAAAGTCACAAATTCCATAAATATTCATTATTTTATTTATGTATTTTTGTTCTAAGGATACCAGCTCTAGATGTGTTTTTATTTGTAATTTTTTAATGTTTTTACATTATCAGAAAGTACTATGATACATTAAAAACAAGAAGAAATAAATATTTTTACACTTCTTTTATTACTTTTTTTTTTTTATGTCTAAATACAAATTGTACTTCCATTGTTATTCGTCCACAGAATGAGGATGTGCGGCCACATGTCCGTGAACGGTTTCGGCTGCATGACCTCCTTCCCCCTGACTGAGGGTACATAGTGGGACAGGACAGTAAAAAAGACAACAAATGCAGATAAACATTTTGCATTACAACATCATTGCCATTACTATTCAAATTAACTTTTTTTTTATCCCCCAAAATTTTCATCGCTAAGATAACATCAAAAAAATGTTGTCTGAACATTTTGACACTTTTTCTTTCTTTTTTTTTTGGCCACTTTTGCCGTTTGTGCAGTCAAGAGAGGTTTGAAGTTTCTCGAGTCACCTCTTCGGTTGTTTCATCCCATACTAAGTGAATGTGTAGCAGTCAGAAGAGAAGAAGATTGTCTTTAGGTGCTCCAATGGGATTGGTTGACACTGTTGGGCTTTTGACCAATTTCATCAGGAATGGCCAGTAAGAAAAGCATACCGTCTGACAAAAGTTAGATTCTTATGAGTGAATTTTTTTTAATTTTATTTTTCATTAATGATTTTAGTATGCATTCCTCTCCATCTGTACGTTTTGGTTGGTGTTTACTTCAAATCAATGTTTTCTCAACTCCTGACTTGTTTTGTTTGCCAAAATGTGTTCATTTCTCAGAGCGTGGTCTGGTTGAAAATTGTTCTGTTCTTAAATTGGGTATTTTTACAGCACAGTGGAATCGTTCGTTTTTATGTGGTGTGAATGAGAATGGTTTAAACCAGAGTGATGGCTGTTTCATAGAAAAAGATTTGAAGTGACTAAATTCTCAAATTGTTTAAATAAGAAGTTTCCTACCATTGCATCAGAGCTCTGCAGCTTCTTGCTATTGTCTCTCCACAGATATTTATTCACCTTTTAACATTTTACTTGTTAATTAGTAGCACCTAAAAAAATAGTATTCATCAGCTACTGTTTAAAATTTTTTTTTTTACTGTTTTGCTTCTTATTGTTTCATATTTAGCCTGTGTATGTTTTTTATATATATTTTAGTTTTTATTATTATTACTGGTGTTCTTTAAAAAGATATCACCTTTATGTTTTAGTGATAGATTACAAGCAAGTATTTTCATGTTCAAATTTGAAGTTAATGTAGCATTACCCAGATCTAATCTATTCAAACTGAACTGCAAGGGAGAAGATTGAGGGCTGCAGCCTGGTAGAACCCTGTTTATAGCACCAGCATAACAACAGCCAGTCTCATCGCTGTGGTTTAAACCTTACTGCCCGACGTTCTGGCTTTTCTTTATACTGGGATTCTGTGGGGTGGGGTGGGGTGGGGGGGTAGCTGTGTCCAGAAGTATTGTGTGATGTAAGCTAGATGAATGAGTGTGCATCGCTGTCTGAGGAGAACGGGATAATTATTCTGTGAAATGTTTTTTCTTCCTCTCGATCCTTCTCATATTGCCTTTTTAATTCCACTGTTATAGGCGATACTTAAAATTGAGTAATACAGAGTAAGAGTAGAAACTACAGTAGTGCCATTCAGGGTTATTGAAGCAGGGCCAAGCTAGTTGCTTTCCCTTTTATCTTTTTCTGCTCTGTAAATGGTTTTGTTTTGACAAAATGAACATGTTCATTTTCTACTCATGCCACTGGTGCCACTTATGCTGTTTGTGTTTAGTGTGCTGTTTTCAGATAAATGGGTCATTCTTAGTAATAGACAATCACTGAATGCATCATTTGTCTAAATTGGATGGGTTTTTTTCTGAAAATATCATTTTCATAACTTAAAATAAATTGAGGCCTTTGTTGAATTTAAAAAAAACACATCTTGTATGCAGTAAAGAAATTATCATGTAGTGTTTTTTTTTATTCATTGTAAAATTATAACTATAAAAATGAATTGCAAGGTGTTCATGCTTTAACTCTATATATCCTGTGGTACTTCCCAATTGAAGGAGAGAGGATGAAAAATGGGAGTGAAAAAGTGTGATCCCAAGGATCCTGCTCTACTGACAGTTTTTTGACAGAGGCCACAAACACAGTATTTTTCTCATAGCAAAGACTGATTTGGTAATGGTTACGCATACTTTTTGAAAATGGCTAAACATAGTGTTACATCGTAAGTAGCAATTTTTTTTTAGTGTAAACTATTCCTTCTCCCTACATTGATGCAAAATAGTTGAATGATGCTAATAGTCCAGAATGATAGCTTAGATGTTGGGAGGCGGGTTGCATCTACTGTTAGGCCCTGGCACTTTCTTACAAAGACAAAGAAAATTATTTTGTATGATTGTCAAAAAGCAGTAGTGAATCAAGTGTAACATGATGCAGAGGTTTGTTTCATATGTACAACCAGTTCATTGTAATGTTCATTAATTTTGTACAAAGCATATTGTACTAATTGTGCATATTGTGCATATTGCAGCTTCATGAAAAAAAAAAAAGTTAAAGGAAAATCTTTTTGTATTTTTGATTATTTGTATTCCGAAAGGCATGTCATATCTATTTTTCAAAATGTATTCATTTTCAAATGTATTATTGCAGATCTAACTTGTCAGTAGTGGGTTTTTTTTTTTTTTTTTTTTTTTTTTTTTAGTCTTACTGTATCTTTGTATGTAGTTGGCACAATCACTGAACATTCTCCACATGTAAAAAGCCTGTTATGTGAGAGTTGGGATTTTAATCAAGGCATTTTTTTTGCAGATGAATGTTTCAGGTTTGTTTTCTTTCATACTCTTCATCTTCAAAAGCCACATGGCTTGCGATTGTCCTTGAGCTGCATTGGAAAAACACTCTTGGTCTAAATGTTATTTCCTGAAACGTGTTATTTAAGATTGTTCATATAATGGAAATTAAGTCTTTGGAAAATTGCATGCTCTTTTATTTTAATGTTAGCTTATGTCAAAACAACATGTTAGATACTTATGAATGGATGGTTGTATTTCATGTCTTTTTCTGCTACTTCATTTTACCATCAAATGGTGTGTAATATCGAGGAGATTTTATGATTATGACTTGTATAAATTTTGTGTGACTCTGTCAACATAAATGGCATCTTATTGATGCAATTTGATGCAACCTCACAAATGAGAAATGAAAGCCTTTGTTGAATGAGAGAACATTAAAGTAGGTGAATATAAAAATATCTGAATTGAGGCCTATAAATTTTTTTTTTTTTTTTATGAGTTTCAGGGTTCCCACAATCATGAAACCAGAACATTTTTTCAGGTCAGTTAGTTGTGGGAAAAATAAAATACTAAAAGTGAGAAATGTATTTTCTTTTTGGCTATAGACTATTCTGCTTTCCAGTATGTCATCAGCTTTTTTTTTTTTTGTGTGAGTACAAAATGTGTGGGAACCCCTGAAGTTTGAACTGAGCATTGTCTTACACAATTTTTTTGGTTGATCCTTTATTAAATATAGATTTTAACTATGGTGGTTCCAGCTAAAGTGGGTCAAATAAGTTTTGATGGGTTGCCTTTTAAATATTGAATCAATCAAAACATAATAGTTAACTCATTTTCAAATCTACATAAGCTACAATGGAGAATGTAAATTGGCCTCAATTGGTGTTTGTTATGGTTTTTAAATGATTCAAGTTACGAAAAGTTTACTTTTATACTCAGTGGTTTCAGATAAAGTGAGGCTGTTTATTTATTATAACTTATGGGCAAACATGAACATACTTTGCTTGAAACATTTTGAAATGTTTGCTCTAAAACATACTTTTCTCAATTTTCAGTCACTGTATTCACTGCTGCACACGAAACGGTTAACCTTTCGTCGTTATCAGTTTTATATTATTCACATTTAAAGTTAATTGTGTCGTAAACTCAAGCGGTCGAGCTGCATCACCTTACCCACCCACCTGTGCTTCCGTTTGTTTCTACCTGTGTCACTGATCGGGTGTACGTTACTGTGACAGAGAGGCTGACAGTCAACACGGCATGTTAATATTTCAGCACTTTCGGCGGTCTCTCCTCCACTCTCAAATCCGTTCCGTGTGTTTCGCACCTATTTTCTGCTGTTGTTTAATTAGGCGACTGATGCAGGATTGAGTTGCAGTGACACTGCAGCCGTGATAGAACATAGTCGAAATCCAGGAATCACAGAGAGTCTTCATTACAGAACAAGTCAGTTGTGTTTTTACGACGATATCGTAATTAATGGAAATTAAGTCTCAGCCGACAGTGGCCATGCTTTTGTTAAATTAACAACCCGCCGTAGCGACATATGGATATTTCTCAGTAAAAATGCACCACAGAGGAATTTTAATGTTGCTCATGCTTAGCATCATTTTAGGTAAGAGTATTTTTCTTGTCTTGTCTTTTATTTTCCGTTTCCTTTTTATTTTTCTTAGCACTTGTACAATTTAAAATGCCTGACATCTCTGAATGTTTACGGTGAACTTATGTTTTGTCATTTATCAGGGTGAAGATAATTAAAATAAACATTTGTGGGGGTTTTTACATTACAGTTGGCATTTTACCCATATTACATATAATTTAAATAGCAATAAAAGTAATGTATAATTTCAACAAACTCTGCTAATAATTTATGGATAACCTGGTGTCCATTTGTATAACCCAGTATTTTGATAAATGCATGAACACTAAGGTAGTGTGACCATGTATGCCTCTTCTTCAAAGGGAGTGCATGTGGTGACTCCAGAAAACCCTCATTACCCAAGACCATCATCAGACAGAGTGAGATGAGCTCCAGGAGTGAGGATGAATTTGAGAGGAACTTGAAAGTCCTGATAGAGAACATCAGATCCTTGTCAAGAGAAGAAAAGACCATGAGCAAAATGACAGCACCCCGTGAAAGAATCGCAATTGACAGCACTAACCTAGACACTTACTTCACAATATTCAAGAGTTTATTCACTATATACCAGCCAATGCTGATTGACAGTTTCATTGAAACTCTTCCTAAGGCTTTAATTTGTGTTTTGGCAGACAGACAGCACTGTGGATGGCAAGCAGATTTAACTAGTACCGTTTCATCTGCATTGAGTGAACAGATACTTTCTGTGATCTCCTCTGTTAAATCTCAAGCCTGCATGTCAACATCTAATCTGCGAATGGCAGACTCCTCCATTACTCAGTTAAACTCTGTTCAGGAGATATTGACAAATGTTTTGTCCTCAGACCTCCCGCTTTATCTGCTCTCAGAGAACTTTTTAGCCTTATGGAATAGTTTTATGGACATGACAATTCCACCTGTGATGTCCTTCGTGTCTGAATTCATGTTGAGTGCGCTTCAAACTCCAGTGGACTTTCTAAAACTTGGATTACAGTTTGGCATAGAGATCCCTACGCTAGACCAGAGTGAGAAGTGTCAACAAGGTGTGTCATAGGTTCAGTTTGGTTCTTCAATACTGTTTTTTTCTTCTTCATATGTTGGAATACATTTTTCAGTGCAATAAGTGATTCTCCAACTCTCCTTCTGTCTTTTATACGCAGGTGACCTCAAACAGCTTATCATGTGGTATGTCAGTGGAAGCAAAAATAGCAGTGTGCCGGTTCTTTTGCATTTCATGTCTCTGGAAGCCCATATTCCTGTTACACATTTGAATAAGAATATTACTTTACAATATAATGATGCATCATTAATCTTACTCTAAAATAAGAAATAATTTCTCAATTAATTCTGTCTTATTTTCTATATTCAGGGGCATGAGTCATAATGTGACCTGGTCTTTTGGACAATCACTTCTGGATATGTTTTTGGCTCCTGAATCACCTCCTTGCAGTTTCCCAGGTCCAGAATGCCAAGCCACAAGCAGCATCCAGTTCAGTCGTACTGGCACACCCTCAGTGGACATCCGCACATCCAGTCTCACCTGCGACCAACAAAACTTGAACCAACTCAATGAAACCCTTTGTGCAGCAATTTTAACAGCAACATCTCAGGAATCTTACGTCCTTTACCAGATGTGTCAAGCGCTCCGCACACTCTCTCAAACCGAAGTGACAAAGGTCTGGAGGAGCATGTGTCACATGATCCAAAACGTTGTCTTACCTCTCATGGAACCCTGCAGTGATCCTGCCACTGCACAATCAAGACGTATTGCGAGGTCCACCCTTAGCCTCAGTGAACTCCTCTGCGACTATGAGAACTGGACTGCCAGTGGTTCCGTGGACCCGGCTCTGATCACAATGTGCAGTGAAAATGATCGTCCGGCATTCATCCTTGCTGTGTGTAACAATGCTGAAGCTATGCAAGTGCTGGTTAGAAATCCCATTAATGCCTGGGTGTGGGAATTCTGCGCAAACACGTCAGACACATACATAGTGAACCTGTATTGTTCATATAACACGTGGACTACTGAAACCATCGACCCATCAATAGTGACGTTCTGCTGGTATAATGACATGGACAGATTTGAGGGGCTATTGTGTGACAGTACAGTCTTCTTTATGGTTGTGTACTCCAGTGAAGAAAACAACTGGCTTAAGCCCAATTGCTCTGAACCTCCTCCACAAATTGACATCAACACCATTGTTGCTCAGTCTTGCAAATACTCAGAATGGAAGAATTTAAGAGCAGTCACCCCTGAACAGATATCTCTATGTATCCAAAATGATGAGATTCGATTCATTAAAGAGGTGTGTGTCAACCACACGTTCGTCACTGTTCTTGTGCTTAACAGCGGGAATACCTGGGTAGCGCAATATTGCACTTACTCGATCAGCAATCCCTCCACGAGCCCACCACCGCTAAGCACTGAAGTCTGGTGTAACTACAACAAATGGACTAACATGTCTGTGGATCCGACTGTGGTTGCTCTGTGCTGGCAGTACGACCAGATAGGCTTTCGTCAGAACGTCTGCTGCAACTTGACCTTGTATGAGAAGTTGTCTCTTCATCTCGACAACCAATGGCTGATTAGAGAGTGCTCTAATAATGACACCACGAAAGTGTTGGCGCAGGTTTGTGTCTATTCAGATTGGAGCCAGCCTATTATTGTAGACATGAGCGACCTTGCTCTCTGTGCCGATCTTGATGCTGAGAACTTCACTCGGAATGTATGTGCCAATGTTACAGTTCTCCAGAATTTGCTGGCCAATTTAGACAACACCTGGTTATTGGAGCAATGCTCAAACCTGACTGCGTCTGGCCCAGGCGGTGGGGCTGGGAACGGGGGGAGCCTGATGGGTTTCCGCCCGGCTGAGCAGTGTCAGTACTCCAGTTGGGCTTTGGTCCTCCCGGATGCTGCTCTCCTCGCTCTTTGCTGGGACTATGACCAGGCCAACTTTATCTCCTTTGTCTGTGCTGACTCTTTCATGCTCACCCACATCACTCAGGAGGCCTCCAGCCTCTGGGTCGGCACTCTCTGTGCCACGTACACAGCTCCTCATATCGAGAGTCTAAATGGGAGCACAACTGCTCCGCCGTGTCTACCTAGGGAGTTAGCTAAGAGGCTAAACTGGACCTGCAGCGCAGACTTCAGCGTTGTCTGCCAACCAGGTGGCAGTCAAGTCCAGGGCCTTCGGATGCTGTTGCGCTGTGGGATAGAGATTCTCCAACCTCGCTTGGAGAATCTCATGACTACACAGGTGACATCAGTGGTCAAGCAGGCCACCAGCCTGTGGATTGTCCTGCTGTTGGCTCTAGAAGAAAGCCAGATGACCTCTCTGAGGGTGACAGAGAATATTCGGCTTAGTGTGCTGGAGTCAATTATCGTCTACATGGACAATGAGGCCAACTTTGACAAAAAGCGTGTGCTTTTGCAGTGCTTTGAGGTTGGTATTATTATTCAATGGCAGAACAGGGGATATCATTCATATCATTGTTTTCATTAGACCAGTGTTTCCCAAAAAAAGACACTGTGAACCAGTTCTGGAAGTTCTTCTAGTTCTGATTATTAATTAATCATATCCCTTACCGAGTTCACCACTATTTTGTAATTGACCCATGATCTAGCTCATCAACATGAGGTATAAGGTGTTAGCTGTGACACCGGATCATTTAAATCTCTTCCTTAGCATGTAATATTAACTCAAAGTCATTTGATTTGTCTCTACATTGGTACTATGATACAAATACCTAATCTATGTTGTTGTTTCAATCAATGTTGAGATGTCATTGCCCTTTTCATTTTACATGACAATATGGTTTAGATACCATATTTCCAGTTGAAACTTTGCATGTGTGTGTTTCAGAAAGTTCTGACCAGTCTGATGCAAACAGGAAGAGATGTCCCCACTAACTTTTTTCTGATCAAGGTTGGATGGAAATCTTTATTTGCATGTTTTTAATTAACTGGCTTTGTACTTTAATACTTAAAGGTGTTGGAGCTAAATTAATGTTTTACTTTGTCCGTACACAATATCCGGTTTTGTTTGCTGAAATCATTGTGAGAGTAACAGCTTGAATTACAGTTCTCATTATTGGTTTACAGGAGTATTTTCGAATTCCTCTATCTCATCTGAGATCAGTGCTCAGTGCAGCGGACATCATAATTGTAAGGGAGGTTCTGCTGTACTATAATAGGAACTATGCCACTTTGCAGGTAAACCATCCCCACTACTACCACTATCATTGTATATCAAATAAAACCGAGAGGGTACAAACGATAAAGTTACATACATTGATATAATTTAGAGTCTTTCCTCTTTTGAAGCTAACAGATGATTACCTGCACACCATGGTGTCCGTGCTTTTCCAAATACACCTGCCTAGGGATATTAGCCTGTTCCCTGACATGGGCCTTTTGTTGGCTCTGGCTACACCTTCAGACATCATGTCAATGCCACCGCTACAAAACAACATCAATGCGTGAGTGACACACCTACGGACCTGTTTAAAGAGCTTTAAAAGGGTCGTCTGTTGATCACACCATTCAATTCCTGGTATTTTATTTTTGTTATTTTGTGTTTTATTTATTATATTTAGGTGTTCAAGCACGAAGTGCTGAAAACCTATTGTATTTGTACTGATTTTTATTATTATTATTATTCTCCTGTAAAACGCATCGTGCAGCCCAAACCGTAAATGCTAGAGACTTGAAACTTTGTCAGATGGTAGTACAAAAATCGAGGAGAGCTTATCAAATTATGAGCCCGATTGGCCCATAGGTGGCGCTATAGCAACCAATTGCGCAAAACTGCTCATAACTCCTAGAACGTAAGTCGTAGACTCAAGTGTCTTATATCATTGGAAAGCTGGACTCCTGACTTAAAAAACGTATATCTCCGATTTCATTTCCGTCATGATAGATTTTCCGCCATTTTGAATTTTGTCAAAAAACGACTTTTGCAAACTAGTCCCTGATTTTTCGCCCGATCGGAACCAAACCAGTGCACAAATGTTCTGTGGAGTCTGAATATAAATTATAATCGAAAAAAAGTTGAAATTTCGATTTCCGGTCGCTAGGGGGCGCAAAAAGAACGTTGGGGGAGGAGGCTTTTTTACTAAAATGGCTATAACTCCAGAAGTAAATTAGGTAGGTTCACCAAACTTGGTACAGGTGTGCATGACTTCAATTTGAGGTCACAGTAAAAAAATCGCGACGATCGAACACTAGGTGGCGCTATAACATGAAAAAAACATATAAAGGACTGACCGTTAGTCTGATTGACCTGAAAATTGGTATGCAGTGTCTTGGTCCAAGGCCCCATGTATGTCTATGAGGACATTGGCATATCTCAAAAAACATGGCCGCCATCGACCAATGAAGTTTGAGCCCCTATGAGACGAGGTTAACGGAGGCCAATCGGAACGAAACTCGATGGGCATGTTTGACTCATAGCCTAAGAGGTCTGTAAGAGTTTTGAAAGAAATCGGCCACTAGTTGGCGCTAACGAGTTTTACGGCTCTGTAATCACGTGATGTTGCACACATCCCCCCAAAATGCATATCATTTGATAGATCTCCTCATGGTGAACAACTTTGCCTCTAGAACCATTGCTGTCAATCAAACCGTTCATTAAATATTCACGAATATGTTAAAAACATACTTTTGCGAACTAGTCCCTGGTTTTTTGCCCGATCAAAACCAGACCAGTCTAGGACAATTCTCTGGACTCTTTAGATCAATAATTATCAAAAAAAAGTTGAACTTTGCCCTTTGGTTCACTGTAACAGGGTCGTTTAGAAAAGGGGGCGTGTCAAAATACACTCAAAAGCCTATAAATCATAAATAAAAACTCAGAACTTCACAAAAATTGATGAGCACATGTGTCATACCATGGTGAGGAAGCATGCAAAGTTTCATGGAGATCGGACCATAGGTGGCGCTATAACTGTTAAAAAGCTTTAAAACCATACATTTCCTATGGTAAATTGCCTGTATTGGCTGTAAATTGTCTTTTCCATCTATGATCGTATACTTTTCATATCATAATGTTTAAAACCAGTGCAGTACAATTCTCTGGACTCTCTAGATCAATAATTATCAGAAAAGGTTGAACTTCTGCATTTTGATGGCTATAAAAGGGTCACTTCAATGTGTAGCCTTGACCGAGTGTGCCCGAAGCCTATATCTCTTCAATGAATGCTCAGATCTTATTAAAAACAACTCAGAACATGAGACCTATCACTCTAAACAAGCATGACAATTTTCAGACAGATCGGACAAAATTTGCCTCTATTACAGTTAAAAAGGGGGAAATTAAATTACCATTATGGCATATTAAGCCAATAAGTGGTATTCTACTGCCCCCTGCTGTTTAAAATAGTCATTTTGTCATAATGCTGACTATTATTGTTCTATAATTCATATTTAGAGTTTATATAATCAATATTTTAACATTTACAATCACATTTAGTCAAAATTCATTTTCACATTGACAAATGTGAACCCTGAATGAGACAGTTTAATCTACAATAGAATGTGTGTGTGTGTAGTTCCATGTTTCTGAATAAATCCATATGTGACATAACATCATGAACATGCATGCAAAGTTTTATGGAGATCGGACCATAGGTGGCGCTATAACTGCCTGTATTGGCTGTAAAATGGTCTTTTCCATCTATTATGTCAGTGTTTAAATGTATGCTACATAAAACTTAATGTCTTTTGATGCTTTTGTGCTTAACGGCCTTAAAGGCCTTAACTGCTTGAACACCGCTAAATGCTGCTTGCAGCTTTAATTTATTATTATTATTGGCTGTTTGAATTCCAAGCTTTATAAAAAGTGGGATATTGATATTATAATTAATGTAAATTTAATATGTTAATACAATTAATACAATTTTTGTATTTCTAACCACTAGAATATTAGTGTTAATTTCATATTATTTATATACTATTATAGTATTTATTAACATTTTGAATTAGCTTTTATTTTATATTTTCAGCTTTCATTTTAATTTTAGTAAATTTGTAATGTTTTTTGTCTTGGTTTTTTTTTTTTGTAGCTTTTTTTTTTTACTTCAACTTTATGTCAGTTAGTTGGCAAGGCAACATTTCTTGTTTTTGAATAACAAGTTTTTCATCTAATATTTATATTTTATTTCATTTCAGTTAGTGAAAAGGATTTTAATAGTTTTAATTAACATTAACTGCAAGATATTTAGGTTTTTTTACACATCATTCAAATTGTTTAAAACATCTCCGCTCTACTACTTTTCTCCAGGTTAAGCATCATTAACTTCAGCATCAAAAACCTTTCCCTGGAGCAGCAGCAAGCATTTGGTCGATGGTTCAGTCGGTCCATGAGCTTGCCCAACATGACAGCCGGCAGCTTATCCTTCATCAGAAACACTGGTAACCTGATCGCCTATCTGCCCTTCCAGAGCTTCCAGTACCTCTCACCTGCTCAGGTAACAGCCCGGACACCTTGCAAAGATACCTGAACCCATCTGGCTCCGGTTAACCCTCAGACAGTTCAGTTGGGTAAAATGCCAATGCTTGCCACTGGTTCATTCTAACAGACATGTCCTCGTAGTCTGTTTTCAATAAATAAACACAGAGATGCATAAATTAAGAATGGCTCTGTACTGGACATTGAATAAGACTGTGGTGCTAACATTTCCATATATTCATTGCTTTCCATATAAAAAGGACATAATTCTCAAATAGATTTAATATGAAATAAACGTCATTATAGATTAAAACGACCATTTAAGATCATATTTAAAATGATCATATGACCGAATGACTTATCTAAATGTCTTAAATTATGACTTATGGCATACTCTTGTGTTTTGTTTTCTTAGCTGCTGGATGGTTTGGATGTCTTAAAGAGTAACACCTTGGGTCTCCTCAAGCAGCAGTTCATCGCTCAGAGTCTCACTGGAGCCTTCAATAATCTCACAGTAGACCAGTTCAGGAGGTTAGCTAAATATGATATTGTTTTACTCCATTCAAATCAAAACAATAAGATTTCTTGTATTTTTCAGATTTGGTTCATGGAAATGCAAAAAAGATTAAGACATTAAGTATTATAGCACATCCATTTTTGTTTCCTCTCACACCCCTCCAGGTTAGGTAATCTGTCCTGTCTGGCTCACCCCAGCGAGCTGATGGCATATGCAGGAACAGAAGCCTTTTCAGTGATCCAGGACAACATTAGAACATGTGCTATCCAGGGATTTAGTGTTCCTAGCAATATGGTTAGTGAACATGGTCCAGATCAGTGGTCTCTTTAGTTATTATGGTCTCTTATATTTACCCTATTCTTTAAAAACGAGACCCTCTTAAATAATAATTCCTCAGTGGTTCATCTAAAATAGCCTCTGGTGTTTTTGGTTACTTTTCTTTTTGTGTCCAGATATCCAGCTTGGTCTGGAAAGCATCTGAGCTGCAGTCTCCCTCCAGTCTCTCTCCTCAGAGAGTCTCTCAGCTTGCCCCTTTTCTGCCCCTGCTGGGATCCAGCGTCCTGCAGCAGCTCACCTCAGCCCAGCTCATGCCTGCCCTCAGCACCCTCGCCTCTGTGCCTTTCACCCCAGCACAGGTACACCACTTACAGTATTAACATGCTCTCTTAAAAAAGTAAAACCAGTAACTTTATCTGAATACATATTTAGCATACGTCTTAATATATATATATTGTAAGTCTTACGGCCTGTTTACACCTAGAACGATAAAGATATAGTTCTAAAAATCTTTCTAAATATAAGTTCAGAACTATAACGATAACAACATAGAGAAACTATATGGTTGGAATCACTTTCAGAATGTTCTTTTCCAGCTGATGAACGATAAAAAGATTGACAGCCAATCAATCTTAAATGCTTGAGCATTTAAAGTGGTAATTGACAAAACTGCAGCACGCGCATAGAATAAACAGAACGATGTTGTGCGTTGGTATGGATGCTAATATAGTTACAGTGTCTTTATAGTTACCGTTCTTGGTGTGAACGGGTCTTTAATCTGTTTACTGTAAGTTTATTGTAAGTATAGCATATCCAGGGTCCAAAATGAACTTTTGCATCACCTGCCAATGGCGAATGAAAGTTTACAGGCCATAAATATTTCTCACCAGCTATGAAACTATATTTTGTATTTATTAAGAATATTTATTTGCCCCAACTACAATGGGAATATTGAGCTCTTTTTTTTCTAGCATATTTATGCAAGGAGTAGGCAAGGCAATTTATTTAGCGCATTTCATACACAGTGGTAATGCAAAGTGTTTTACATAAAAAATGATTAAAAAAAATATATGGTTATGACATGGTTAAAAAATATGGCTTATGAATGGTTATGGTTATAAAAAGGTTCAAAGAAATATAAAAATACAATAAAAAAGAAAAATTTAAATGAATTAATATGTATCACACACAAAATGAATTGTGACTGAGAAACTATCACAAAATCTTGATTTTCTTCCTCATATTTTCATTTTGGTTGTGTAGTGTGAGAAATATTCAACATTGTCACACAGTTTCATTTGAATCTTTCATGTTACATTGGCAAGAGTCAGAATATCATTCTTACAATTTCATCTATCCCATGTAATGTTGCAGTTCCCAGTAAAGCTGTATGAGCCAACTGGCCTGTAACTGTTTTATTTGCTTGCCTAATGCAATTTTTACTTGCATTTTGCATTAGTCGTGTTAATTTTGGACACTGAGTATACCCTAGTGGATGTTGAAATTAAGTAGAGGTCAAAGGTTACAAACAGGCCAGTGGGTTTAAACTCAAGGCTTTACAACAGATGGAAGACTGCTGTCAGAGGAGCCATGGTATCTGATATAGGTAAAGGACTGTGTCACTGCTCAACCGCTTTAATTATTTCTGCATGACCAAACGTGAATTCTGCATGTCCATCTCAATGTGCACCCAAAACATAAGGAAGGCAGAGGATGAGAGCACAATGGAAAAACAGAAAGCTTCAGATGTCCATAGGGAGTCTTTACTATAGGTTGAAAGGGAGAATGTCCTTGTATAAGTCAATATACACTCACCTAAAGGATTATTAGGAACACCTGTTCAATTTCTCATTAATGCAATTATCTAATCAACCAATCACATGGCAGTTGCTTCAATGCATTTAGGGGTGTGGTCCTGGTCAAGACAATCTCCTGAGCTCCAAACTGAATGTCAGAATGGGAAAGAAAGGTGATTTAAGCAATTTTGAGCGTGGCATGGTTGTTGGTGCCAGACGGGCCGGTCTGAGTATTTCACAATCTGCTCAGTTACTGGGATTTTCACGCACAACCATTTCTAGGGTTTACAAAGAATGGTGTGAAAAGGGAAAAACATCCAGTATGCGGCAGTCTTGTGGGCGAAAATGCCTTGTTGATGCTAGAGGTCAGAGGAGAATGGGCCGACTGATTCAAGCTGATAGAAGAGCAACTTTGACTGAAATAACCACTCGTTACAACCGAGGTATGCAGCAAAGCATTTGTGAAGCCACAACACGCACAACCTTGAGGCGGATGGGCTACAACAGCAGAAGACCCCACCGGGTACCACTCATCTCCACTACAAATAGGAAAAAGAGGCTACAATTTGCAAGAGCTCACCAAAATTGGACAGTTGAAGACTGGAAAAATGTTGCCTGGTCTGATGAGTCTCCATTTCTGTTGAGACATTCAGATGGTAGAGTCAGAATTTGGCGTAAACAGAATGAGAACATGGAACCATCATGCCTTGTTACCACTGTGCAGGCTGGTGGTGGTGGTGTAATGGTGTGGGGGATGTTTTCTTGGCACACTTTAGGCCCCTTAGTGCCAATTGGGCATCGTTTAAATGCCACGGCCTACCTGACCATTGTTTCTGACCATGTCCATCCCTTTATGGCCACCATGTACCCATCCTCTGATGGCCAGTTCCAGCAGGATAATGCACCATGTCACAAAGCTCGAATCATTTCAAATTGGTTTCTTGAACATGACAATGAGTTCACTGTACTAAAATGGCCCCCACAGTCACCAGATCTCAACCCAATAGAGCATCTTTGGGATGTGGTGGAACGGGAGCTTCGTGCCCTGGATGTGCATCCCACAAATCTCCATCAACTGCAAGATGCTATCCTATCAATATGGGCCAACATTTCTAAAGAATGCTTTTAGCACCTTGTTGAATCAATGCCACGTAGAATTAAGGCAGTTCTGAAGGCGAAAGGGGGTCAAACACAGTATTAGTATGGTGTTCCTAATAATCCTTTAGGTGAGTGTATGTGTTGTAATTAAATAAAACTAACAACGAATTAACTTTAATTAGGCTTTATCAGAATATTTGTTCTTCATCTTGTTTCATTGCTTTATAATGCACTGCCTGATTCACTCCCTATTAATCATTGTATTGTTTATTTTTTCAAAAAGGCTGGTGTTATCATCGACAAGATCTCAGCCAATTTGAGTGTAAGTATATCTTTGCAGTGAGGTTGAGAAAAGCTGTTTGCTCTGGTGTTTTTTGAGAAGATAGCCAATTTTCTAGCCCCTGTGAACGTACATGTGTGTGCCTGCATTTGAGATGTCAGCACTTTTCCTCAGCCAGCTGGCCCACAACCCAGCGTAATCAACTCTGGGGTGTTTCAAGGACAATTGCATTGGCCTCACACACACTTACACTGACCCGTCAGTTACTCTTTATAATTTACTTTGCATGTTTGAAAGTGCATGTAACATTTACTCATATGATCCATGTGATTTGGCAGTTCCTCAAGGTATAGGATTACACCAGGCACAAGGAAGTTATGAAGCGGCCCTTTGTATTTAGTGTCTAAGGTTTAAGGGAACATTGTGATGTGGGTCAGATAGGGTGTCGCTAGTGAGTGTCTTTCACATGTGTGACGTCGCTGAGCATCTGTTTTTGAAATATAGACTGCGTATGGCACATGTTAATTCATTTAACATAAAGCTAGCTACATTGGTTTTGTAAGGGATTTTCAAACCTTTTTGATGACAACAACCCCCAAATGGTGATGATCTCTTTCCGAGGGACCCCATTCCTAAAATATAAAGGCTGCTATACATACACATTGCTATACATACACATTCTAAAGTTGTTTGGGGTTGGCTTTTTTTTTTTTTTTTGGTTTTTGAAAAAAGTGTCTTATGCTTCCCAGGACTGCATTTATTTGATAAAAAAACACAGTAAAAACAAAAATATTGTGAAATAATATTAAAATTTTTAAATAACTCTTGTGTAAAAGTGTAAAAGTCTTTACTGTCACTTTTGATCAATTTAATACATTCTTTTTGGAAAAAAAAATATGTTAAAGGGATAGTTCACCCAAAAATAAAAATGAGTTGACAGTTGCCATCGACTTCCATAGTATTTTTTTTCCTATTATGAAAGTCAATGGGGTCCATCAACTGTTTGATTACAGACATTCTTCAAAATATCTTCTTTTTTGTTCAGCAGGTTTTGAACTTGAGGGTGAGTAAGTGATGACAAAATTTTCATGTTTGGGTGAACTATCCCTTTAACTGCTAATTAGGTATTTAAAAAATTGTCCCCCAATTTTTTAATGATAGGGTATATATATATATATATATATATATATATATATATATATATATATATATAAAAAAAACGTATTTATACTGTTTGAGAAAAGTATTACGTGTGATAATATAAAGATGACATGTTTTTAAATAAATGGCTATTATATTGCACATTATTAAAATATTATCTGGAAAATCTATCATTTTTATTAAGATGACAGTGTATCAAAGGTTAAGTCTTATTTCTTTAAAAAAAACAGTGCTGTCGATACAGTAAAATAATTGCAATTAATCTCATGATTTCTTAGTAGTCTCTAGAAAGCAGAATGAAAAAGTGTGTCATATTTGGTGAATGTAAAATAATAATAATTATGCATAGCCTATTGCATTAATATGTAACTTTAACAGCCCGTAAAATACATTTTGTAAAAACTTTTTTTCCCTCTCAAATTTGCAGTCTCCTGGGATTCACCGGATCCCAGTTTATGTTAAATTCTCAACAATACTAAATATTGTGTAGAAATATTAAACGTGTGATATTTTGTGCTCCCTCTTAGCTGGCTCTACCTGGCTCTGGCCATTTGTCTATGCTGGGGTCTCTTGTGAGTGGAGTAAAGGTGGAGACTCTATGGACTTTACCGTCTGATATTCTGCTGGAAGCTTTACCTGGCATGAGCCTTCAGACACCTGGGCTCACCCCCCCTCAGGTCAACACTGTCATCTGCAAACTCTGGGTAAGAAACTCCCTCGAACAGATATTTCCTTTAGGCTTCTGAACACAGACATCTCGGCTCAAACATGCTTATACTAGAGCATTCAGTTAAGGGAAACAAGAATGTCTATCGTATCGATTACGTCTATCGTAGTAATACAAATGCTGTAAATTGTTCTACCCCCATCTTTCAGGGTTCAAGTTCTGTGTCCCAGTGGATGGATAAAGTCAAACCTTTGCTCTCAAGCACTCCACTCCTCAGTGTGATTCCCCAAGTACCTCTACTGCTGGTCAGAGACGCTGCTGTAAACACTCGCCTCTGGAACACACAGCAGGTATGTTCTAGTCTAGTCATACACACATTTATCAACTACAATTATAGAACTTGCAAGGTTTTTGTAAAATTTTATATTATTTTAATACATTTCATATTTGTACTTTATTTTAAATTAAGATGCATTTTATTAAGTTTGACGTGTCCCATTGACTGTGGCAGAGATGACAGTGGTGATATCATTATAATATTTGCCTACTTAAGCATGATTGATCTTCTTCTTTTTACATCTATTTGCACAGTGAATTGTGATTTGTCTTCTCTTCCTTGTGTCCAAGTTTTTATGCTTTTGAAATAACTTCTCTTATGCTCACCAAAGCTGCATTTATTTGACCAAAATACTGTGAAAACAGTAATACTGTGAAACATTTTTACAATTTAAAATAACTTTTTTCTATTTTGATATATTTCAAAATGTAATATATTCTTTTGATGGCAAAAGATGAATTTTCACCATAATTACTCCAGTCTTCATTGCCACATGATCCTTTAGAAATCATTCTAATATGCTGATTTGGAGCTCAAGAAACATTTCTTATTATTATTAATGTTGAAAACAGTTGTGCTGCTTAATATTTTTGTGGAAACCATGATATATATTTTTTCAGGATTTGTTTTGATGAAATGCAAAGACAACGTAATGTTCTTGTTTTGGTTCTTGTGCTCAGCCGACAGATAACAAGACGACTGCTCTAATGCAGCATTTCATTAGCACAGTACCAAAACATAAAACATAACCTTATGTAAAACTTTTAACATTATTCATTTGCTGCCTTTCAAGTATTGGTTAGTATTTCCTTCTGAAACTACAAATCTGGTTCAGATCTGAATGGCGAAATATATTTTTTCAGATATAGTTGGTCTGATTAAAGTTGTGTTTGAGCATAACAAGTGTGCTTTTCATCATTATACTCCATTATCACAGATATCAGTACAATACTACAGTGTCTAATTACTGGTTTAATTATTAATAATGGAGCATAGGCTTCTTTGTTGTGTCTGGTTTAGCACACTAGACAGTATCTTCTGTTGTTCACTATCTGAAAATAAGATGGAAACCAATCTGAGTTGCTCTTGTACTGTCAGTCCCTTTTTTCCAGGACATTAAGCATGAAAGTGTTTGTCATCCCCTTTCCTTTTAAAGATAAGCTTACAGAGCCAGAAAGTCACTGATTTCACGGTTAATGTATGTATAAATATTGAACAGGTTACATTAATTGTGTCCCCTGACCTACCATCAGAACAATTCAAGCTTACAGTACCACCTAAATATGAAGCATTCAAAACAGCCTTAATATACAAAACATTTGCAGTGATGCTTTGTCATTTGTGTCTACAATGAAGGCTATATTAAAATCTTTAACCCATGATTGTTTTGTTTTTTTATTCAATAGGCTAAAGTTCTCTTTAAAGAGGCTATCTTCGCCCACCCAAGTCTCTCACAACAGGAATATATGTAAGTTTGGCCTTTATGTATTTGTGAGTTCATTTTGTGATTATAAACGAGGTCTACAACATGAATCATGGCACTGCTCAGTGAAGTACTGAGTGATTGTTTAAGTTTAGGGTTAAGTAATCATGTTCTCTCTCTCTCTCTCTCTCTCTCTCTCTCTCTCTCTCTCTCTCTCTCTCTCTCTCTCTCTCTCTCTCTCTCTCTCTCTCTCTCTCTCTCTCTCTCTCTCTCTCTCTCTCTCTCTCTCTCTCTCTCTCTCTTTCTCTCTTTCTTTCTCTCTCTCTCTCTCTCTCTCTCTCTCTCTCTCTCTCTCTCTCTCTCTCTCTCTCTCTCTCTCTCTCTCTCTCTCTCTGACATGAAAGGTCTCTGGGGACAGTGGCTACGGGGGTGAATTGCACAGACCTTAGAAGACTGTTCCAAAACCTGGCATCTCTATCTCCTCTACGTGACATTCTGACGTTTCTGAGAGAGCAGCCTGTGCCACTCCACCCCTCATTGGTATGCTAGTAAACCTACATTCAAATAAAAGACCTAAATGTTACAGATTTCCAGTTTAGGTTTCTTTTTTATTTTATCAAGTCCTCACTAAGGTCACTCTTATTTCATTGTTAATTTAATATAATATTGGATCTAGCAGTGCACAAACGGTGTAAATTAAGGAAAACACTCCTGCACTCTCTTTACAGAAGTTTCTTTTTAATTTCTGTACTACAGATAAAGTGTGTAACTGAGGAACTGTATGAGTTTGACTTCTTCTCAGAGTTACTTGGAGATTTGGGCTCTCAGATTGCGCTGTCACTTCCGTGAGTCAAGATTCAAACTCAGTTCAAATGGATTCACACTATACATATGCATATAATCATGTCTTCACATGTTAAATTTAATGTCGTTATCTAAAGGCTGAGCACTATTAAGAAATTTCCACCAGATAAGATGGATTCCCTGAGGAAAATGATGGTACAGGAGCCACATTTCTTCCTACTGCTTTCCAGCACCAAACAAGCTGTCCTGGTGGATAAGATGGTTCAAAGACTGGTAAAGACCCTTATTTTACGGTCAACAGGTCATGTATATATTTTTGTTTAGGATCTTCCCAGTTAATGATTCTGACAGGGTTAACAACCCTGATTCTATTGTACATTGTTGTTTAACAAGTTTAAGATATTGTGTGACCTGCACTTTAATAAAGACCTTTAATGCCAGTTGGTTAAGTATAAGTAGTCTCTTTAAATCTGTACCCAACCACTTTTTCTTTGGTTTTCTCATTAGAATATGTACACTGGCCTGTACACTGAAGAGGAGTTTCGTTCGCTAGGTGTCATGGCTACGTTTGTGGCAGATGAAATGTTTTTGAATTTGGATAGGAGCTTCTTTGTTGATGGTCTGGAGTTCCTACAAGGTTTCTGCTACAATGCCAATAAAAGAAACCTGGTGGCAGACATGCTAAAGGAACCGAGAACATTTGGGTAGGGACAGTTAAAACTTAAACCACTGGAACTTAAAATGACATCAAAACCAGAAATATTACATGCTTCATAACAATGAACTGGAACTGTTTTTTTCCACAAAGCCATGTACAAAACTGGACATCAGAGACACTGAACCAAGTGGACCGTTTCTTGTTTTTTCTTCCGAAGGAGATTATTCAACTCATCCCCTTAGTAAGTGACCAGATATTTCTTTGTGTCTGATATCATCTAAATACACATACTGTACCTCATGACCAGCTGACCAAGTATTTTCGATCACTGCCTGTCTGTGTTTTGGCCTGTCTACATGTGTCTTCAGGGTTTGATGAGCTTGGAGCGCATTGAGAGGCTGTTCCTGAGTCAGCAGAAGTGAAGTGGGAGAGAGGAGAGCTTGGTTCTCTGTGTCAGAAACCCTCCGAGCTGTTTGACAAGCAGCAGTTTGTACTTCAGTTCTTCCTCGGCTTCCTCAGAGTGGGACGCGCCACTTGTAAGTGCAATCTTCTGCCTTGACAGAATGTCATCTGTTTAAATGTGTAGGGATATAGTAATACAGCAGTATGGCATTTCATCTCACACTTTTGAACACTTAGCCCAGTTAATTTCATCTCTTCCTCTTTGTCTCTTAGTTTCTGGGCTGATCCCCACTTGTGAGAGCCTGCATGTGACACAACCTGCTGCCTGGAGTATTGATAGCCTTAGAAACATGCCACTAGCCGCATTTCGGAGGTGCTTGGAGCTCATTGGCCAGGATCCCTTTTTCAGTGCATTCCAGCTGTCAGTGCTCCTTACAAAGACCAAGGAGGTGCCTGATTTTTTTCCATCAGCTCATATGTTTCTAAATGACTCTCTCACAAGTGTTTTATATTTTTTAGAGTTGAGAGACATTTGATGATTCACATCATTAGACATATAGCCTCGTTTTGAATTTCTACTTTCCACTAATATGTTGGTGGTATTTAGTTAATGTTTGCATACCTGCAATGTAATATAAGTGGCTGTTTTTTTTTTTTTGTAGGTATATGGGATGCCTTCCTCTTTTAACTCTTCTGTAATCTCTCAGTTGGGTCGCATTGCCACTCAATTCTTACTTGACGAATTGGGCTCTCTTAAACTGTACGAAATTCAGTCAATTTCAGCTATGGGGGCTCTCAACACGTGGACCAGCAGACAGGTAAAATGTTGATGAAAACATTGCAAGTGAGCTGGGATGGCTGATACAGTTGCCATTTTTTAGACACAACATACCACTGATTAATATAAATATGCTGATTGACTTTGAGAACCATGCTGTTATACATTACTTCATCTATTAATGTACACTATACCTTTCAAATTTTTAGGGTGGGTAAGATTTTTTTATGTTTTTGAAAGAAATTCGCTTATGCTCACCAAGGCTGCATTTTTTAAATAACAAATACAGTGGTAAAAGAGTAATAATGTGAGATATTATTACAATTTAAAATAACAATTTTCTATTTAAATATATATATTTTTTAAATGCATTTATTCCTCTGATGGCAAAGCTGAATTTTCAGCATCATTACTCTAGTCTTCAGTGTCACATGATCTTTCAGAAATTATTCCAGTATGTTGGTCTGGTGCACAAAAAACATTTCTTATTTTTATCAATATTGAAAAGAGTTCTAATGCTTAGTATTTTTGTGGTAAACTGATTTTCTTTTAGAAATAAAAAGTTTGAAATCGTTTTTTTTTGTAACAATCCAAGTCTTTACTGTCTCTTTTGATCAATTTAATGTGTATAAAAGTATTAAATTCTTAAAAAAAAAAAAATCGGTAACGCTTCCTTTTACAGTCCTGTTACCCATGTACTTACTATGTACTTATTATAGTAATTATAATTACTGGGTAATAACTAGGTAGTAACCCTGAACCTACCCCTAAACCTACCCCTAACCCATGTACTTACCTTATATTAGCCAGTACTTTCTAGGTAAGTACACGTAAGTACTGTACTGTAAAAGGAAGCGTTACCAAAAAATCTTACTGTTACTGACACCAAACTATTGTAGTATACATGATTGACCTCTGTTTTGCAATTGCAGTTGAAAACATTATTCTCCACGGTGCTGAACTCGACCAGAAAGACTCCTAGCCAGTTAGACTCCAGCACTCTTGTGGCTTTGGGGCACATTGTGTGTGGGATAGATGCACCAGTCATGCGCAGTTTGAATCCAGTGGAGTTCAGGTTGAATTACCTAACTTATTCTAATATGTTTTTTATATGGTTCATATAATTACATTTTTTACTCTTGTGCTGAATGTGAAATGTGTGTTTTTCTCTTTCCAGTAAGGCAGTTTTGTGGCTGGGTCGTTTGCGTTTGTCCTGTTCTGAGGAGCAGCTGCAGGCATTGATAGGACTGCTCAGTCATAGCTTGACATTTGGACCGGTCAGCTCCTGGGGATCAGAGGTCTTTATTGAGATAGGAGCGATTGCAGGTACAGCTCAGAGCTTGTAATCAGAAAGTTGGCGGTTTGATTCCCACAGATATCACCATTGAGGCCTTGAGCGAGGCACTTTACCCAAGGTTGATCCAGGGACAAGCTAGGGAGTAGCTTTGAATAAATGTGTCTATTAATAGATTAACAGATATAGTTAATATAAGTGAATTATTAGCATCAATAGAATAAAGAACATTGTGCCTTATTTGCTCTTTTTTTTTTATTCATAGTTGCTGTTTTTTTGTCTATACATGGGGTTTTTGTGCACTTTTCCCCTTTCTGTAGCGGGGCTGCCTGATATAGCCATGTCTGCTTTGGTGAGGGAACAAATTGAAGGAATCACCCCACTTGCCATCTCTCTCATCCCAGCGGGCAAATTTGCAGTTAGTATCTCTTTTCTCTTGCTTCACCCTAAAGCGTATGATGCATGCAGGCGACTATTTGCTTGTGTTCATAGCTGCTATTGGGACAGCGCAGCACAGACGATGGGGCGTCTGAAGTAATGAAAGGGCCGATGACGTAATGCAAAGTAACCCAGGCTATGCTTGAAGTGCCACATTAACGTATTTGCCGGGCATAAACAAACCTCGTTACTACAACTATGAAACTTAAAGCTAACAACTTTCAGATGGCAGAGCAAATAAATAATATTACTACATAAAACAAAAAGGAAACCAACATAATCGAACAAAATTGAGTCTATATCCATGATATAAACACGTTTAAGACCACTAGATATAAATACGACTTAATACGTTAGATACACAATTTCAGCGGATTTACCATGTAGTTCATTGAGACTAACGTAATATATACTCATTTCAACCCGTTTAACAGATGCATTATTTTATAAACTGCTGTTAAAGTTACATTTTTTTGCCGCTAGGGGTCGCTAACCTCTTACAATAACAAAGGCGTAGGTTGATGACGCAGTGATAAGCGGAATGATAGGACTTGCTGTCATGCTGATGGATGTTTATGGATGAGTGGAAACATTCATGTTTTTTAATAAGAGACAGATATTCTATATATATTAGACAGATATGCTAATAAGAGACAGATATCAGCGCCACACGCGAGTCCCGTGGATATAAAGGAATAAGGACATTTAATTCTACCGAACTACCCACAAGTGCAGAATTACTACTCACACAGGTCAGTTTATTAGACGAATGAAACTTGTGAGGTAACGCAGCGCTGTTTCAGTTGGTCTAACGTTACACTATCATACTAAACAGCATTTGAGTGTGTTGAAAGTTATAATGTTATTCTATGCGTTAGTTTGTTGGCTTTATGAGACTAGCAGTAAGCTAGATCAACATTAGAATAACATACTGATCATTTTCTAACATTTCATCATGTTGAGCTATATAACATTGATTTGTTTCATGCTCACCTGTCTAATAAAGCTGTCAAGTCGTGACTCGTGAAGCTCTGTCAAGTCCAAGTTAGTCGTGGACGTGGAGCTCTCGGCATCTCGAAAACGCCACGCTGATATTAATCCTCGTTTTAGTTCTCCTTTTGTCCCAAAGTCTGCTTGCCATGATCCGTAATGTTTGAACGAAACAACAACAGCGTGAGCGTGCCGCTAGACATTACGCACTACGCAGTTGTCCACGTCTGTCGCCATGTTTACTATGGCAGTACAAGCGGAAACCAGGGATAATGCAGATATTGCGTCATTGACAGGCGACAAGTGAACAGGGATGGGCACTTTTTAAAATTGTGAATTTCTCTGAATGTACAAATTCTTGGAAACATTTAGGATAATGGAAGTACACAATTGTAAGAAATATATAACACTGTGCAAGTGGTTTTTTGATATTTTGATCCAAAATGTATTGTACCTTTAATACAGCCAGAACTGCAGCCGGTGACAAACAATAACAATACAGTGAAATAATCAACTAACTACGACCAATTATCTAGCCCTAAACATGGGAAAATGTTTCATCATAGCTTTAACTGCATTTTTCGTGGCACAGGAAGTTCAGCGTAATGTAGGTTATGTGTCAAACGTGTCAATCAAAATGTGACTGTGAAACAGACTATCCTTAACTAAAATGTTGCTATAGTAACCTAATATTAATTCTAGAAAGCCAATGCATTTGGCAATTGCAAAAAAATTTTTTTTAAATAGTCTATTCTATTCCATAATTAATATCTCCTACCACATTCATCTTGACTAAGGGGGCAGGATAGTCTGGTTGAGGGGGCAAATACTCTTATGATGTCCTCTATTTTTAAGATTAAAAGTATTTTGAAGTCATTTTAGAGTTGTTCTTACCTGGCGTTTCTACTTTCTCTCTTCACAGGTAGTGTTTAACCAGGCACAGATTCGTATGTTCACCTATGATCAGGCCATTGCTGTAACTGACGCCCAGCGCTCCGCTCTATCTCCAGTTCAGGAGACGGCCCTGTACATGGTGCTCAACCCCTGGGAGGACAAACCTGTTGATTTCAGAGGTACTTTCACTCCTGTTGTGAAAGAAGGAAAAGTAATTTTATAATATACAGTTTCAAAGTTGTATGGTTGATATTTGGATATTTTGAGAATAGTCACTCTCAAATGTTAAATGTCTCACAGTATTTGTGTATCTTTTCAGGCAGGTCACTGGGAGTTGCAGTTAAGCCCTGTCCTTTTCTCTACCTCTCCAGCATCCTGATAATGCTGCTGCTGCTGCTGCTTTCTCCTGCTGATCCGCTGGGATGAGTTAGGTCTGTCGCTGCTCAATTGAACTCTCCTTCCCAAATATGTGCAATATGATGGAACAGTTACACTTTATTTTAAGGTGTCTTTGTTACACTGTAATTATGTATTAATTAGTTATGTAATATAAACATTATGTAATATTTCAGTACTGCGTAATATTAAGTAACTACATGTACTTACTATAGGTTTAGGATTGGGATTTGGTTTAGGGTAAGTTGCATGTAATTAAGCATAATTTATAGTTATTAATACTATAGTAACTGCATGTAACGTATAACAATGACACTGTAAAATAAAGTGTTACCGATGTAACTTTAATACTGTAAATGTGTATATTCAGCACTTTTAAAATGCTGAATGTAATTTAAAATGGGTTACATGAAACTGGGGAAAAAAAGTACAAGAAGAATAACTCATGGAAATACTACATTCAGCACTTTATAATAGTTTGTCAGTCATGATAATGTGATTTTGTTTGATTGTTTTTGAATAATTGCTTTCTTGGAGATTAATGTATCATTCTAGATCTGTATTTAGTTTGACTTATACTTGTCTAGTTTTTATTAATATTATTTATTAACTTTTTTAACTGCTTTAGCAGACTTCACACAATGAAATGCTGGAAAAATATCAGAATGTGTTGTATTAAAGTAAAAACATGATTGTGAAGTGTCCTTGTTCTTTGATTTATAAACTCACTTATGCATTTACTCTGACTACTTATGTAAATCTACCTATTTGTCATACTATTTCATGCCACCTAATTTCAGACTGTATTGACTGCATTTTCATTTTGTATTGTTGTGCATAAATCAGTGCATGTGTTCTTGGAAATAAAGTATTACCAGATACATTATAAGGGGATTTATAATTATAAAACTATAATATATTTATACAACAACAACTACCATTATTATTACCACCACCAATATTAATAAACATAATACAATAACAACATATTATTAATAATGAAATTATTATTATTATGATGATGACCTGGCACATCGGGCTTGTAGAACAGTAACGACCACACGAGGGCGTTGTATCGCAGTGGTGCGCGCGCGGACACCAGTCCTCCGATATCCCGTCAGCATGAAAGACAGAAGCGCGTAGAGTAGAGCAGGTCTGTGCACATGCTTTCTCTCAGCTAGTACTTTAACTAACTCACACTAAGCCAAGATGGCGGATGCCGACGACTGGGGTAAGGGTTACTTTCAATATTTTGAGGTTACGTGTATGAGAGAGGGTGTCGGTCACTGTCTTAACCACGACATTATTTTGTTTTTTCGGAAGACGCTGACAGCTTCGATCCAAGTGAGCCGATCGTAGTTGCTGCCGCGCTGGTGGATAAATGGGAAGGCGAGGACGAGGAGGAAGACGTGAAGGTAACGTGCGAATACCCATATAATCAAAACTGTATCAATAATGAGCGTTTAAGTTATATTAATTCTGTCTTATCGAAGGATATGTGACTAAAGGTATCAGCACTAATATGGGCGATCATGGTGTATTTTTAGCCGTTTAGCTAACCTAGAATAGGCCCGTTTTATTAAGAGATTCACCAGCTGCATCAAGTTGCGTGTTCATGATTTTCTAGTACTAACGTTACTGTTCCACTGACAGTTTCTGTGTGTTTACGTCAGCAAACGTGTCATCTTCCAGTTTTACAGATCTGTTAACTTATCTGACAGATTCTCTTTCATCAATAATAATCTGCCAGTTCATTACAGATTAATCAAACTAATATAGTAGCTGTGACAGCACGTCATTTTATGCGAGTGGCTGTGGTTGAAATGTATTAATATTGACTGATATGAATCCAGTTTTAACAACGAACAAGTGACGGGCCATGTGGACCTTCATTAGCACCTTTTTATATTTGTTTTCGTTCATTTAAACGTGCTTCTAATCTTAGTTAAAAAAATTGTTGTTGCTACTTTAACTTGTTAAATATACTATATACCAGAGAACGTAGTACGCCGCAATTTACAGTTTCCCATGGGAAGACACATTCTTGCTAGTCCCAAATCCTTTTTTAAAATCGGTTTCATTTATTTTTTACTTTGCGAGTTTGTGTTCTACATCGCAACCATCGCTGTCATGTGGATGCTGTAATTTTTGCGCCAGGCAGCAGCTGATTGCGTTCCTGTTGACGTCATTACGCGAGTGAGTCACGTTGCGTGTTGACACGCAAATCTAGAATTCTCTCGCTCGCCATCGTGTGATCTATGCGCGCGCACGTGTTATCGTCATTTACTGCGAGTTGTTTTGTTTGAAGGCAGCTCTAGAAATGCCTCGCTAAATGAACCCGTTAACTGAGGCCTCGAGAGTTCAAATCGACTTTTCTCCAACGAAGAACCATGGGAACAAAGGCCATGGAAAACCTGGAAATGTCAGGGAACTGACAATTTATCATTTCTGTGCCTTAAAATAAAGTCTTTAAAAAGCCATGGAACTTTCTGTAGATCTAGTTGCTCAGCTCAAATCTAAGCTATCTTTTATCAGTTTTGTTTTAAACTACTACATAACCATTGGTACCAATTTAGTCTGTATTAACCGTTTATTAGCAGAAGAGAATTTGTTTAACTTGATGCCATGTAAGATGGTCTATATGGGGCTTAAATGTTGTTGTTTTATAATCTTTGGTACTGTAATTATAATAGCCAAATGAATCAAAAACACTTGTGCTCTTAATTTTATGGTGAAGAAATTATGCTTTTTAAATTTCGTTATATGTGTAAAGAATAATGTTGAGGCAATATATTGCCCCAATTATCATACGGCTGCTTAACAAACAAGTAAATAGGAACAAGAAAACGTTTGATTTGATTTTAAATTATTTTATTAGTTTGCATATGGTTGGTTACCAACTGTATCTTTCTGTCTGTAGGATAACTGGGATGATGATGAGGAGGAGAAGGAGGAAGAGAAGAAAGTTGAACAGATAAAAGCTGGTATTGATCTCTGTTGAGCTGTCATTTTTCACAATATAAATGTTGTAGGCAGAACAATAGCATATTTGTAAAACTGGGCATTAAGTAGATCTTTTTTATAGATTTTATAGATTTGTAGATCTGGGCATTTAAGCTTTGTTTTTTATTTGTTGTTTTATTACTGTTTTTCTTTAACCCATGTGGAAAGTACTCTTATGGTTTGATTTACATTTCCTTTAGAAGTGAAACCTCCTGAGAAGAAGAAATTAAGTGATAAAATAAAAGAGAAAGAACTTGCTGAAAAGAAAAAACAAGACGAGTTGAGGAAGGTAAGAACAATATTATTAGTTGAATATTTACTCATTAATGAATGAATCCCTTTCTCTCCTGATACTCATTTCTTTTGTATATTTCAAACGTTTTTAACCTTTGTTTCTGAAACTTGTGAATAGAAACAAGAATCAGCGATAAGTGAGAATCTATCACCAGAAGAGCTTATAGCAGAGAAGCTTCGACTGAAAAAGTTGCAGGAGGAGGCAGACTTGGAATTGGCCCGTGAGGCTTTTGGTAAGAAACTTATTTGAAATCTTCCATAGTCCATATTGTAAATGTAACAGTTAATCATTGAACAAGCTTTCTGATTTCAGGTGTTGATCCTGCTGCTGCAAATTCCTCTACTACTGTTATGACAACAAACAATGACTCTGGAATTGAAGCCATGTGCCCCTCATCCAAAGATGACTTTGTTGCATTTGAAAAATTACTGAAAGATAAGATAACACAGTTTGAAAAATCAGTGCATTATTCCAGCTTTTTGGAGTCACTGTTTCGAGAGCTTTGTATTTCATGTAAGTGCAGAATTATATTTTGAGTTGAATGTGAATAATTATCTTCTTTTTTTATTCTAAAAAAATGGATGTTTGTGACAAGGAATTTCTGATATATCTCCAGCTGTTTAGATTATATGGTGAGTTGCGTAACCTAGGCATGTGACTGTATAAATTTTTTATGTTGCTGAAGCTTTTATCACGGTATACGATATTATCACGATATTGAAATAAGTTGCAAAAAAAGTCATACTGTAACCGGTAGAACAATAGGCATCACTTTACAGTAAGGTCTTAATAGTTAATGTTAGTTAGTTCATTAACTAACATTAACAATGAGCAATAGATACATTTGTTACGGAAGTTATTATTCTTTGTTAACGTTTGTTAACTGTTCATGTTAGCTCAGGTCCATTAAATATTAGTTACAACTTTCATGTTAAATGTTTTAGAAGCATTTTTCATTGTAAGTTTATGTTAACTAATGGAGCCTTATTGTAAAGTGTGACTGAACAAAGAATCAAAACATTTTCAAACAATATCTAGGGCATGTTGTAGTCCCGAGTAACATGTAAAAAAAAAATACGTTTGAAAATAAATAGCCTATAATATCTTTAAATATTTAAGAATTCGGTTCTGCGATGAACACCACAGCCAATACAAAAAATCTGAATATCGGTTGGAAACATTTAAATCCTGTTCAGAAACGGAAAGTAGTGCAGCTGCTTTGTTTATGGGGTTACCGGGGTAACCGCTGCATGTCTGACGTTCCATCACAGCGCCATCTGCCTGTCAGAGAGTGAATGTGCATTTTCATTCAGTGTGTCTCTTCACTCGTTCCGCAATGCGCTTCTCATCATGTGTGTTGGCCTTGTTTACATCAGAGTGCGCGCCTGTCTTTTTGACGCAGCACACAGCGGTGTTGTGGAGCTTAACCAGTTTATGGGAAAAGTATTCTTAAGTGTCACGGGCCCACCGGTGGGCCCAAATCCAGTACATTTTTAAAACCGTAATATCCTATACTAAACCCAAACTAATCTTGACAAACTATATATCATTTGAAAGCTTACAATCTCTAGTTTCCATATTTGGTGATTGATTTTCAAAATAAATTACAGAGGAGCCGTAATTTATCAATTTGCAACGAATATTTTCATTCTCCTAAGGCGTGTTTAGACCTTTATTTTGAAATGGCAATGAACATGAAAACTCATGAAAGAAGGGTAGAAACCTCAGTTTGTTTTCATGCCAAGAGTTCAAAAGATAGCATCCATTCAATTATTTTAGAAAAAAAGGTCAGATTTTTTTTTTTAAAGGCACACTGTGGAATTTTTGGCCACTAGGGTGCGCTCGACCTGTAATTTTCACGTCTAGTGCCCCTAGAGGCCACAAGCGCCGCAGCATTGTCGCAAAAGTCAACAAACAGTCAACCGGTCAACCTCCCGTGTCTTTATGTGTGTGCAGACGGCATTTGATTTGTATGTTGGAGAAAGTTAATCGATTCACTACTGACCAAAATAATAATATAAATATAAGATTAATAATATAAATCCTATAAAGAAAACAAATTGAATAAAAGTAGCATACGCAGAAAACAATGTCTGATTAGGTAAGTCGCATTGACAAGGGTTGCCCAATCCTGCTCCTGCCGATCGTCTGTCCTGCACAGTTCATCTCCAACCCTAATCAAACACACCTGAAGCAACCAATTAACGTCTTCAGGATCTCTTTGCAATGGGTTGGAGATGAAATCGAGTAGTCGGGAAATCGTGTAACAAAACTGATATAACTCACTACATATTTCCGTTATTTGTAGTCTTCAGTTTGTTTTTCCTTTTACACAAATACAAAAATATATGAGCTGAAAGGAAAAAAAACATTTACATTTGTATACGGCAGTATGTTGTGACTTATATCCGTTTTGTTACACGAATTCGCAGTAAACATTACATTATATATACACTTTTATGCCGATGTTTATTTTAAACTCTCCCTTTTTCTTTTTTGGGTCTCCTCTGACAAAATCTTTGCTTTCTTCGCTTTCTTCCGAGTAGCTGTTGATTCAGCCATGACGACAACATACAGACGCCGGCAATCAAACGCGAGTTGAGCTCTCACGTTAGAATTTGAGGAAGTTGGGGTGGTGGGGGAAGTGACGTATGCCGTAAAGCGGTCGAATTTTGTAGTTCTTTTTGTGCTCGGGTTCCTACCCGAAACCCGAAGTTACATAGTGCTAGTAAAAGCGATACAGACACCTTCAGGCTTCGGCAGACGTGTCATTCAACCTATTGTAAGTCGATGTACCATCTCAATGGGTTTTGGTAATATATTATAAAGGTTGAAAAGTTCCACAGTGTGCCTTTAAATATAAAGAAAAAAATTATATGATGTGGCAGGAAGCTAAAACGCACATGCGTGCTCTTTTTATGTTTCTTAGAGGTTGAATTCATATCAAAATCTGCCAAACTTCTCATATTACTTCTGAATAGGATGTCTACTTCATAAATTGTATTAAAAAATTGTGGAAATAATGGTTCAGATCACTCAAAACACAAATGGAAATGGAGGCGCCCTTATATGGGCAGTAATGGAGTCTGGTTGTGACCTAGTGAAAAAGTTTGGTACTGCGCCCAAACAAAATCTTACTGAAAGCTCATTTTTTGAGATATCAACCTAAAATTTGAAACACAACTTGTTCAGATTTTTGGCTTTGATTTTCTTGCAGTTTTAGAGTCGCCCAGGTTTTGAAAATATATATTTGATATTAAATATGAATAATTAAATTTTTTACATTGTACATTTTCATAAACTCAAACTTCTATAACTTTTTTTCTGTTTCACTTTCTTAATTTATTTCACTTCTACAAAAATCTGCCAAATGTCTTCTTTAAAACAAGACCAATCTTACGTCTATATTCCAAAGCATTCTTGAATTACAACCATTTAAGTTCGAAATGTGCATTTTCATGTATATTCAAAAAAAAGGGGGGTGACACTTAAAGGGTTAAAATGCATTCCAAAAAGTATAATAATTCGTAATAAATAATTATTCACGTTATTTTGAAGTGCCCATGATTACAATATTGTGCATGTTCATTATTGCGATAAATCGTATTACCGTATACGGCACATGTCTAGCGTAAAAACATATGACCATGCACGTCTGAATGCCAATCGTTGTTCTCTGTCTCTCTCTCTCTCTCTGTAGTGGAAGTAGATGACCTGAAGAAAATAAATACTACTTTGTCTGCTCTGCTCAATGAAAAACAAAAGCAAGAAAAGGTTAGTTGAATGATTTTACTGTTTTTAATCTTGTGCACTTGGTTTTATAGGACCTTCGATTGAGGATACAATTTATAGCCTCACACACATTTTTTTTTATAGTTCTATAAAAAAGTGTTCATTATGGTCAAAATATCAATAGAAAAGTACTCTTAATAACAATCTTAATTTGTTGCTGTTGCATTATTCACAGGAAAAGAAGGCAAATAAGAAAAAGAAGAAAGGTGTACTTCCTAGTGGTGGATTGAAAGCAAAAATGAAAGATGACATTGCTGATTATGGTGAATTTGACGGTGGCTACGGCAATGACTATGATGACTTCATGTGACGAAGGTTCATCGTCCCCTTCCCATTCCCTCTGTGCCAGACGCCCCTGGAGACATTCAACATTTACCCGTCCTTGCTACTCAGTGCCATCTTGAACGCTGAACAATGTGTCAACCCTTTACTTCGTTCCAGTGGTGACAGACTCCTCATAAAGCTGCTATCAGCCCATTGTACCCCAGCGGCAAATGGGGAAAGGCAAATTTATTCAGATGGCCTTGAATTTTTTTCAAAAACATACTGTATGATGTGGGACTTCTTTGATGGAGGCATGTCCTCTGATTGGCCTAAATAAGAATTTCAATGCCTTATAGAAAACTTTGTAGAAAATATTTCTTGATTTCATTAAAAGTGGCTTATGTTTTTAAAGCTGTGCAATTTCAGTTACACAGAAGTAAAAAAGTGATGCTCTATGCAAATTATTTTCTTCCAAGAATGTCCTTATTGAAAGTATAGTTATATTTATACACAATTGGAAACAGTATCAGTTTCCAAATGTGAACTATAGTGTAATTCAGCATTTGAAATCAAAGTTTGTCAGTGCTTGGAGTCGACACTGCATTATTAACAGCTGGGCCAGGTTGCATAAACTGCAAAGACTAGAATTACAAGTTAATCACATTTTTTTCCCCCTTTAGGACTGTTCATAACCGTTTTAAATCAGTTACATTAAAACATTGATTGGTCTTATTTGAAACCAAAAAGTAAGACTGCTTCTCCCTTGACTAATCGCTAGTTGGTCATTCTAGTAAATAAGTCACAGTCTTAACATAATGGCTATGTTTATGCAACTGGTCCCAGAAGTGGCACACTGATTAAATGAAGGGATGGAAAAATGAAAGTAAAACAAACGAAACCAAGCCTGATTGAATCTGTTGAATTTTGACCTTGCCATCATATGAATGCAGAAGTCTACCTGTTGTGCAGTTGTTCTCCACCAAAGTAAATTTTAAATTAACTCAGTATTGCTGCACACTCGATCAGCTGATTAATGATATTTAATATTGCTGGTTATATGACATAATATGGTAAATTTGCATCACTAGCTGAAACCAACAGGTGTTATGTTTTTGTTTCACCCATTGTTACTATACAGTAGCTTCTACAGGTATGTATGAACTAAAATGAAATAAAAATGAAACTTATCAGCAAAAATGTTTATAAGAAAACAGCTTAGAGAATAGTCTTACAAATTTATAAATTGGGCAAGGACATTACAAAGATTCAAATGCATTGTTGTTGTTTTTTTGTAAAGGTCTTTTTAAAGGTTTTGGACATCTTAAAGAGTTTTTCTAATTAATGAATGATAAAGGGCATACATCATGATTGTTTAGCTGAAAATGTTGTGTTCAACTGCTTTATCTGGAGTATGCAATAAATATTTGACTATTTACAATTTCAAGTAGTAAAATATTTACCACAGTACAAGTGAATAAACAATATGTAAATGGAAAAATTACATGAAGCACACAGTTGCTTTGCTTAAAAAAAGTGATTTTAGTTTTGTTAGGCTTTTAATAGGTGAAATTAATAAAAATGAATTATTAAAATAAAATAAAAACATTTTATCCACTAATGTGAATTTGCTTTGCAATTCATAAAATCTGTAAAATTGTTTGCCAGTTAACCTATCAGCAAACCTAACTTACTGAAGAAATTTGAAAAGACTTTGCCCCAGCCTTTTTCAAATACTGTACGTCTGTAATTTTCTTATTGCTGTCAAGTTTGAAAATGGCTTAAATCCAGAAACTCTCATAAGAGCAGTCCCCATAGAGATTGGGTCTGTCTTGTCTCATGTAGAGTTTTTAAGTTCTTGGAATATCAACCAACGGTCTGGGCACGTGTGTAGGAATTACGAGTACTCCTCTTACTGCTGCGAGGTGCTGCTGAGCCTCCTCTCTGCCTCCGGTTTCCTCTTCCCTGCCGTGCACTTCCAGCTGTGGCTTGACCCAGTGAGTTCTGCATCTGCTGGAACATACTCTGCCTAGTGACCTCTTTATCACCACAGGTGAATGTTAATGCCACACCTTCATTGCTCTTCATGACTCGAGAGGTGCCATCTGATGTACCATCAAAGCACCGGCCAAGCGCAATTTCTTTGGCTGTCCGGGGGTCTTGGTCAGTCACTGTATAGATACCGTAGTTGTGGCCCAGAGGGTCCAGAGGTGCAAGCATGGTGAACTCATTTGTGTCATTGTTGACAGCCAGTGGAAGGTGATTCACCAAGTATTCCTGTAGCATGCTGTTTACACTGTCTCGCTTGCAGCTGCCCTGAGGCATTACCTTCACGAGGGTCCGATCCACTCTGTCTTGATCGTAGAGCATCCCACTGCACTTAAACTCCAGACACACAGCTGAAACAGTTGACTGGTCCATGTCCCGGATGCTTCTGGTGTCACGGATGCCATACAGTTGGCCAACGGTTTTTGGATGGGTACCTCCCATATTGCGAGAACGAACATTGATCTCATGGGGACTGTTGAGTTTTACTTTAATGTAGCAGGCCCTGTATTCCATGGGCTTTGGCCACCAACTCAAGTAGTCTTCAGTCCAGCTCATAGGATCGTCCTCATTGAAAGGCACTGTGTTGTAATCATACCGATCTCCTTCAACTCTCGAGAAGCGGAAGTGAGCTGCGCTGAATGGAGCTTCCTCACACTCTTTAAGCTTGTCAAATGGATAAACTGGACCATTGGCCTCCTCAGCCGTGTTTGACCGGGGTTTGGCCACATTCATGCTGAATGCTGTCTTTTTTATTCTGCGATCATCGTGGTCCGTACGTCTATAGTTAAGTTTATTCAAATAGGGTTGTGGGACGCCAATTATGTTAGGATTCAACTTTGGAGAGGATGCTACAGCCTCTAGCTCTTCTCCCCCAAGGTTGGCCATGATGTAGGCCGAATATGCATCTGCTTTCTGTTCATCACAGAAAGCTGGAAGGCACGCACCATTTGGGCCAGTGATGACACTGTCAAATCTACCCCAAGCCCGAGGGTTGGTTGAAAACCCTGGTGTGGGCTCCATATTTATTAAAGTCATCACGACTCCTTCAACTTGCTCACTTGGCATGTACCGGTCGCTACGGAAAGCCCGCACTTTCACGTAACATCTTCTGTTCTCAGGTACATCCAAGTTAAATAGCCGCCTCTCACGGATTTCCATGTTACCTATGAGAAAGGTCCTCTCCTCTCTTTTCCCCCTTTGCTTCTTCTCAGCATAGAACTGGCCCTCTTCCTCCCACAAACCTGTCTCAGGATTAAGAGACCATAATTTCATGGTCTTCAAGTGCTCGGGCATCTTCACTTGTGCTGCATCGAGACGCACTTTCACCTCTCCGGCGTTGAGCGGCTCGCCTCCTTCTTCGTCCCTAAAGTCCACTGAGAACATTCCATAGGTCCTCAAGGGCAGAGTGTCACCTTCATCACCAATGAAGTTGAGATCACTTTGGGCAGCCGCTGCTGTTGATACATCCCTGGGGTCGAGGAAAGTCACACTGGCTTTGACATTTCCCATGAACACTTCTCCATTTTCTTTATAGAATGCATTGGGTGGGATCTCAATCTCAGCAATGGGATCCTGGCCTTCTACCTCACCAAGATCTAGCTTATTAGTTTCCCTTGAGCTGATGGTCACAGCTGGCTTTTTCCTCAATAACTTGATCTCATAGAACACAGCTCCACCTTTAGGATTAAATGGTAAAACTTTTGTGGTGTTCACAAACTTCTGCATGTTGTCCACAAATGTGAGGACTAGACGCTCTGTGTTTGTTGGTACCTGGATTGAGAATGTGCCTTTGTATCCAGTTCGACTTATTCTTGTGCCATCCATGTAGATGTGTCCAAACCTCATGGGCTCATCAGTGTCTGCTGCGATAGCACGTCCACGAATGATAGCTTTTGTGTCCACACATGTTTTGCAACCACACTGAGTCACTACCATGATGGGCAACTGATATCCCTGACATTTAATCTCTTTCTCCTCCATGTTTGAAATTCCACAGCAGTAGGACACTGAGTCTTTGCATCTGATGCCGTTATCCAGCTTCCCTGTGCATGTGGATGTTGGGCATCTCCCCACATCGTAATACAAAGAGTTAGTCTCGTTTTGAAAGCAGTCATGTGGTAGGCGGATCAGGTGGGAATCAGGCTTAGGGTTGCATGACGGTTCTTTTTGACCTTAACACAGAAATTGATAGAAAAGAGATAAATACTAAACTAAGATCACACTATTTGTATTTGTAAAGTATTTTGAGATACCTTTTAGGTTAATATGAAATATGTATAGTTAAAGTAGGATATAAGGGCACACCAATAACCGTGAGGGTGGCTGGTTTGGATTTGATGGCTCCGTTCTCATTACTGGCTCTGCAGTAGTATTCTCCAATATGGTCCAAACTGAGATTCCTCAAAACCAGTGTCTCGTCATACTGATATTTACTCCTGTCCAGCAGAGTGCCATTGTGGAACCTAAAGATTTACATCAGTGATTATGATTGTGTTTTCACATTCAGGATAACTGTTGTCATGGGGTGGGGACCCATTCTTAATTGCTAAGAAATAACTTCATGTTAAGCTGGTTTGTTTAAACTGTCTTCATTTACACCTGTCACATTCTTTTGAAGGAACATAAGACACAAGGGCTTTGACTTTAGATACTAGATGCTTTTTGTGATTCTCTACTTTTTCATTTAATGCCATCTAAAAAGCAACATGGTTTCCTTGTGTTTTGCTGAAATTCTATAGTGAACATCAATTCATATCTGAAAGCACAATATTACCATTCATACTGGTTTGGTTCAGGTGTCCCATCAACCTTACAACAGAAGGCAGCTGTCTGACCTTCCCTTCTGGCCTTGTTCTCAGGGTTTTTCAGCACATACAGTTTTTCTGAGGAACACAGAAATATTGTGTTACATGTTGTCACATCTTGTACACCCATTTTTTTTGCTGTGATGAACTTTAATGATTGGTTTCTGTTATGTATTCTACATTGTTGCAAATTCTGCAGAATTTTCACCAAGATAATGTTGAATATCTAGCTAACATGGATGAGGTTTTGTCTAAATAGCCAAAAGGAATTGTGATCATCTCGAAAGCATTAGTACAAATGTGTTAAACTACAAACCAATCAGTAATGTTTTTCATTGTATGCCATTGTTTTCCAGCAAAAGTGTGTTTTTGAATTTATGGAGTTACATAATAGCTGCATACTTATAGCTTGTTTTGTTTTTTTTAGCTTGTATAAAGATAAATTATTTTAGTGGGGGAAAAAAAGAAATAAAATAATAAAAATTAACATTTAATAAAAATTCTAACACACATCTTCAAAAAAAAAATCTTAAGGTAGTATTCTAATGCTAATACAGAATAGGTTAAATGCATTCAAGGTCATTAAAATAATCATTACTTGCTCTCTCTAGCTTCAAAAGGAGGACGGACGTGCGTTCGGTGCTTGCTGGCACAGTGACTTGGTGTGGAGCATGATTATTCAGCTTGATCATCAGAGTACTGTTGCCATCAGGGCAGATTCCAGGGACCTGAAAGTGCCCATTGTGATCAGTAACGGTGAGGAGTTTAGGCCTGGAACCAGCACGGAGAATGGCAGCTCCAGGTGCAGGGAGACCCCCGGCACTACGGACTGATCCTAAAACTGTATGATCCTGGCACATGCAACCATCACACTCATCGTTTACTTTGCCCATCATGCACTGCAGATCACAGCCTAAGGAAGAAAAGGGGAAAGAGATTTTTTTTAACAACAAATGGAAGGATGACAATAAAGATTTAACGATACAAAGATTTCTTGTCTAAATGACAAGAACATTATCATTTTTAATCTTTAGGAAACTGAGTAAATGCATTACGTGGGCAAGGTGGCCCTTGGCATGACCTGGCCTCGACCGTTTGGCCATTGCATTGTTTAGAATTGGATTTGCAGCTTCTAGAGCGATGCTGTGTTGCCACCTGATTGCATTGGGCTGGACACACACTCCAGTCTGACCATGGACCCCATATCAGTTCTTCATTATCTGAAACAATGTCTGAATGGAGAGAGGGATAATATAAATTAATTTACAATGCATTTTCTAGGGTGTCATCACCTTACAAAAACTGTGATGTTAACTCATAGTAAACTTAAAACAATAGATTTCTGAAAAATTATTTCTGCAGCATCATCATCAAATCCACCTTTTCTATATTTAATTTGAATACATAATCTGCTCACCATTATTATCAGAGAAAATGTGCACAATAAAACTTTGAACATTACAGTATATATTTATAACGATTGTTAGAAGCATTATTCCCTTTAAAGCAGGGGCTTTTAGAGCCGCGTTTACTTACTTCTAGGACATAGGAAGCGTACAGCATAGTTTGAGCAGTTCCTCCCAACAGGCTGTTCATCATTGACACACCAGAAGCCTACAACCGGGTCAGCATGTACTCTTTCCCCAGTGCTGCGAGCTGGGATCCATTCGGTAGTGCGTGCCTCTAGAGCTCGAGGAACCTCACACACACGCGCTCGATAATAAAAACGAATGGCATTCAGCTTCTCATAGTCTCCTTTTCCTCCAGGGTGATCTACATTGAACCATGTGGTCCACTCGTAATTATCTGAGGAAAATTATTACATTTTTATGACTTTAAACATCCATTTGGATCACCTTTTGAAATATTTCATTGTTAGAAACACAGACACCTACCTTCATTATGGTACACAGCTGGGTTTGGTCTCCATGATGTCCCCATTATGTTTCTCCATGTCCCTAATAAAGGAAACAAAAGCTTTATTTCTTGAAATCTCAGCACAACATCTCAGTTTTACCATGCTAATTAGAAGACAGCTAAAGTTTTGAGAGAAAAATGTGTTCTATTAATTCTATGATGCCGTCCAGTGATGGGCATAACTTACTTTTGATGTTGTAAAGAAAATAAAGCATATTGTAGATTAATTAAGGCTTATTGTCATGAGCCTAACTATGGAAGTGACATTTGACTTCTTTCGTTTTCCTGGGATTTCCCCCCTTTCAGATTGTTTGAGAGCCCTTTTCTTTATCCTGACATGCAGAGTACAACAGAGATTTCCGCTAGTGGTTCACACACAGAGTAGAACCAATTGCTAGCAGGTGTCTTTCTGCTGCTTGCTCGCAAAACACCTCAGCTTCTGGATATACGGGGACACCAGAACAATGTTGCCTTTCCTGCAGTAATGAGTTTGCTGAAGAGAGGTTTGGGGGTTGGGGTATTGGAAGAGTCATGTTTCTAAGAGCCAGCTGTCAATATTCTGGTGAAATCTTTCAGCTTCTGCCATAAGCAATAACGTGCCAGATGACTGCATTAACTTGCATTAGCAATTAAGTGTGAAATGTGCTGATTCAAATGACGTTCACAGGAGTTTTGCCAAACCAAACCTTGAGAAAAAGTGCCTGTAATTTCCAACAGAAACAGAAGAAAGGTCCATGCTGAGAGGCAGCCCATCCTGGCTCCCTGTTAATGACCTCTGACCTCTGGTAAAGACCCTCTCACACACAGCTTCTTCAACACAAGAATAATCCAGACACAGATCCTATGCCAATCAGATATGAATATAAAGACCATTAGTAAATTGCACATAAGGAAATGGACCACAGTATTTCACTTCAGTAAATCATACAGGAAACTCTCATGTGTTTTTTTTTTAGCTGATTATGAACTCATTTCAACCTTTCCAGATTCAAACGGACCAAGAAAAATGATAAAATTAGTGTACTGAAAAACTTTCCATTTTACACAAACAACCAAAAGAATTTAGACATGATGAAGGAATACAGTGGAGAATACTCCTGCTAAAACAAAGACAAGCTGCAGAGAAAGAGCTTAACGTACTTTAGCTGCTCTCAAATATCACATCTGTGAGAGCCATCACTGTGTGTCAAGGGAATGCACAACTGTTTTAACATCCTGACAGAAAACTCAGACCTAACTACACATTCCATATGCACATAGAACAATTTGTGAATGGGAAAACAAAATGCAGTCAATTTTAACAGTTTCTCTCCGTATTAGAATTTGTTTTAAAAGACTACACATAAAAAGACTACTTTAATAGTATACTTCAAAATGCAACATTTTGTTTAGATGTCAAAATCAGACTATACACTCAAAAGCAAAAGCTATCACAGGGGCAGTACCATTTCAGGTTACACCTTATTTTAAAGTGACATTGTTACAGTGTACTTACACAAACAAGTACTAAGTAATATTAATTAACTACATGTACTTACTATAGGGTTAAGGTTATGGTTTGTTACTTGTAATTATGCATAATTTGCTGTCATATGTAACATGTAAATACGACACCTTAAAATAAAGTGTTATACCTAAAGTGTACTTATTAGTACATTTTGAAGGTACCACCCTGGTGACAGCTTTTGTAACTGATATGTAGATAAAATCATTTGTACATACAAAAAAAAACTAGCAACAACATCCAAATTCATGACTGAACAGATATTTTTTTCCTCAAACATCGACCACCAAAAAAAATCTACAACAGTAAGGAAATTACTTTCCACTGTAAACGATTTAGAAAGCATTAGTGTCTGAATCCAAATCCTCAAAATGTAGTTACAGAAAAGAAAGCTAAAAATCTAAAAAGCAACAAAAAAATAATGATACCTTACCAAAGCAAATGTTTCTCTGTGAAATGGAAAGCTCTTGTACTCCTGCTTGTTTCTGTGATGTATTTACAGAGCAGTTGCTAAATAGTCGGAGTGAGAAGGAGAGAGAGAGAGAGTGAATGTAAAGTCTAGGTCTGTGTTCAGTACTTATATAGCTCAGCCCTGAGCCATAGATTCGGCTCTCTGCCATGAAATAACATCATGGGTCCAGGCTAGCACTATCTACTGCTCCTGTACAGTCGAGGAAAGGGCTGGATTTCACAGTCAGGACTATCCTGGAACAATATTCTTAAAGAAATGAAAGAGTCTCTATGTCAGTTTTTTTGGTCCTAGCAAAAAAATTATCCTGTGACAAAGTATTCAGATATGGTTGTAAGTACACAGAGACAAACACACACACACACACACACACACACACACACACACACACACAGTGTTATTTCCCCATAATGATTTGCAGTTGTGTCAGCACTGTGGTGAGATATTCGTTGCTGGGAGTATGTTTAGTTATGCAACATTCACAAGAAAGCCATTCAAGAATGACATCCATGCATTTCAAACACATGAAAGCCATTATGTGACTCTTTCTCAAACACATTAGCATGTTCTTTCCCATCTGTCCCCCTGAATGTGTTGATAAACAATATGAGTGATTTGTAACACTAAAGAGCCAACAGCAATACACTGTGGCTTTTCAGTCATGATGTCAGATTCTGCAGAACAAATCCACCATATCAGCAGAACATAAAACTTTCTGATTGAAAACTGTAAGAAATAACAGACCCTGGGTCAATGGGAAGTCAGAGCAAAGTATGCCTAAAAGCAATATGGAAAATATCAGGTCTTGCTTTAGGTAAAAGAAAGTGTTACTTCTTGCATCAAGGTCTTTTAAGATCTCACATTCATATCTCACCTACTTAAATTAAATCTGACTTTATTATTAAATTAAACTTTAAACAGCGCAATGGACAAGTTTGTATGGTTTAAAACAGATTAGTTTCAGTCCATTGGCCCTGTTGAAATTCAATATTTAATAACTGCTTCTTGAGGATGAGCTTTAAATGCCTAATTTACTCTCTACATACGAAAATACTCATATATGTACATGCTACCAATTCAAAGCACTTATTGTATATTAACTTAAGATAGTCGGGACTTTAGTCTCATAATATAAAGCCATTTTAACTTACGGTTTCAAAATCCAAAGGTCATTGTTTTTTTTTAAATAACTTTCTTCATTATCTACAGCATGAATGGTAAATGGACTGCATTTATATAGCGCTTTCACAGACCCAATGGCCACCAAAACGCTTTACATATTTGCCTCACATTCACCTATTCACTCACTCATACACCGACGGCGGTGTCAGCCATGCAAGGCGCCATCCAGCTCGTCGGGAGCAGCTGGGGTTAGCGGTCTTGCTCATGGACACCTCGACACTTGGTCAGGTGGAACCGGGGATTGAACCACCAACCTTTCGGTTTGTAGATAACCTACATGATCCACTGAGCCACTGCCGCCCCATCACAAACCCATCACAAACCCATCACATCACAAACACTGAATGTTTGTGATGCCGTTGCCATGCTGGCTTAGTTGTTCGAATTAAGAAACACCAGATGTTCTGGGACAGAGCATATTCTAAAAATATGTTCATCAACTTCATAATGAATGTCTCTGTATACTCATTATCTGGAATTCAAATGATCTTCATTACCTTGTCTCATGTTAATAAGAAAAAGAAAGATGCCCGAGCAATCACTAGTCCACAACCAGCCACACTGATTTGTGGTCTTTTATTTTTCTATGTCTAAAGAATTTTTCCATTATTAGTATTTGTTTAAGACATTTCACTTGAGCAATAGAGTTAGTGCTGTTTTATGGTGGTGATGGCTGTGATTCAGGTACAGATAATCACAAACAGGCTAATATTCAGCACTAGAGCCCGGTTGTGAAACAGATCGGAACACAGAAATGGCTGAAATCCATTTTCAACTTCCTGATACATAATGGCTAAATGCAAACAGAGGCATGCGGTTGACAGTTCCTTTTTCACAGGCAACGTTTAGGCCCAGCATGCATGAATGGATTTCCATTACACGAGAGTAGATGTTAAAACTTCATGCTGATTCGTACTCGGCTTTCGCCAAGATAAGCAAAACTAAGACGTAGCTTTACAGTAAACTATGCTTCTCCATCCATTTACGCTTCTTTCCATATGGTGGTGTGACTCCCCTTCTGTCCGGCGTTAACGGCTGCAGTGTACTTGGCGCGTCAGCACACGCGACGGCTGCAACTACAGGACCAGCACGACAACCGTCTGGATTGAGCCGAGTAGGGGACATCTCTAGGGTCTTCAAGTGGGCACCTTCCGTCCTCAGTGTTTCGTCGACTAGCCCACGACACCTCAAGAGGGCTCGACAGTGACTCTGGCGTCCCAGAGTCACCCCCCTCCGTCCCCCACTCAACTCAGTCCAGCTTACTGACCTCTACATCCCTCCTGCTGCTGAGACCTAACCACAATCTCACAATCTCACCGCAACCCGACCATACGCGCCAACCCGTTTGACTAAGGCTGTCGAGCCCCACTGGTGCGTTAATATGCAGTTTCAGTGGACAACGGTTCCGTATGGCATACCACCTACCGCAAAACACAATATCTGCCCAACCACCCCTCATTCACGCAATAACGTATACAAATAAACCAACAGACTCTTCAAGTTTTCAAGAATTCTACGAAACCGTAGCGTGGCGGCCTGCACACAGCCAGCTAGAATCTTTCCGTCTCAACCACAGCCAGTTGCTGCTCCTTTCTGCTGCTTCAGATAAGTTCTTTACTGTGCGACGCAACTCTTGGCCGCTGAATCCGATGTCTCTGAGGAACCGGGTTGTAGAGTGTGCCACAAAACCTCGGCAACCCACTTCCACTGGATAAACCTGGACTCTCCATCCTCGCTGTTCTGCTTCAGTGGCCAGATGAGCATACCGCAGTTTCTTCCTCTCATATGCCTCATCTACCGCATCCTCCCATGGCACTGTTAACTCTATCAGTTGAACAATGCGTGCTGATCCAGACCACAAAACAATATCTGGTCGTAGGTTAGTGGTGGCAATCTCAGGTGGGAAAATAAGCCGTTGATCAAGATCAGCCAGCATCTTCCAGTCCCTAGCAGCTTCCAGTTGTCCTGGGCGAGAATTGGTGTTAACACCTTTCCTTGGTGGTTGCTCGCCTGGGCGGAGGAATATTGTCTTCGTGTAATGTCTTGCTAGAACAGGTGGCAACTTATTGGTCATGTTACGCTTGCCTTCTAATGCTAAAGCCAAACATCGCAGTACTTGGTCATGGCGCCAAGTAAACCGACCTTGGCTAAGAGCCACCTTACATCCTGTCAAAATGTGCCTTAATGTGGCAGGTGATGAACACAAAGGACAAGAGGGATCCTCTCCTACCCAGAGGTTTAGGTTCTGCGGTGATGGGAGAACATCATATGTTGACCTAATAAGGAAACTGATCCTACTCTCTTCCATTGACCAAAGGTCTTGCCAGCCCATCTTACGTTGTTCCACACTCTCCCATCTCATCCACTCTCCCTGCTTGGCCTGGGAAATGGCCTTTATACACCTCATCCTCTCCTCCTGCTTACGCACCTCGTTGACTACCAGCTTCCTCCTTTGAGCTGGGCCTGCCTTGTGCCATTTAGGAGGAGCTAAACTGAGCCCAAAACCCCCTCTTCCATGCTGTACCTGTCCCACGATATCCCCAATTTGAAGGGCAGCCTTTGCCTCTACTACAGATTTCTTTGCTGACCACTTTCACCCAGTTTTTAACACAGGGGCTGCCTCCCTTACACATTTGTCGCGTGACTCTACTAAGGTCATTTCCAGTCTGACCTTGGCACACTTAAACTCCTCGGTTAAAGCAGAGACTGGCAGCTGCAATATTCCTTTACTATAAAGTCCCACTCTGCTGAGGCAGCGTGGAACTCCCAACCATTTCCTGATGTATGAACTTATCAACGCTTCCAGCTTATCCACTGTTGTCAAAGAAACGTCGTACACGGTCAGTGGCCACAGCAACCTCGGCAGTAGACCAAACTGAAAGCACCAGAGTTTTAGTTTGCCAGGTAGAGCACAGCTGTTTATGCTCTTCAACCCTTCCACTGCTTGTCGTCTAACTTCTCCCACCCGAACTGTGTCCTTTAGATCCCCATCGTACCATCTCCCAAGACTCTTCACTGGCTTCTCAGAAACTGTTGGTATTGCCTCACCATTAATGAAGAATGTTTTATCTACTACCTTTCCTTTAACTATCGAGATGCTCCTTGATTTAGAGGACTTAAATTGCATTCGTGCCCATTCAATATTATCTGTTAACTTCCCCAATAACCGATTAGTGCAGGCTACTGTTGTAGTCATGGTTGTCATGTCATCCATGTATGCTCTGATTGGTGGTAGTCGCATCCCAGAAGCCAAGCGCTCTCCTCCTACTACCCATCTTGATGCCCTAATGATGATTACTTCCATCGCCATGGTAAAAGCCAGTGGAGAAATGGTGCATCCTGCCATTATTCCAACCTCTAGGCATTGCCATGCAGTGCTGAATTTTGGAGTTGAGAAACTGAATTGCAAATCTCCAAAATAGGCTTTCACTAAATTTGTTATTGACATTGGTACTCTGAAAAAATCAAATGCTGCCCAAAGAAGCTCATGTGGCACTGAACCATATGCATTAGCCAAATCCAGGAATGTCACATGGAGCTCCTTCCTCTCCTTTTCAGCTGACTGAATTCGTTGCCAGATAACATTGATGTGTTCTAAGCATCCTGAGAACCCTGGAATGCCCGCTTTTTGAACTGAGGTGTCAATGAAGCCATTCTTTAACAGGTAGGTGGACAATCTCTGGGCAATAATGCTGAAGAAAATCTTACCCTCAACGTTTAATAGTGAAATAGGACGAAACTGACTGATGCTTGTAGCATCTTTTTCTTTAGGTATAAAGACTCCACCTGCTCTGCGCCATGCTCTAGGTACAACCTGTTTTTCCCATGCCACTTTTATCAATTTCCACAGAATTCGCAGAACTCCTGAAGCACTCTTGTACACTCTGTACGGAACTCCATTAG